AAAATTGAGTGATATTTTGTATTTCCCCCGAAAAAAGGTGCTAGATATTTAGAGATGATGCTTTGATTATAAATATTATAAAATTGAGATACGATTTTTCTTGTTGGGGTAGACGATTTGGTAAATTTTCTCGTTTTTCTCAATTATTACGAAAACCGCTTAGAAAATCAAAAAATGACTTTCTTATAACATCAAATAAATAAAATTTCCTTTCTGAAAAGGTGCTAAACTTGTTATATCGAAGCAAGATTTTTAAGAAAATAATTATTTATAGATTAAAAAAAATAAAAAAATAAACATCACTGTAAAACCAACACATTACTCGCTTATGCTCCAATTTTAAAATGTTTGGCCGAGAAGAAAATTATAAATTATTATATTTTGTTCACTTAAGTTAATTTTTAATTGAATTAAATAATAATAATATGACGACCAGTAAAACGATTAAAAATTAAATCGTTATTATCTGCGATTGTATAAGAGTCGATGTATAATTTAAATTTAAATTTAATTTTGTTAAGATTAATAACAAACAATAATCTTTTTGTCATTGATATAATATTACCTAAATTTTGATAATATTGTAAAATCATTTTTTTGTAGCCAAGATTCTTACGATTTATTTTATTTTAATATTTATTATTATCAATTCGTTTTATAATCATACAAATCTTTAAAGTTTATAAAGTTCACGAGGTATCAAGTATACATATAAATATAAGGTGGTCAAAATTCGAGGAATAATATTAAAATAAATATATGTAACCAATATATGCGTCTTTCTATATTATATTACCTACTTTGTTCTCACTTCGCCCAAAAAAATAATGAGGATTTTTTTTATTTAGGGTTTGTCAATAATCATTAGTGACATTTTACATCAGGTCAAAATTCTCTAATGAAAATTTAAATTCTTAATTTTTTAATTCGTTAATGCCCAGCATTGTAGTAAGTTAGTATGACGAAAGACATAATATTGTGACTGCTTATTAAAAAAACAAAATGTTATTTGTTTTCGATTATTTTTGCGTTATACGCAAGTAATTACAAATCACAAATGCACGAGATGAATTAATTTAAATTGAGTCATTTAGTACATAAAATCGGCGAAAATATTTACTTCACACAAATTACGAACATAATAATATTGTTATTAAAGAACTTTCGAGTTCCAGACCAATTAAATTTTAACTATAACCACGACGTTAATTCGTGTGTTTATGTAAATATCGATTACATACATTAATGTTTTTCAACGTGATAACTCGTATTATTATAGGTTATTAATAATTCTATCGATTCTAGTTTTCTGGTTTAAACAGCAACGTAGTGCAGTCTACTACCGTTTATACTGGAGTATTCTCAAAAAAATATTATTAAAAAGCAAAGCTTGGAAGTAATAGCGTTAATAAAATCAATTTTCAGAACTTTAATACTAGATAATTTTTTTTATCGTGCACCAGCAATTTTCTAGGAGAATTTTTAGTGAAATTGATTTCTGTCTTTTTAATCATTATGGAATCGTTTGAGTTTTATTTTAAAACTATTTTTAATTTTTTCTCCTACTCCCTATACCTAAAATAAGTAAATACGTTTGCAACGATCAACTATTGCTAACGAAAAACGATTCTGAGCGCAGTTCGGTTAATAGTTTTGCTTTTTCAACAATATGTATATCATATTAGGGTAAAGTAATTATATATAATCTTTAATAATATTTTTTTAATATTATACGTTTTTCCTTGTTTTTCCATGTTTTTTTCCAGTAAATACCACATGAAAAAATCAGTTTTTGAGAAAAAAAAATGTTTTTCCAAGTGAAAAAAACCCACACACGTCAGTGAAGCTGTAATGGCTCGTTTTCCTCTTCGCTAAGAATTTAATATCATAATAGTAATAATATTGTAAAAAATGCATACTTGCCGCGCTAGTTAATGAAAAACAATTAAATATATAATATAGCGTATAGAAAGAGAAACACGCTAAAAAGGAGACAATGCATTTTACAGTAAAGGTAGGTACTTGATAGGAACTCGACTAATAGAAATCATTATTTTATACTCTTCGGCGCTGTAATTATTATTAAGAAAGGTACGAAAACTATGCGATTACAGGTGCGTGTAAACTTGCTGTTGTGAAGATAACAGGCAGTTTAATAAGTAAAAAAGCTATTGTAGACTGTGTTGCAATATACACTGGGCCGCGCGGAACGAGTAAAAGAAACCCGCGTGAATCCCAAAAAAAAAAAATTTCAATCAAGTAATTAACTAATAACGGGAATAATATAATAATTGTTTATTATGAGAGTGTTTTAAGTACTTACGACACAGGGAACGGCAAACGAAACGTTTAGAGCCGCTACATAGACTATAATATATTCTTATCGGTTTTAAGATGTGCATTACCCCGTCACCCTAATCCATACCTTAAAAACCATAATTTTCAACCGTGCAGTATTATGTAATTTATTGTTTACAACCAAAAGCAAATTTTGTACTACCCTCGAAAACCTTAAAATCCAATTTATCTTACGGGTGCTACGGTAACGTGTACATTTTTATATCGCCAAAATTCAATTACGTATAATTTTCGTATCATCGCTATGACGATTATTCTTATGAGTCTTTGTTTATATTTCATATGTTTTTTATACTTGTATAATAATACAAGTTTAATGCATGTTTATTCAATTACTAATTTAAGATGATTTTTAAAAACTTCACCAATGCCCTTAAAATGAAACATTAATTATACAATTTGTAGACAACATTTTGAAAACTGCAACTCCGTCTTTGTTTCACAATTATTATCTTAATATTTAATTCACTATCGAAGGTACAAAAATTATATTTTATACATTTTTTTTTTCAAATAACAAGCTGTAATTTATATTTAATTATTAATATTTCAAAAAAATCCGATGATATTATCTTCAGAATGTGTTTTACAATGTTTTAACAATATTATTTTTTTTTTTTTATCTCTAAAACAAATTTTAAAAGTTTTTTCATTTGTTTTATACGAACGCGTTTTAGCTGTATTGCCCGTTAGAAAGACTGCAGTGACAACAAGTCTAATGGTGACTTAAGGTGTACAAATTAAAATGTCAAAAATCCGGCATAAGTAAAAAAGTAAAAAATTAAGTGCCAAGCTAATACGTTTAATTATTGCTATACTTAAACTGCAAGTTTCGAATTTTCGTAGTTTTATTTTGAAAAATATTATACATGCATGCATTATTATAATTAAAAATTCGGCGATAATATTTGCTAATCATATTTATACTTTCGATAAATTTTATGTTTTAACAGATATTATAATATAATATGTTTTTGAATTATTTTTGTTTTTCCCACGAGTGACGCGACGGATCATCGATTTATTTTTCATGGACACATAGTATATTTAATGATAATATACACAAACAAACAAAACAAACAAACCACAGTCACACTAACAGCGACGACGACGACGACGAAAACGAGTTCGAAAAAAAAAATAAAATGAAACCTCTACTCAATAATATTATTATTATAAATACTGCAATGTCACAAAAAGGTTTACAAAGAAAAGGAAGTAGGCTCATTATTTATATATATGAGCAATATCCCCTCTAACGGAAGCAATGATAAAGTTACAATTAATATTAATTACTTTGTATTCAATACACGGCGTGATTTCGTAGGTTTTAATGATTATTATTATTCCGGAAAAGAATTAGGTTAGCTGCCGAAATTCGGCGATTTTTAATCAAAATTAAGCCGAGTTTCAGTACTTAGTCGAGTCACTAAAGCAAGTTGCTAAATCGAGTACTAAATTGCATCCAGTATGTGTCTAAACACAGGACTGTAAAATTGATTATAGTTCATTCTAATGGTGAGCTTTGTAGGAATGTTTTGTCCTACATTCCTAGGTCTTTGTATTATTATCATTATTATATAACTTTTACACATATTCCATTTTTTCCACAAACTTTAAAGTGATATTTTCATCTCACTTTTGACTTATATTTAATTAATTGCTCAATTAAATGTAAACGAAATGACTAACGATCTCCGTAAAATTAAATCGTTAAAATATTAAGACTATTGTACAAAAAGTAATACTCAATTTGTATTACATATTTTAATTACGGAAAATATTGAATAGGTATGACAGAATGATAACACAATGGCACTGATGACGAATTTTACCCGCGATTTTAGTAAATGTAGGCGGCGACAGTGGTGTCAACATTGGTTTAGTAAATAAACGAGTACGAGTATCAAGTTTAACTCGGCCGAGAAAATATAACTGTTTTCAAGTAACTTGACTAAAAAATCTACTAAAACTAGTACTAGGATTAGTACTAAATATTGTGTCCATATTTTAACAAATAAATAAATTTAACAACTTGCTTTAGTGACTCGACCAGTTTGGATACTAAATCCGTGTGAACCTGGTTTTACGCAAATATTGATATACTAGATGATACCTGTACAACGTACATTCCAAAATTGTATACGATTCAAACACATTTTATCGTTAAATCTTATTACGGAATTCGGCGCGGTTATCGAATAAATTTCAATCCAACGTCTATTAGTGTTTATCATCATTTTATAGAGATGACCGTTGATAATAATTAATTATTTTCGGTAAGAATTTTTAAAATTTTAGATATTTTTATATTAGAGAACTATAACCCTGCAGTTTGCGATTTATTATTAATTTTTTTTTCAAATTGAATGACAATTCTTAACTCAAAAGTCTAAAACCAAAATTCCAGAATAGTAATTTGTACATACTTCATTTAGACGTGTACCTTAAAGTTGTACTATTTGTGATTTTAAACTCATATAGGGTGAAACTACATAATGTAATTGTAATATGTACATTTGCGTGACAATTTTTTGCGTTAACGGCAAAAAACAAATTTAAAAACATGGTGATTATAATAAAATATTTTATTTTATTAGTTTATTAATATTTATTTATTCGTATTATTATTATTCTAGTATTTAAATAAATAACTAGGTAGGTAACTACATTTTCAAACAGATATGTCTTACTTTTTCGATACCTTTTCATAATACACTTTATTGCAATGTGTTATAGTATAGGTATATTTAAATGCGGAATTTAATTGGCGACATTGTTAGTGTTTTGCTTCAATTTTTAAACTGAATGCCACCTCTATATTATTCTATGGACTTAATGTACGCCACTGAAAAGGATACCTACCTACCATAAATACCTATTTGATATCGCGGGATGTGTTGTACCTTTTGGTTACAATTATTATAATATGATCATTGGATTTCAAATTTTTTGTTATCCTGTAACTATTTCCAATAGATCTGATGCCGTTAAGTTAAATATTTCGGAAAGGCTCAAGGTTAACATTTCAAAACTCAACACAACACGATAATATTGGATTTCTCCTTTTACGGCGGCAACTTGGTTTCATAATACCATAATATTCTATACACACGAAGATGATCCATTTACATTTTAACGTTTATTATGATATTTTTACCGGATTATATATAGGTGCACTGCATATTATAATAGACAATATTATTAAAATATTATATTTACGCATCATGACTCGCTCCTCAGTCGACGGAATAATAACCACAACAACAACACGTGCGTTGGAAAATAAAGTTTCTCCTTAAAAAATAAAAGACGTAAGTATCTACTTAATAATAATAAGATGACAGCCCTGCATATGATGCGCTGCACAGAATTCATAGTTTATCAGCGTATACACGAGTATACATTATAAAAATAATAATAATACATAATGACGGGCAAATTTTTAAAATAATAAAGTGTTTATACAGGGTGATTCTCTAACTGCTTATATCACGAAATTGTATCGATTAAATTGCCCAAGCCCACGAAAATTTTGAGTAAATTTGATTTTTGATCATTAGAACTATATAATCGTTAAATATTCTTGTTTACCCGATACAATATTTTAAAAAATGTACTTTTATTTTCCGTACTTGTATTGACTTGATTTACAAATAGTAATAGAACGCTATACGCTGAAATTCGAAAAAAAAAATACCTAATAATAAGTTTACATGTTATAAAGGAATAATATTATTCATGTACATATATATATATCCAGACTTTTTCGATTGACATTTGAAACTCTATAATAACCGTGACTACTAAAACTTAAAGAACTGGAATTATGTACATCATAATGTTTAGTAAAGTATTAAAATAGATATAACGATGAGGCACAGAAGACCATAATCACATGAGGTTGACCTGAAAGAGGGTGTATATGAATTACACACGAATAAGGATTAAGGATAGTATTGTACATGGATTTAAATAAAAATTGTTAGGTTACGAAAGAGAGAAGTGGAGATCTAAAATAATACAACCGGATGATTTAAGACGAAGAGATAAAATAAGTCGAGTACCTAATTGCGTATATAAGGTTCAACAATTGTTTGAAATCTATATGCATGTACAATAGATAATCTCTGATGCAAGAAAGGTATAAATGCGATAAAAGAATCACTCTGTAAAATACTTTTAATTTCTCAGTTATTTTTCTACGCCGCCGCAACCCGATCTACTACGATGATGAGGGTGACATGCCAATTTTTAATATTAAAACAAAAATACACATATTTTATAAGTAATAATATACATATCGTGTAATATATGACCACAACACAAGCCGTGATGTGTATAAGTATAATAATATTATAATAATACACATTTTAACATTTTTTTTAATGATGAAAAAACTGAATCGGTCGTGTACACGCACGTGTAGTTATACGGAAATTTATTACAAGAGAAACGTAAAACGTAAAGAAAAGAGCTGTTACTATAGATGGAAGCGGCCACTGTTGTAGATGAGAGGTCGGGAAAGTAGAATACATAAGGTTATTTCATTCATATCTGTAAGTAACGATAAACCATTGCTTGACAAAAGACGATTCCAAGCGCAGTTCAGTAATACATAATTTGAAGTGCCGTCATTTTTTTTTTTTTGCGATTTTCATTTAAATTTGATTTCAAAACGCTTAACTAAAAAAAAAGTCTTCCGATGATTTTGAAAATTTTACCACGTCTTAGTAAATCCAATTTAAGTATTATTACTGAATTTCAAGTTTCTACGTGTGTTTACAACCAAATTAAATTAAAACTCCTTTAAAACTTAAAAGTGGCTCAAAAGTTTTGGAAATGATATCGTAAGAAAGTAAATCAAAAAAGCAACAAAAAAGGTTTCTAGCAATTTTTCGATTAAATCATCTTTTTTGGCAATAAATGTCGTCCGTTTTTTTATTAAATAACAAAATCATGAAATTGTACGTTTTCCTACGTTTATTTCTCCACTTAAGTGCTTTTATTTAAAAATTACGTCGAAAATCAAAACATGACATCTTTTAAGTACAATCAAGACAACTTGAGCTGTCAGAAAAGTTACTGCACGAAAAAATTGGAGCAAATTTACTAGGAAAAAACGTGTTCACAGACTAGAAGAAGAAAAAAAAAGAAAGAAAGAAAAAAATACCATTGTGAAACTAATAGTTCCCTCGCTACGCTTGGAATCTAAAATAACATATTATAATATACTAAAAGAGCCAGACGTATTTAACACCAGGGGTAGGCTACAGGGAATTTTTTAAGGGTAGTTTTATACTTTTATGTGCCTAAATGGATACACAATAATGTATGAACTCCGCTGGATACCTAAGACTGTAAAATGTTGATTCTGTATATGTTTGTCGGTTAAAAAATAAATGGTAAATGATTAAATTATTTTTAATAGTCTCACTGGTAGGAAAGTTATAAGGGTAATAATCCAGAAGTTTAAGGGAAAGTTTGATCTATCAGCTCATAAAAATTATTTAAGGGAGGAAGAATAGACTGGCAGTGAATATTAACTTTAAAACACCTCGGTAGACCATTGTAATAGGTAAGAAATTAAAGAATACAAAAGCTAAGTCGATTTTTAATAGGTATTCTAAAAGTAACGATAAACTACAGTTATATAAAAACGATTCTGAACAAAGATATATAACCCAGAAATCAATAAAAACATAAACTATGTATTTTGATATAACATTTACAATCAGTTTTTTCATAAAAAATTATTGAAAGACTAGAAATTATTTTCAAAAAAGGAACCGTCGAGCAGAAATTTTATGATTCGGCGTGAATTATTTTTACTAATCGAAAAAATGTTTTCCGAAGGAAAAAAACACATTTCAGTTTATGTTCACTATACTCAGAATATAAAAGTCATTAAATCTAACGATGATTTTCTGTGGTAGTGTTTCTGCGATAAAGAAAAAATACCGTAGATAGGTAGCTACAATGTTTTCCAGAAAAACGATGCGGCAAAAAACAAATAATTATAATAATTTGGACTATGAGCTTTTATCGTTGTAACTGCAAAGATTGGCCATTGCAATGTCATTCATAATAGTATGTTATTTATATTCCGTTGATAACAAATGTAATATTAAAAATGATCAAAAATCAAAGTTACAGAGCAAAGAATAATATTAAAACGCAAAAAATTAATTTGATTATAGCAGATTAAATTGAATAAATAAAAATAAAAATTTAGCTAAAAAAAATTTTAATTTTCGATTTTTTTTTACGTTAAAAATAATGTCCAATATACATGTGTAATAGATTAAATGTGAATGCGTGTATTCGAATTTCTAAAAAGCGGTTCTACTCCAGTAATCAACCATTCAGTTTTTGACTATAACTCAGTGTTTATGAACATTTACTTGAACAAGTCGAGTACATATTTAGAAAATATCGTACTCATAACTTATATATTATAGAGTTTTAAAATTAACTAGAAAAAGTCGAGTTCACGCTTCGAAAAACTCGTGTTCTCAGCTTGTGTATTATTATAGTTTTCGAACTATTCCAGTCTACCAGGATCAAGATCTATAGATTATAGCCGTTTTTGGATAGAACCTTTTCCGACCAATTCCCGTTAATTTAAAAGCGTTGAAATAAATGGCGTTTCGTTTTATGTTTTAAATGTGGCGCGCGCGTGTGAATTTCGCGTTCGGCCATGAACCTCGGGCGCACGTGCGGTTCTCTTCGTGTATACGTGTTTACGACGGAAGAAAGGAATAGTTAATTCGGCGAACCAGGTAATCGGTTTTATTGTAAACAAAATGCACAGCGTGCCGAACGTAATTCGTTGAAATCGAAACGATACAAGTGTTCAACAAACCAACGTGCATGTGATAATGTTCGACAATGCCTGTCCGTCAGATAAACGTAAATTTCATGGTTCGTAATAAACGTCCGATTTTCCGAAGATGGAAGTTGCATTTGTTACCCTCTATTTAGATACCTAGCTGATAAACAGGGCTCACGACTTATAGCACTTAAAACGTGCTTAAAAATTCCAACAAAGCCTTGAAGGCACTTAAAAAAAATATTTAAAAAAAAAACTGGTAAAGAGGTATAAAAGTCATTCCCCTACGGCTATAACTTATTAAAAAAAAACATACCTCAACACTACAAAAGTAACAACATAAGTACACAACACAGTACAAAATAATTTTATTTAAATGAAATTAAAAAAAAACTACTTTAATTTATTTTTGTAGTACAAGAAAATAGTACCAATTTAAAAAATCAGAAATGTTGCAAGAGAAACTTTTAAACTCCTCTACCATTTTAAGATTTGTATACATTTTTAAGTGCTTTTTTTAAAAAATTTTTTACGTTTTATAGGCTTTTTTATGAATTTTAAGTGATATAGGCGCGGTCTACTATAGTGTACACATCTATGATTATACAGAAAAGTATTTAGAAAATAGGTCTGATACTGCAACTTATGGTTGACAAGTCAGAAATGTTGAATTATACAATAGGGTAATATAGTATGTAACGATAAACCCTTGCTATTGCTACCTCTTGCTGGGGGAGGGGGCAGAGTGTGAACTCGCACCAAATGTTTTTAAAACGTCTTCTTTGACCTGCCAAAAATAAAATATAAGCCTAAATGTATACATACACCTACATGTTTTATAATATCATATACAGAGTTAGTATTTAAGAAAACTGTGGAGGAGTAGAAAAATGGTAGCCGACCCCATATAATTGGCAGAGAAGGTGAGAAAGAAGAAGATAGAGATAGTATGTTCCCACTTAATCGCTCCTACCAAAAAAAGGAAATTTGTTTAGGTATTTAGGATATATTGGTCCCTAGGCTAGCCTATGATGTAAGCCCTACCATAGGCATAGAAATATATTAAATATATTGATAACCGGTTGCCTCTTTTTTTTGCAACCCCTTTCAATCCAGGGATGACTCTATAGATAAATTTAAAATCTAAATATTATTGCTATATGGTAATAATAGCTATACAACATCAATGGTTGTATTATTTTCAACTTATATCAATTAAAAGACGTCACTTAATATTAATTAAGAACATTATTTAAGTTCATAAAAAATTCTCAAAGCATATCTTTTTGTATAGCTTCGCAAATAAATATTTTAATGCATACTAAAAAAAAATTAGTTTGGTGTGAGACCCTAGGCTGCAGCTTATCAAGCTCACGCTTAAATACGGCTCTGCTCCAAGCCCCCCTAAAGATCACCCAGATGAAGCCAAGAAATAAAATGTTGTACATGCGAAGCATCTATAGTACAATAGGATGTGCCTTTTGAGGGATTCAACTTTCAACACCTTACTATTTGTATGCTCTCATTTCTTTTTTTTTTTTGAAGTAGTATAATATAGCATTGTATTATTAAAGTAGGTATTCGATTATGCATTTTTTTTACAAATATATTTCTAAAATACAAATAGACGTGGGGAAATCCGACACTAGTGACGGAACTCAGTAATGGCTCACGAGGGTTTTTTTCATTAAATACAATTTAAAATACCTATAACAATGAAGCATTTTGTAACATTTTCCAAAAAAAAAAAAACCTTAAAAAAACATTCCTGAAAATAATTCTATACAAAATGGGCATAATGAAATATATGTATACATGTAGATATATATTTAATAAACGTTTATGAACGCACAATTCACAGTGAATACGAGTATAAAACAATGATGATATATTATTTTTCAAAATGATATGCTTATCGTATCAAAATATTATTATTACGTATTTGTATTGTACAGTTATGTTTTTTTTTCAAATAATAATAATGATAAAATAACGACGGCTATATAATAATAATACAGTGTCGTGAAACGTAAGGACACACAAAATATCGTAATAATAATATAATAATGAAAATCATTGTTATGATTATGTATTTTAGTCATCGCGGCCATTTGTTCTATTATTTATTATCATATCATATTTTAAATTTCATTTCAATACTTATATTATGGTGTTTTAACGCATTGGCTAGGAGGTTACAGCTAACCTTCCCATCCTCAAGTCGAGGGCTTATTAACTTAAACTTAAAACTTTAATACGGTAACACAGTAAAAGAATGCATTCCGATGATATGAACAACATAATTATGATACACAAAATATAAAAATCGTACATAATATTTAAAAATGGTACGTTGAAATACAAACCAAAAACCGTGATTGAGTTGGGAAATTTAGCATTTTTCTCTTAAAAAAATAATATAATAATAATAATAAGTTTATTTTATTTTAGCATTATTAATGTTTACAATATTTTTACATATTATATTATTATTGCACTACAACGCCTATAACTAAGGATAAAATCTTTGTACTGATAGACGCGAGTCTCTAAAAAATAATTAAAGTTACATTAAATATAAAACAAGATAATACTCGTAAAAAATAATAATAATAAGAATTTGACTAGTTCATAATTAAAATAAATGAATAATATAATTATAGAATTTACAATGATAAATACAAATGTAGATGATAATAAAATGTATAGTAGGTATTGATAAAATGATTTTACAACATTTCATCTTTCGTCAACCATCATTTTACTAACAAATTAAAAATTGCAAATTGCTGGCAATGTTTTATTTTCGTAGAGAGCTTTTCATATATTCTTAATCCAGTTAATCCTATTAAATAACTATTATAAAACTTTGCGGCGTTTATTTTGGGGAAAACCAGATTTTCGGATCTAGTATTATAATTGTGGATCATTGTCTGAGGTAAATTATATTGTAATAAGAAGCATAAAGTTTTTTGAAATATAATTTTTTACAGATAATATTTTCGTTTCTGAGTATAACTGTTTACTAGGATGAAGTCTAGGTTTACGATGTACAATTTTTAACGATGTTCTGTACTACCTGAATGCTGGAAATATATCTATGTGCAGCTCCTCCCTATACAACTATACCATATTCTATTATTTATTGTAATAAGGCAAATGTATTTTTTTTTTAACCAATGTAGATTTAAAAATTGTTTTGCGATATTATAGAAAGCGTATAATCTACGCAATTTTAAATTTAATTCTGAAATATGATAATTCCAACGCAAATGTTGGTCGAATATAACGCCTAAGTATTTCGTATTGTTAAATCTATGAGCGGGCATTTGCATTGTATAATGGATTTACATACTGGGTCATGAGCTTTTAAGTTAGAAATATTCGTAGTTGTTTTTATTGAATTAGAAAAAAAAACTGTTTTATTATTGTTTAAAGTTAATTTATTGTTTGAAAACCAATTAATTATTTTTTTTTTAGAGAGTTTTCTGCTATTTTCACCACTGATTCCCATGTTTCACCTGTCACAATCAACGTTGTATCGTCTGTATAGGAATATAAACTACCCTCAATTTGTAGATTGGAAAGTTCCATGACATATATAATATATAACAACATACTGTATCCTGAGGTAATCCTAGAGACATATATTTACTTGTGCTTTTTATACTATTTATTTGAACTTTGTATCTTCTGTTTTCTAGATATGATGTGAACCATGCTAGCGCTTTGTGTTTAATACCGATTTGGTTTAGATAATCACACTGGAGATTAGTAATATAATAATAATAATAATAATAATAATAATAAATAAACAAAACGGTATACGGGCCATGCATGAATATGCAATTTTCATAAAAAATGTGACATGTGACAATACATAAACATGTTTTTTTTTTAGTAAAAACAGTTTTCTTTCTTCATGCGTAACCGAAATCGATAAATTAGAAACGATTTTAAGGATTAAGTTTCCCCGCTTTCGACGAATCGTTAATTCACAATTGCACAATATATTGTTTTTTTGTGTTTTCGAACTGGATATGTGTTACGATAATATTAATGCAACGAAAATCCGTTTTTTTTTTTTTTTTAGAAAAATATTAAACTCCGGTAATTTGTAAAATGTTTATGCTGTTCAATTTATTTTAAAAATGCGTCACACAGGCCCACCGCCCACGAGTCATTATTATTAAAAACAATATTTTCTCCTGTATAGGAATTGTGCAATATGATGTAATGGTAGCAATATTAATAATAATATGGTGTTTACGTCGTTGCGTTTTATCGCGTTCTATATCGAAGGTAAATAATAAAAAAAAAAAAAAAAGTTATGCGTTTCGGAATTCGACGTTTACAATATATTTTTAGATTCTGATCGAAACGGACGAATTATATTAATTTCAATTGTGTTTTTTGTGAATAATAACAATTACAGAGTATTATGTCTGTTATGAATACAAATACATATGATGTATATGTCTTATTCCTGCTACTTTCGAACACGTTTATCGTCTCGCTGTAGACCAAATAAACTCAAACACGGCATTAGAGTGCTTTTGTACGCGGATGGGAGTGATAACATTTCGGTCGAATTTTAATAAGACGTTTACCATGTTGTTACGGGAGGAAGATGTTTTATTAGGTTTGTATTAACTACTCAAATGAAAGAGGGTAATAACATTGTATAAAATTTATGTATGATGTGGTTATCAAGGATTTGCCTTTTGAATATTTCAAATTTTAACCCCCACCTTCTATAATTTTTATGCTAAAATTGAAACTCCATGAATTTGGCCCCACCCCCCTCATGGTTTAGTCCATTTAATTTCTGTTAAAAATAGTAAAGTCGTAATATAGTTTAGAACTGTATTATTATAGTATTCGATTATTTATTATTATTGCAAAGAATATTTCTAAAATATAAAATAGACATAAAAAAATGTCACACGCAGCTCTATCACTCGTGGGTTTTCTTAAAAGAAAATACGACTTCACATAGCTATATCAATAGAATATAATCTTAACAATTTCCAAAAAATCTATAATTTAAAAAAAAAAACCTTAAAAAACCTTTTTTGAAAATAATTATTTACGAAGTCAGCCGAAATGAAATCTATATATAATTTTTATTAAACGCATTATTCACATTGAATTTAAACTAATGATGATATAATACTTTTCATAAAAAATTTTTAACGGAAAGGGGGGAAATTAAGAAAACGGAAATTATTGTTATACTCGCAATGAAGGTTTCTGTTAATTTCGACTTTGTTTTATCTATTATTTTAATCTGTTGAAAATAATAGTTGATACCTGTAATGTCACCAAATATGTATATTAGTACTTTCTAGATGGACATTACAGTTTATAAAATGTTTTGTCATTTTCGATTTATTCATAGTTTTATGAAATCTTTGTGTTATTATTATTTTTAATATTATGTAGATACAGGTAAAATGAACGGTTTAAATGCACAACTTGGTAAAAGTTGCATCATAAAATGTACTATAAGTAAGCGAAAATGAAAAATTGTGTTTGTTATTATCGTGAAAACCCGTTAACATAAGTTTCGTTTATAAAAACACATTAAAAATAATTCTCTTTTAATCTTTTGTACAAATGTGTAGTTTTGGATTTCAAATTTTGAAACTTTGATTTTAGATCAGTTTTATTATACATTTTGTTTACAATAAAATCACAGAAGAAATTGGCTTTAAAAATAAATCAAATAATTTTATAGCAACACAATTTAAAAACTATTATTATGGTAATAGTGAAAAATGTATTAAATGTAATTGAAAAACTCTAAGAAAATATTTATATATTAAATTTAATATTAATATTCTTAATTATAAAATGAGAAATTTATAATATTAACTTGTATATATTGTATATATTAACACATATACAATTTCCTCAGTAATACATGTAAGTACATAATATTATTGTTCATAAGCATAACTGCCGTATAATTACAATAATACTTAATACTTACTTATATTCTCAAATACATAATTACACAATCATAAAATATGAAAAAATATTAATTATTTTTTCTCGAGATATCCGATGGGATTTTACCATATCAAATCGATCAACATTTTCACATTATTATTTGGGTCAATCCTATGGAGCTTATCGTCCTTATAGAATATAATATGGATATTATAATGATTTTAATAAGGTAATTTAAATTCCTGAAACGTTTTTTTTTTTTCAGTAAAATGCACATAATATTGTTTTTTTTCCCGACTATTGAATCTTAAATTAATAATTAAAATTGTTTATTGTTATATAGGAAGATACTGCGTATAAACTTAAACAATAAACAATAAAAAAAAAAACCATAAAGCAATATTTTTTTTTTTATATACATATATAGGTACGTAAGTATATTACATATAAAATAAATAGTCGTAATTTGCTACAAATAATATAGTTATTATAATTGTACTCAGTTAACTAGAAATATAACATAACAATAAACGATTGGAAAAATAATATGTTAAGGCGTCCAACTCAATAATACTCGAGTAATAATAAATTAAAATATTGCATTTTAGTAAACAAAAATATATAGGTAGGTGAACACAGGTTGTGTCGTACGTGCGATTGGCATTCTTCAACTTTGTCTGATCTAAAAAATACGAAATGGATCAAACACAATCGAACACGTAAACCCCAGGGGTGTCAAATTCACGGAGCATCACAACAGTTGGTCCGATTAGTTCAATCAAACGGGAGACGATAATTGGCAACTAATTTTCAATAATTTGTCATTTCAACTAAGTACAATAAGAGACACATGTTTCACTACAGCGGCCATTGTAAATAAATCTACTGTATAAATGGGGAGGAGGACTTACAAACAGTAAAATCATAGATAGATTTGAAAAATATTTGACCAAATCAGAAAGTCGATTTTGCCCTTTGACATGCGGTAATATTTATTTTGCTGTCGTGAAAAAAAAAAGGTACAATACGATATTTTTTATTCACAATTATTGCAAATCAGTTACAAAACAATGTCGTTGTTTAGGTACTAATCGTACAAAATAGGAGTGCCAATTTCGTTACGTTACTATGCATACTAACTTAAACTTTACAGCTTTCATTTAAAAATTAATTGTTGAATTATAAACTGTATATAGCTGTTCTATTTAGAGTTGTCGTGCCAATTTATTAATACACTCCCGTTTTTTCGACCATTATAAAAAATATTTTTTAAAAATCTTTCCGAAAATCACAATTAATAAAATAAATTAAATTTTGACAAGCCTCCTCGTTTACACTCCCACCCTTAGTACGGTTAACCGATGTCGTTTTTTTCCGTGTCATCAAGGTAACTCATAAATCAACAAAAAAATTTAGATTTTGGTATGAAATAATATAGATATTAGATATATTAATAAAAGCAAGTTTTTATTTGTGCATAATCCACAACCGGATCTATCGAACACACAGAGCTATAATTTTGCGTACAAAAGCGGATGTGTACGGGTATGCATCTAGAAATCTGATTGATAGCCACTACAGGGGTAGCTCACATATAGTTTTTCGTATTTTTGAAACAAACGTAGAAATATAGATGTTGATTTATTGGTTACCTTGGTGAATAAGATGAAATAAAAAAATAGTTATTGTAGTTAGTTAATTTAGTTGTTACGGGTAAGTAAATACTTTTTTTACAACGGTTAACGGTCAATGGTTGTGATAGGGGCGAGAGAAACGCCCAGATACGTTTAATTGAATTTTTTTCGGTTTTTAAAAATGTTACTTTTAAATAGTAAAAAAAGGGGGAAATTAAATTGGCACAAGCAATACCACGTCGGTTGAGTCAGATATATTATTAAATAATTTAAACAATTTCTAACAATTTATGAGATTAAATTTGATTTGATCTTTCTGCAGCCAAGAAACCAAATTATTATTAGCATATGCGGGTAAAATATTATTAATAATAACTGAAATGTAAAGGCATAAAGATAAATAAAAATGAAGTAAAGTAACAAATATGAGTTCTTATAAAGTAAGTTCGGTACCGCGAATTTTCGTCTTCCCATTTCACGAGAATTTAATCTCGATCACTCATCCAAACCAAATAATATGAATTTAAGTATCTATAGGATAAAATATTATTACCTTGAAATTGTATAACTAAGATTATAAATATTTTTCATTTTGTGGTAAATAAATTGCACTTGGACTTTTTACCATGCACGAGCATAATTTGCATTATGGATAAGTGCCACTGTTTTAGATGGTAAGTTTGGAAAGTTTAAACTAATTAATTAGCTTTATATGCTATAACATTAACAATAAATCATTGAAATAAAAATCAATAAAAACAATCTGAGTGAATCTCGGTAAACTAATATAATATTATTATTAGTATTAGACGTTTTTTATTTTAACCAAGAAATAAACTAAAATAAAATATAATATAATATATATATATATATTGTAGTTATTTATTGTTGTAGGTTTTTTTTATAATATTTAACAAAAATTTGGAATTTCGAGAATGTTTTCGATTATAGTACCATCCGGCTACAAATCCGTATTAATATGGTTAATTTTACAAGCCGAAAAAAAGTATTTTCCGAGTGGTAAAAATATGTTTTTGTAAAACTATAGTTGTCTCTTTATTATGTACCCAAGATCTAAAAAAAAATTCAAATATATTTATTACGAGAAAAAAAAAAGCTGATACTGCTAATTGGCATGACACTGTTTTGGGAAAATTAAGAAGGTGCATATGTTAAGTAATTCAATTTAAATCTGTACGCAAAGATATACTTTTGCTAATGAAAAACGATTCTGAGCAGAGTGAAATCAATAAATAATTGCCAATTTTTTTCCATTTATCAAGAAAACTGTAAGATAAATTCAAAATGTCTTTCTCAATGCTCCATCTAGATTCTAAACGAAAAGAACTATACGGGATAGTTTCTTTCATTTTTTGATTGGAGCGAGTATTCTAGAAATCTTAAAAGTAGAAAAGTTGTTTACAGACACAAAAGAAAAACACATATATCAAACCAAAACATTCCTCGATTCGCTGAGAATCTAAAAAATGTCAACGTTTAATTTAATATCTATGACTATTAGGTACTAGGTAATGTATTTACAATACTTTTATAATGTTTTAAAATTCACAGCAATAGTTATAAATAATTTTTTATTAGTAATGTGCGTTTACGATTTACGTCAATTTATCTTTGTGGTAGGTCGTAAGCGTGGAGATTAGAACGCTACTAATCTCCATCATTGTCATAAGTAATGAATCGTGACCTACCGCAAACAAAATATTTTTCTGTGGTCCAAAATATTTTAAATTTTAAACGTAGGTACGCAATATTCCTATTTTACTCGTGGTAGTAGTTTTAAACTCGCGGTGTTTGTCCACAATAATTCGATAAAAAGTATTAAAAAAAAAAAATAAACAAACAAACATTCAAAGTGAATAATTGTTGAGTATATTTTTAAATAAGTGAAGGAATCCGAATTATGCAAAAAACGTCGTATTTTATAAAGTATATTATAGAAAAAAAAACAACATTTTTAAAAAATTTTCACGGCCAGCTACCGGTTCATAATATTATAAATACAATAATAATATTCTGAAAAAAAAAAAAAAATGCAATAGTAATAAACGATGAAATTTACTGCAACAACGTAAACTATACCGTTTTTCCGTTTTTTTCCAATTGTTAAGAAAACTGCCTACAAGGAAAATAAAAAGTTACCTCCCTAATGCACTGATCATGTTGATAATTGAATTTCAGAAAAGAACGGAACACTAGAAAATCAGAGCAATTTTTCAGGTTTCTGGTTTATAGGCACAACAAATGCAAAACGCGTCTTATTAGTATACAATCAATATATTCCTCGCTATTATTCAGTCAGGCAATCGTCGCGGAGTTTCACATATTTTAATTTTACAACTAAAATTATTATCCATTTAGTCTCCATGTGATATTATGTAATAGGATTAGAATACATACGAATAACTTCCATTTTTTTACTATCGTGTTATGAGTAATTTGAGTACGGGAAAATTATTGTCGATTTAATCATTGAAGAAAAAATATATCGACAATAATACGTCCATGGAATTTGTATAAACAGTGTGATTTTTTTTTTTCATCGAGCTATTATTTGTGTACGAAGATTTCGAGTAAAATAGATTTTGGTTTTTATTTTATACTGGTTCTTCTAAAAGCGACTTTCGATTTTCAAGTATTACCGCTTCCCCTTTTCAAACATCCGCAAACTATTTGATTGTTGAAATTTGTTTGACGATAAATTCTTGATCAACGAGTCAATGAGTCAATAAATGGTGGTTATTTTTAAATTTCGAATTCATTAATTATCTTCAAAAATTTCCAACAAAACCGATCTTGGTTTTCTTGAGCCATTGTAGAACCGTTCAATTATTTTATTCACGATGAATTTTCAAAATTACCAAAGAAGAGTATTATTGTCTAAAAATGTATAATAATATACAATTTTTAACCCTTCACTACTCCTTCCCGATAAAAATGTTAAGCTTTCGTAACTCATAAACGGTATATCGGTTTATGTATTTTTTTTTTTTTTGGAAAATATTTAATTTTTGAATCTGTGTTGAAAATGTGTGAGGGGAAGGAATTAATATTTGAAAATCAAAAGTCCATACTCATTTAATAAGGTACCTATTTAAGGTATCTATTAAAAGGCGTAGGGGTAAATATATGAAAATAGTATACACATTGAGATCATAAATCAGAATTCTGAATAAAACTGAAATCTATTTTGTTCGAAATATTGTCGTATCACCTTGTACATGATAGTAATAACACAGATGGAATCAAGAAATTAACATCACTATGTTCAAAATATGCATCTTAGATTTGTTTTTTTTTTTTTTATTATTATACAAATGTTTTATTAAACTATCAGTAAATTCAGTTTAAGTGTGAAATATTAGTGTACAAGGTCGTCGATGAATGCTCATCATAATATGTTTAAGACGTCAATAAAACTATGATATTATTTAATATTCTTTGTTTATTTATTATTTTTTTTTTTTTAGTAAACATTCCGTAATTACTTATATATTAAAATACATTTTGAACATTTACATAATAATTAATATTACACTTTCATAGAAAAAAAAATGCATTAATATTAATTTAAAATTTCGATATTGTGTAAAATAAACACGAACTGAAAAATTATACGTAGGCGGGATAATAACCTACTGGTATAAATTGTTTTGCGAAACGAAATATTACATATAATCAAGGCCGGATTATGAGTCCAGCGGGCATTGCAAATGGGCCCTCTGTCAATATAATATAAAATTTTTGTAATTTTGTGTACACACATTTTTAACGAACAATTTGCGTAGATTTGTAGTCCCAAGGGTAAACTAGATGAAAAGTATTGACACGAATCTGGAATCGATCGAAAAAACGTAGGGGACCGACTCACCCCCTCGCTAAAACGAGTGCGAATTTGAATTCTCTCGTTGCAAATTGCTGCAAATTAATTTCAAATTATCATCGCAAATTCGGAACCGATCGGATAAAGTGGTTGAGGGGTAGTGGGATTGCGTGAAGTTGACTCCCCAAACGTTAAAACGTCGATCGTACACAAAATAACAAGTAGCGAATTGTCGCGAAAAAGCCGTGAAACATCGAAATGGATTCGGAGTTTATGCACTGACAAAGTGATAGGAGGGGGGGGAGTGAGGCAACTTCTCCCCTTTAATCCGTCCTTGCGCGTAATTTTACCGTAAATATTGGTGATAATAATAATCGAATTTACAATCGCGATTCAGTATAAGCGCTGTAAATAATTCTCTGTTCAGTCTGTTTCCACAAAGAATGATTAATAGGAACGATTGTGGTCGTATTATATTATACTGGATGACATAAATCAGGCGTGTCGGACATCGTTTATGTCTCGCATCGTCCGGTAACGCGTCCAACTATATACGCGCCATCGGGCGTTTGTAGTGTTTGTGCTCGGGGCTTATTGCGTGCGGATCAAACTGTAGAAGATTCGAAAATAATCTGTGTACCACATATATATGTATATAATATTGTTATCGTATCGAGCATATTTATAGGTTAACGAAAAATACACAAAACAATATTTCTAACGCCCTCGACAAGACAAACAAATAACTACCTACACGTCTCGTTATTATAAAACTAATATTTATAGATCACGCGATTCATCGCCCAGATTCTAAAAATAGACGATTACATAAGTAGTCGCTGTATTATAGACACTTGTTTGTAAGTTAAAAATACTGTACTTTTTCATTGCGCTACGCGACTAATAACAGGTAAGTAACAATAGTTTGAAAAAAAAAAAATTCCAACGCGTGTTCAAAATGTACGATAATTATACGCTTATAATTATTATCAATCGTGACTCTTATGTATTTAATATTTTACGATACACGATTTATGCACACTACAATATTATTATAGGTACTTTTAATCACGACCTATAGTACACGCGTATTGATACTATACGGTTATTTTTTTATTTATCAAACAAAATCAAACGTTTAGTAAACAAAATTGCCACTATACGGATGTTCGATATTTTTCTAACGCCATACTGAAGACCTCAGGTAAAATGCTTGAGCGTTTTCGAAAAGTCGACAAAATGTTATCCACATAAAATCTAGCAAAAACTAAAATATCTCGATATTGACAAATGATAGCAACTGTATAATATAAGGAACCAGAAAAAAAATGAATTAGAATCGAAAATCTAGCTACTACCAAAATTCACCCCCAGAAGCAATGTTTTGATTATTTAAATAAAATCATCTAAAAGATAATCGAGATAATGCCACATCATTATATTTTTATATCTAGATTTAACCAAGACGTATTATTTTTACTTTTAGTAAATACATAATAACAGGTCCGTGAAGTTAGCCGCACAACATCAATATTTTCGATATCGAACATCAATATAAAAAAATAAATAAAATATACCCCGATTCAGTTATGCTCAATCATGTCGGATAGGAGTTTAGGGCGCATACTAGTTGCTTCCTGATGTTTAAAAGTCAATAATTTTAATACGAATTATCTCCCAGGTTTATACAAGTGAGTAGCCTCCCGGCGTACCCTAAAATTTGTCGTAAACGATAAGGGTCTATTACTAGTTGTCTCCCAATAGGCAGGTAATGAATGTATAAGTGATTCACAAACGATTTGATAATTTTCAAACAGTATGCATAAATATACAGATTTGTTCAAATCTTTTATCATGAAGTAATATTATGTTGGTTGTTACTTATTAATAACCTATCATTGGATTTTGGATTTATAGATTTAAAGTCGTAATCTATGACTTTTGTGCATTGATAAGATTGTACGACTAATATTAAACATTACATCTCTTATGTAATGGTTACTATCGTTAGTTGAGCTTCAACACTCGTCATACGATTTTATTTTTACAAAAAGTTATTAAGTGATTTACAATTTTCGAATAAGCTTTTAGAATGAATCAAATTAAAATGCGGAAAATGATCAGTGAAAAGAGCAAACGTGTTAAAATAATTAATAGTTTTAAATTTAGTTTTCAAAAAAAGTTAACCTACAGTAAAGAACGGGGGAATTGTGCGACAAAATTATGCAAAGTTGTTTTAAAAGTAGACGAAAGTGATCAGGTAATATTGAACGAAAATAAATTAAATCATAATAGACATTATCTAAACAAGTACTATTTATGTACATGTTTTTTTATTGACCAATTACATTGTTATTTTTAATAAAATTATAAATATTATATTAAATTCAGTTTAGTTTAAGAACCACTGCTTTATTCAATATGGGAGGTTACTAGTGCGAACATTTTTGAGAGGCAATTCGTATACAATTATGAACTACCTAATCGTCGGAGGCAACCATAGTGTATATTAACCTTTTTATTTACGATAAGGATAGGAGGCGATTCGTACATTTTTGGAGGCAACTCGAATGGACCGGGATTTTATTTCCTGTCATATGTTAATATGCGACCGTTCCGCGTTTCCGAAAACAATTCTTATCATTTTTGTACAACTGCTGTTCTACCGTTTCAAACACGGATGTCGTTTAAGACGTTTTATACAGTTTTTTACTGTTTCAACACATCGCAACCACGACTGCAAGTCACGTGGCCAGTATACTGGATTAAGAATATACCAGGTCAGAAGCTCAGTAATCTAAAAGGCTACCAATAACCAAATTTTATATTTTCACAAAAACCATAAAAGTAAAATGATTATACAAAATAATCTCGTTAAACATTTTTCAATTCTCATATATAGCTTTTCTCTTTCTTTTTTTAAACAATTTATCTGAAGTTATTTCTTTTAGCAGAAATTTCTCTATGGTCATTAACCCAGTGCTGTTATTAGTGCAAGTACTGAAGTAAATAAATGCGTGGCAACTATTAATTGTATACTTAATATAAAAATATTATTACACGCAGAGCTGTATCAGTAGTAGATACCAGTGGTTTTTAAATTCACAATAATCAGTTAATAAGTTAAAAATAGACCTTAGAAGCAAAGTAAACCCTTCAACAGGCGCGTGTCTTTTTTTTTTACATTTCTAGTCGTGTGAGATCTTTCGGACCCAGTTTCTAAAAAAAAAAGCGTAAAATATGTAAAAATAATCTCATTATTTTTTTAATCTGAAAACGGGTTACGGTTCATGATTTATACATATGGATATTGGATACTAAATTAATGATAAAAACAAAATCAAATAAAATTATATGCGAAACTATGTACGTTGTTAAAAATTATAACACGTAAAAAAAAATTAAACAAAAATGTCAACTTCCAAATAACGGGGGTATTGACACTAGGCCAAAACATAAACATACAATTCGGATTTGGGAATGTTTAATACAAACTCAAAAATTATGGATTCGTAAAAATGTCCCCTTTAATATTTCGGGGTTCAATCCGGCCGTGTGCGTGCGTATCCGTATTTTATGAAAGGAAATTTGACTTGGATAGTACTTTAAGGCGATAATTGTTTTCATTTTCCCAGGAGTTTTCCCAATAAATTGGAAAACCGGGAAAAAACATGGGAAGGTGAGTAGAAAAAACGGAAAAATAGGTATAATATTAAACAAATATTATCAAAGAAAATATATAATACGTATGTTATTATTTTACTATAATCTGATATACATATATATAAATGATTTTCTACCATTGCAAAAAAGCCAAAACACAACACGCAAGGTTACAAATAAAAAAATTAGAAATATCCTAAAGAAAAACTGTTTGAAAACTTTAATGTCCTTAATATATAGCTCCTATACCCAAAAACTATCGCCATATTTCTAAAAAAAAAACACTATCGGTTGGATCCTAAAAATTATGGGATCAGCACCAGATACGCAACTAGTAATTTCACCTTAAACTAGCCCATTAAAACTTACTGCCAAAAAGTTATCTATTTTCTGGGAACTCAGATATTTAACCAAATGCTTAGTGGTGTGGCCAATATGCCACTTCCTATATTCAAAAAGAAAAATGTCCAACTGGCTCCGATATGAATATGTTGCGACTAAAACTAAATAAATTATATACCATACTAAATAACACTAGTAACGTGAATCTGAAATTATTTATTTATTTATTAAGAAAAATTGTTCAGTAACTTTTTATTTTTATTTGTATATAATAATCAATTATAATATGTATCTATATCCTCAGCTTGGGTTGTATGAGGTATATTGCAATTTAACTGAAACAGCTTCATAGGAAAAAGAACTTCATGCAACCATTTATATTCATGATGTAACCATGGAAAAAATTGTTAAAAGAGACCGAGCGAATCAACTCTAAACTAAAATAAAAATTAACAACTTAAAAAAGAAAGTTTAAGATAAGATAGTTTCTACGACTTTTTAAAGAAGTCATATTAAAAAAGAGTTGTTACTGGGGATGGAAGCGGCCCGGAACAGTTTTTTTTTTTCGAAAATGTATTTGCCGACGTATACCTATGTAAGTTTTGGGAAAACGAAATAAGTATATGCACTCTGTAGCTGGTGGACAAAATCTCAACTACTTGTAGTAGGTTAATCATATTGTTTCATATATAACATTTAATGCATTGTACTTGTGTGTTTTGAAGTCTAAATATGTTACATTTTTTTGTAGAATTGATGAAAAACAATAAGTGTATATTTTAATAAGTGGGTAGCGAGGTTTACAGGTTTCTCAAAATTGTCAAAAAGCTATGTAAATTGTTCAATTTTTGGCTGTAATTCATTATACTCAATTGCTTACACCACTGACTTATCAGTCCACGTCACCACCGCACTTACATACATACACAAGTTGGTTTATTAGTAATACAATGGAAATACATAAACATTTTTCTTTATCGTTTCTTAGTTAAACTTTTAGTATTTTTACACACAATACTATTATTTTGCTTTTTAAAACTTGCTCTCCTCTGACGACATTTCGTGTACACGTTTAGCAAACGTAAATATTCCTCCAATAGTGAATGACATAGTATTACTGACTTATCATAGAAAAAAACAAACGGAACATGAACATAAGCTCGTAATTCTAACGTTTTTACGCGTAGTAACACTAGTATCGCGATAATGTTAATCCTACTCCGAATCGGCGGGATAACCGGCACCCGCAGTTGCTACTAGCGCTTCCTTTTTTTAATTTGTTATCCCCTTAGATCGTGTATCATGGATAGAGCTACTGCACGATAAACGCGTACCACGAGTTGAAGACGTCGTTATTAACGAGCGCTAAGGGGACTGATGTCTGTTGCGCGCGCGTATTTAGTACTCGTCGCATATGTATCGTATATAATCGTTACACAACGCCACCAGGCAGTGATGGTAGGTACACTACACGTGATTACGTGAATTCAACCAATTACGCGGGATGTAAATGTTTCGCGCACGCGCATTGGTCCCAACTCCCCTTGGTGATGTTTGCTCCGATCGTTGATACCGAGTCAGTAACTCCAGCGAATATAATAACGTTATTATCGTCGCGTGATACTATAACGCGGGAAAACGCGGTCGCGATAACGCGCCGTACACGGGGTTAAAACACTGGGGGGGGGAGGGTGACGACGCGGGATGGGGGTGGGTCCACTCTTGTGTTCCCGGCGCGCGGTTTAATATATTATAACATATTATAGATATTATAGTAAACACTGACGGGCGCGCGTGATTTTACGACCGTCCGGACCGTCGTGCGTCGTCGTCGTGTGATGTTATTATCGCATTATATCGTTAAGGGTCGCCGCGCATTATACGCGTATAATGATAATAATAATAATAATAATAATAATAACAATATAACGCGAAACTGTATCGGGGCGGCGGCGGCGGCGGCGACGGCGGACGAAACGTATGCGGAAAACGCGTCGCGCGCACAATATAATAAAACATAATATTAAATAAATCGCACGGATATATCGCATCGTACGCGTTATATTATGTCTGGGGCGCACGCAAACGGCGCGAGTTTTTACAAAACGCAGACGGGCAAAGCGGTGCGGCGCGGTGCCGGGCGAGGGACGGCGGCGACGGGGATCGACACGGAGGCGTGCCGCAGACCGGCGGCGGCGGCGACGACGACGGTCCCTTTTTATTAATACTATTGTATTTCTCTGTCGGAATGTACGGGGGAGCAGAAAAAAAAAAAATTCGAGACGACCGCGATATTAATAAATACGTACCGTGTACAGAGTGGTCCATCTACCGTAATATACGAACCGTCGATTCGTCTCGAATTCGTCTCAAATCGGCGATTTGTTTTCACGCGAATTCGATTTCTAGTGTCTTTTCTTTTTTTTTTCAATCGCTATTTACGATATTTCACCGCTATACCTATAACCGCTACCTTAAGCCGGTATACGTTTTGATTCTCCATAACAGGAACTCGTCTGTGCGACAGTGACGTATTTACAAGGTTGAATCGCAGGGACGGACCCACCCCCGGGACTTTTTTTTCATATGCACATGTCATAAAACAATTTTATACCTAATGTATCGGTCGATGATCTTAAAATGTCATTAACAAAATAAAAATCCGTAGTTGTATAATGTGTATGTCGATTGTGTAAAATGCGCGGTAATCGTAGTAAAATAATGTCTCATCAGCTTAAAAGTAATACCGTCCACCACGGTCTACGACGTGACACACGGTGATCGGCAAAAAGCGACACGGTAAAAAACGTCAAATGTATTTTATTTAAAAATTACAAACATAAATGACTAATTGAAGGCTGCTGACTCCCCGATCAAATAACTTCCGTCGGATGGTTATATATTCTAAAGGCGCATCCTAGATGTTTTTTTGAGAATGGGGCTAAATTTACTATTATTAAACAGTAATAGTATTTATTTTTAAATATGTACAGAAATCCGAAAGTACGCTTGTGCACGATCTTAAAAAAAAAAATAAAACAAAAATCTACACAGAGTTACAAGATAAACTCAAAACATTATTTGAAGAATATTTAAGTGGGTATAAAGATATATAACAATTTTTTTATTAGCTATAGTATTAGCTGAAGTACACGATATTTATGATTTATTGCTATTTTTATTATTATTGAATTTAATTTACTTTAAAACTAATGTTTGTGATTTTTAAATTCTTCTTAAATTCTTCTCGGAAGTATACGGAAACAAAATACGAAACTAGGTCAAGACCTATTTAACATCAACAACTTTACTCTAGAACTCGGTATAGATGGCTTTACTGGCCGAACGGCTAAGGAAATGCTACTCCTTGTGTGCCACGACGTTTCAAAAGCGATTCCTTTATCCCAGCTCTTGGGAAACTCTATATTTCAACTACTTTTCGTAGCTGAGTACATAAGTGTTCATTCGCCCGGTGAGTACTACAGAACGCTAGACAACCTCGGGAAAACTTGTTTAAAAACTCAAACACATGAAATAATTAGACACAAACGAGTCTTCTAAAATAAAACACAGTACTTTATTCTAAATGGCTGGGTTCGTAATCCGCGCCTTCTGCTCGAAGCCCTGGAGGAAGAGTGTTATTCACAATAATATTTCAATAATCTTTTTAATCATTTGTATACAATAACTGAATTAACCCACGATAGTAGCGCACTGCTCATGTAACGGCCGGCGATCGCATAACATAATTTGCTAAGTAGACATACCATAATGTTATATTTTGACGTAATAATAATATTGCTGCAGGTGACGGTATTAAACGATATTATAATATATTAAACTATTTTATTATTATTATTGGCGGTTGGATATGCTACACAGAACCTGTGCGGTGCCGATGGAAAAACCTCCCTGTACGATAGATTTTAGCGAGACGAGTGTCGAATGAATAATAATAACCCGAAATCGAGTCAAGTTAATCGAAACAAAAAGGCAATACGTAAACAAAAAAAAAAAATTGATTGTTTTAATTTATCAATTTAATTGAGATTCAAATTAATCTTTATGGGACGAAGGTTATTTTGAATATTTAGGTTATATTTATAACTCAAGTAGGGTTAATTTATGTTTTTTTTTTTTTTTTGTAAAATTGTTATTGCAGTCATATAGTGAAAACGATTAACCATAGGGGACATAATGGATAGAAGATAGAGCTAGACCTAGGCCACGATTGTATGCTGTAAACTCGATATTGAGTTTAAAATGTTAAATTCAAAAAAGAAATTTGAAATAAAATTACGCGTTGAAAAATAGAAATCAATTCGATATTTATTAAGTTAGTGTAAAATACTAATAATAATAACAATTTGAATTAATACAAGCGATAAAAGGTTAAACGTTAAAATTAACTTCATTTTTAAACTGTTTTAGCTCGTAATGCGCGGCTTTGCGGATTCGAATCGAACCGTTAAACTGCCAAAATTATTTGAATTTTGCGACAACCAGAAGGAATTCCGGGAAAACTGCCGGAAAATTATTCGCGTAAATTCCGTTATTTCAGGTGAATATCGCTTAAAATACCACCCTGTATAATATCAAATGTTATTAATTATAGTATAAAATGCGTATAAATATAATAATAATTATGATATATTATAGTTTGCAAAATCGAGACCGAACGTCCGTCCGTTTGTCTAGACGCGGTCGGAGGCCCGCGTGCGTGCGTCTTTTGTGGCGTTGCGCGTAGGGGACACGTCGGCTAGGGGGCGACCGGTGGGGAGCGGCACAACGCGCACGCACTTCTCCGGGGTCCGTGCGACCGGAAATATTTCGTCGATACCGGAGAGCCCGTCGACGGCGGCGGCGTCCCCCCTCCCACGGGGGGAATACACGCGACCCCGGTGCGTACGTACGAGCAGTGTCTGCGTATGTGCCTGTGCGTGCGTACGTAGTGCGTACGTGCGTGCGGAGGGGTGTGCGCCAGACTCCCGTCGGCGGCGGCCCCGTCTGTCTAGACGCACCGCGCGCGTGGACGCGGAGACCACCCGAGTTTGCCGAACGCCATACCGTACCGCGCCGCCCGTCACGCGGTCGCTTACCGTCCCGTCACCGCGCCGCGGCCCCGTAGGCGCGCCGCCTCAGGTCAAAAAATCGCATGTCTCGTCGCCCCCTCCCGCCGCACACGTACTTCTACCCGTCGCCGTATAATGTAATTGTTATCGCCGGCGTGTTGGTAGGCCTGCGCCGCGTTTTCAATTCCGAGGATGACGGGCGGGCGTTCCCGCGTTAAATAATATTTCGTTCAGGTGGGAGCGCACCAAGTTGACTAGCACAAAAAGTCTACTGACCGGTCAAAATATGTATAAAAAATATTATATTACAGTGGTAATATTTTCAAAATAGGGGCGCAAATTGTTTTAAAACGAAAACGAGTAGTTTCCCTACCAATGATTTTCGGAGATAAAACTTACCTACAAAGAAGTATATAATAAGGATTTTTTTTTCTAAGCAACTACCAACATGCATGCTTTGTCTTTAAATAATAATATTAATCATTATATATTATACAGAGTGTCTTACAATTTTATTCTTATACTAATAACTGTCAATATTCATTTTTGTTTAGGTGATAAGAAATCACAATCAGCACGGTAATTCCTTATCTTCTATTGAATATTAATTGTCTTCACGCCCATTATTTATACATTAAAGCCACTATAGCTGAAAAACTATTAATCTGATATAAATGTATGATACATTCAAATTTTTAAAATAATATATTTTACAAAATTACTATTTTGAAAATTTTAAAAAGTGAAAATATAAAAAGTTATTTTTATCAGTGATTAAGAGATGAAAACAAAAAATCAAATTTTATCTACATTATATGTGTCCTCTGCCCCCCTCCCACACAAAACCCGATTGAACGAAAAAATTATTATTGATAAAGTTATATTAGTATAAGTATAACAGTGTAGGACATCTTGTATTTTATTATTATATAATTGATCGATGCATGGAAAACTGAAGAACGGAAAAATAGGTACAATATTAAACAAATGTTTAATGCGTATATAATTATTCTACCATAATATTATATATATATTATTGACAAATCAACGCAATCCTTTGAACTTAGCTCAGAATGGTTTTTTTCGTTAGCAAATGGTTTATCGTCGATTACAGAAATAAATTAAATCAATAGATGTATTTACCCACCTTCCCAACTACCCAACCACAACAGTGATCGCACTCGTTCACAGTATTAGCTTTTTTTATTTATATTAAAATTATTATTAATTTATTTAAGTTATTAAATTAATATTATTAGTTTACCAAAAATAATAACATTACATTATGTTAATTCGACTATTTGATATATTTTAATAGTATGACAATAATTTTTAATGTTTGGCTTGTTAACTAGTTACCAAGTTAAATTGCTTTGAACTTTTTAACTTAACTACAGTCAATTATTTTTTATCGTTAACTAATTAACTATAATTAACTAGTATAAGTTTCTACATAAACTTAACTTTGTACAGTTAAATTTTCTAGACATCCAATTAACTTAAAGACAAAGATTTTTTTTTCGGATTCGAAATTCATTTTTAATTCACTTTTATCAGTACTGAGGTTAATATAATACAATTTACTGTGACATTTGATTTAGTTTATTTTTAGATAAATTAAAACTATATACATATATAAAGGTATATTACTTTATATTGAATATATATGATGATGATTTTTGTTTAGAAACTAAAAAACAAATTATTTAATCTTTAACTTGGTTAAGTTGACATCTTTTTGAATTTTAACTTTGAACTTGACTAGTGTAATTTTTTTTTATTAAATTTTAACTGAAGGCTTATTTGTTTATTTAATTTAACCCAGTTAATTATTTTCGTAATTTTAAATATCCAGCTAAATATTAATTTAAAAATATTTCGATATCAAAGAGTATCTCACGTATAAAATCAATTAAAATACGATTAGAACATAATATTTTATACGATGAATTGATCAGAGATGGATCCAGCCTTCCACAGACATATTATATTTTTAATTTTTTTTAAAATTCTATAGAACTTGATGTTACTATATTTCAATCACAGATATGTATAATAATAAAATGTGATTGAATTGAAATATAATGTGATTCTAATATTATAATTTCGTAATTATATGTTAATTAGTGACACCACAAGAGTGCGCTACGTCACCACCAAAGTTGATCCCGGAATATATCACAAATAGGTTGTGGTTGATTAAACTATTATAGTACTATAATTAGATTTATAGACATTGCAATGAATTTTATTTTTGTTTTAATCAAATTTTTGAACCCCCTCCATATCTTTGCTCTTTATCCGTGTCTGAAATCGATTCGTTATTAATCTTCAAAACACATAGGTAGGTATTCACGAGACGTGTAATTTGTTAGCGACCTAGGCAATAGAAATTAAAATATTATTAATAATGTGGGTTATGTGATTTACATCACGTGAAAATTAAAGGAAATCGATCGTAGACAAAAAAAATGTATCCACAAGACGAGACAACGTCACACGTCTCCATCGTCGAAGTTCAATGTACCCAATGCAGACGGATGGTGCATTTCCGAAACAAATATAACAATAAGAATAATAATAATAATACTGCGCCTTTCTTCTTGTTTCCTTCACCATGCAATCGTTTTTAAATCGCATCACGCAAACCCGAAACTGCATCGGTGCGGTGGTGGTAGGGGGAACAGTTTATACTCAGGAAACTCCCCTCCCCACGTGATAATCGGTTTTTTAATTCGATACTGGAACCTATCTGAGTGACACACTCGCTTTTTATCCGGTAGCGGACAGCCCTGCAAAACAATAAAAATAGACTATTAAAAAAAATTTGTATATCCGTATTTGACGCGAAATGAAACTTCAATGCTTCATAATAATATATTGTCTTCGATGACGTCAAACGACATATTACATTTATTTCGAACATAGTTTCGATTATATACTATTATTGACACGTTGAGTGTGTTATCACAGACCAGCGATTATCTACGAAGAGTGCGCGTATATTAAGTTTTGGTTTATCAAGTCGTCAATCGATTTCATACATCAATATTGTAATGGTTCAGCATTCATTAAAACGTGCATTTTTGGACAAAGACTAAAGTTTATAAATTTAAATATTACGATGCTACACGATCTGTGTTGTAAACGGTCGAACCATCGAATTAGTAAGCCACACCAAAAAGGCAAAAAAAAAATCATCATTTGCTCTTACTAATGAATACCTATTTGAAATCATACTACTTGATCTACTTGATACTTGATCATATCTACTTGAAATAATAATTTAAAAAAAATGAAAGCTATTCTGCATAATAACACGGCGAATTTTAGACCAACTCTATCTACTATACGGTTATGGAGGGGTTGACTGTAACTAACTGAATAGAAACGAAAATGTCGTTCGATAGAAAAATACTCAGAATTATCTGTAGCCTAGTATAAAATCACGAACAGTTTTATAACATCTGATAAAAACCAAAATCAAATAAATTCGAAATCTTCGTATAGATTTTCGTTTGTGATAAAGGAATTACCCTAGATATTAGTGTATATATACATTAAAAATAACGTTGGATAAATACGTATAAATGTTAATTATTATTAATGAAAATATTATTATTAATCGCTTTCCGTGAAGAATAATTATTGTTTTAAAAAACACAAAATAAATTGTGTTTGGATTATTATTTAAAATAGAAACATTATTGTTTATACTTTTCGATTCTGTACAGTAAAATAAACACACTTGTATATGGATAAGCTATCATTTGTGTTTTTCGGGAAACAATTTTGAAATGTGATTTCAATTTTGGTAAATGATTTTTTGGGCATAGATTTAACATTTATTATTTGGAGAAATAAAAATAAATATTTAATGAAATATACAGTCACAAAAGAAATCAGGCGAAGAATACATTAAAGTACAAACAAAGAACAAATGCAGCAGAGTTGAAAGCAACGTTTAATGAGTCAGGTAACATTAAATTAGAAATTCTCAAAAGCCAAACGATAAACTTGACCGAGTTCGTTTGTAATAATGGATTAACTAATACGTGATAACAATATCGTAATGCAGAAACTAGACGAAAAAAGACAAATGGTATGACCGAGACAACGACAGTAGAGTGATCGGGTTAGGGAAGATCTTAAGCTCTTATGAAAATAACGAACTAAAAACAAGTATTGGACAGGGGATGCTTGGTAGAAAGTAATGGATGTAGTGTAAGGATTAAGCCAAAAAAAAAAAAAAAAGGTATCTGAAAAAAATAAATAAGAATACAACAATCGATGTTAAATAGAAAGAAATAATAAACAAGATAATTAATAAATAATAATAGATACGAATTGTTTTTTTTTTTTTTTTTAATTCGATTTTCCATACCTTATAATAATATTTTTATTATTATTATCGTTACATAATCAATGACCACAGATATGATCGATACGAGTAAAGTTGTACCTATTATTATTATTATTATTTTTATTATTATTATTATTGTATACCTACTACAATATTACCTACTATAGATTATGACATCATACATAAACAAGTTATACATTATTCAAAATGACCTTACACAATATAAAATAGTATCAATTACGTGGTACAATCAATAAACCAATAATTGTACTTAAATTTTTTTTAATTTCCGACTAATTTCCGTATTATTCGATTTAATTATAATAAATTAAAAATATATTATCATATAATTATTTAATCATTGTATTATTATTTAGCTATACAGTTGTAGTGCATAATAATAACCGAAATCGCCGAGTCGCAAAATGTTTTACTGTAATTATTGAACAACACGCATATTGTTTTTTAGTGAAGTAATATACGGAAAAACAGGTCAAGTGTGAGTTCTATTATACTAGCGTGCTGATGGTTCAGATATACTAACACTGGTTCAGTACATACTATCTAATAATAATCATGAATACATCGTAGACATTTCTTCTATGCCTAACCAGACAATGGGAATTCAAAAGAGCTAATTTGTATTCGATAAATCGAGCTTTTACTTGTTTGAATTACTAAATACATATTTATATTTGTTGTATTTTTAAGTTGATGGAGGAATACAATCCCTAATCTTCTCTTTCCTGCGCATGTCGTTTTTTACTATGTGGACAATATAAAAAAAAATCAATTTTAAAAAATTTTAATCAGTAATTATTTCGACCTATAAAAATACAATTTTTATGTTAAAAAAAAATTGTTTAAAGGTCTTTCCAAAGATAAGTATCCATCAATAGCGCACTGGTAAAATAAGACATTCCTCCTACTTTTTGAACGTATGGAGACCCTTACGTATATCATACTTGTTATCATCATGTTTTGTGAATTGCATCTTCCAATTTAAATACCTACAATTGGTGATAAACGATATAAAAAAACTCAACAACGGTGTCTATTACAAAGAAATACAAAATTATTTTTTGGAAAAAAAAATACATGTATCACTAGAGCAAAACAATGGTTCAGTGACATATTTATTGGAATGGATTATGGAGACAGATCCGCTCCCATAATTTTTTGTATGCATGTACCTTTTATTAAATTATATTTATTATAATTTATAGGTATTAATTGATAATTTTAAATTATCAAAAAAATAAAAATCCGTAGTTTTCTAATTTATGCTAATTGTGTAAAATACACGATCATGATAAATTAATCGTGTCTTATCAGTTAAAACCATGGACTACGGTGCAGACCATAGAGTAGTACTATTTTATGGTGTGACAGTGGCAGCACGGCGTGTAGTATGCAATACAGACAACAGTGTTTCTCAACCTGGAGGTCACGACCTCTTTAGGAGTCACCAACTAATTATTTAGGGCCGCTAAAAATATAAAATATCGTATCACCATGCATAAAATATATATTTAGGAATCGCTATAAAAATTAACATTCATTTAGCAGATTGCGATAGAAAAAAAGTTGAAAAGCACTGATATAACACTGACACTGAATTTACAATCATATAATTGAGTTTCTGAAGCTATCGAAAAACGCAAATTATCACGTCATCGTAATATTAAATATTAAAATTCGTTATTACTTTTTGGATTTTAAATTTATAATTGTCACACGTAAAAGCAAAACCCAATAAGAGTTTGCAGTGTTTAAATTATCATTTTACATAAGTTATATTTTCTTCGTTAAATATTGTATAAAAAAATCATAGTATACTAATATTAAAATAACTTCATAATTTACAACTCATAGAAGTTTTAGAAAGTCGTATGAAGATGAATAATCAGACGATAATGTATCTATTTAAAAAAAGCCCGTACAAGTATAATAAAAATGAAAAACTAAATAAAAACTTTATGATAACTTTTTAAGTTTGCAGTAAAGTATTTTATATTTGAAGAAAAAACCATATTATTAAAAAGTGAAGTGTCTATATGAAATTTGGCGAAATAGGAGTTGTGAGGAAGTGTAGCCGCGTAGTCTGTATTGTCTGTAAACTAACATTTTCGTCATCCCTCCCATAAAAAAACAGCCAAAATACGGTACAACGGTTCCCAGGTTCCCATATCTCAACTCAACTCTATATCAAAGGACAATAACTGTCGTGAAAAATACACAATCTCCATTAATACGACTCACAGAATCGTGTAAAATACAATGAAATGCCAGTGAACTCGAATTTCAGTCGCCACGTACTAGTGACTTACTGGCTGCCATGCAACTCACTGCAAGTTCAGTAATTTCATGTCCATATTTATTTTCAATTTAGTACTTTTCATTTTGCTTTTAAATGAAATTTAGCTTCATATCATATTTGACATCAAAAATTGTTTAAGAGTAAGATTTTTATTTAAAATTCAATTCATTGTCAATACTACTATTTTAAAGTTATATATAACTTTAAACTTGACTTTTAATAAAACTAATATTTAAAGTTCATACAAACACTTTAAATATTTAAGAAAAATCATTTTCGATCGTGTAGCAATAAAATTACCTATTTCAAAATTATTTTGGTGATTATATTATTATTGCGCAAGGTTACAAGTTAAAACTATACACCCACAGCAGCAACTATATAATATTTAAGGAGAAATACGGTGAACTATACACATATATTATAGGTGTACATAAAAGGCCATTGAATAGCAACACTGGAAGATAATACTAAAAAACACGATTATAATCTGTTAGGGTTATAATTTCAATAACAGGATGACAATATACTTTAAAGATACGTACGTCGATCCAACGAAATTGATAAAGATTTTATATAATATAATGCCATGATGATATAATTATTTATAAATAGAAATTGAACTTATAAAAGTAATAATCATAATGAATGTTACACATAATTTTTCAAATAACTTGATTAATAATTTTTGTTATTGAAAATTTATTTACTATTGAAATTTCAATAGAAGTAGATCATATAAATAAAATAAATATATCAAATAACTATGAATGAATTATAGCATTTTTTTATCTACACCAATTTCCTATGATAGTTCAATAACTGGATTTAAAAAAAAAATAAATTTATCAAGTTTTTCCTTATTGTAACTTGGCTGAAATATATAAATTACAAAATAAATATTCATAGTTGATGTTTCTTTATTCTGTCTGGAGGAGAAATATAACACTTAACCTCCCCCTTGTACACATAACTGATATTACATTATAAAAGCCTCATATCTTTATAAATATATATCATTAAATTACTAAAACGACAGCCGTCACAACACTCAAAACTGCAACAAATAGGAATGTGCTTCCGCGAGGACAGCAAAATACTGTTTTATTTTTTCAGTACAAAGAAAAGACGTTTTTTTTCTATGGGAGCTGTATAGGTTTGTACGGTTTACATTTATAGTTTCCAAGAGATTAACATTTGTTGTTATTGTCATCTCGTTTAGTACCGATGATTTTGTGTCTATGGCCGTTTCGTGTATCCAATGACTCACGAACGAGCGAGGTGACTCATAAAATATTCCATATTTGTAAACGATATCAATCAGATGTACATCACTGCAAAATTTTATTAGCAATTTTACCTAAGCTTCTTCGCTCCACTCAAAATCTGAAAAATTCTACATTACATTGAATTTTTTTTCGACGACAAAGTACGACATTTTATAAACCTCCAGTTAAATTTTCAAGCATTTCTGTTTGATCTAACAATTTTATCCACAGAGTACCTATCGAATAAAAATTTCGTGAAAAACTCGCAAAATTAAAATGTCTAAAAATGGTCCAAATGTTTTGGAAATTTTACCACATCCTGAAAAGTCAAATATATTAAGTTTTCTATATAAATTTCAAATCTCTAAAAATATTTTTAACTGAATTACAACGAAATAAAAAATTGAAAATAACAAAAGTGTTATTTTCATAAATTGTCCTGTTCTTTCTACGTATTTTTCGGTTTTTTAAATTATTAAAAAAAACTACCAGGAATATTGAAAAACAAATTAATTAATCTTAAACCAAATTAAAAATGCAGTAAAAAAGATCACTTGTAATTTTTTTGATTTAAGCAAAATTTTAGGATAGAATATAAATTATAAAAATATAAAATAATAAAATTGTAACGATGTAATTATTTATCTGTTTATCAAAACGTTTTTGCTAAGTTTTTTCAGATTTTTCCAAATTCTTATGAAAACACTTTCCTACAAAAATGACCTCCTTTAAGTACCAAAGAGATAAAATTTTATTTGAGAAAAGATACATTTTAAAATCCGAGCAAGATTTCTGGTAGACAAGTTATTCATTGTAGACAAAAAAAAAAATAAAAAACATCATTTTAAAACACATCTCTCACTTCACATAGAATCTGAAAAGCTAGATTTATTGAAGACATTTGTTTTATTTAAACCGGCTTTTAAATTAGTATAACTTAGGGCTTCTGCCCGTATTTTTAATAAATTGTATTAAATAAAATAAATAAATAAATAATTTATTATTGTCGGGTTAAATATCAAGTATAAAAGAAGAAAATTCTACGATTTATTCATGAACTAATGATTATTTTTTTACTAAATTCTCTCATAATAAAAACTCCGGGGTACGCCATTGTGTATAAATTATCGATACTGGGTGTTAAAAATATTGATAACAAAGAAGGCATAATACACACATTAATACATTGATATCGTGTTTTAACTTTGTTAAAGTACTCAGTTACTTATAAAATATTCGATTTCAAATTCTGATTGTAGTGTAGCGAATAATGTAATGGTTTAATATGGTGTGAGATAAAGATTCTTTTTTATATCTTGTGTACAACTTTTCTACAAGAAATCTTGCTTTGTTAAAAAAAATGACAATCATTTGGTTTATCGGGAAGTCATTTTTTGATTTTCTTACGAGTTTTCATAAAAAATGAAAAAAACATGAAATGAAGCATTTTATCTCTTATTCAAAAATATATGTTATAGATAATAATTTTTATACGTTGAAATAGTTACTGAATAGGTACTTTGTACTTTTCGTTTTAAATATTCAAAAATTCAAGGAAACCAATGTAGGTACTATTATCATTTGGAGGCGTGTAAAGAATGGACACATTTAAAATTCTAATTAATATTTATTCTATAGACAAGTAAAAATAATGTATTATATCACACGTTAAAAATGCATAGCGATAGATTAACAAATACCTAGGAATATAAATAAACCGATACCGCTATAAGTGCAGTACTTATACTTAAACTAGAAGTTAATTATTAAAAAAACAAAATTATTTTTTTTTTTTTTTTTGTAAGCGCAACGAAAACACTTCAAAGCCATTTTATTATACAAGACAATTGTGGCTTAATAATGATAGGTATTTAAGTATATTTAATAATCAATTATCATTTTTAAAAAAAAACATTGATAGCGTGTAGGTACAACTGATTACGTTAAAAATAAATTAGCATAAATAAAATAGGTAATAATATTAAAATAATGCAAAAATCGTGATATTTTATGAGGACAAAAGTACCTAGGTATTTAACAAAATGGTAAGATAAGTACCTACCTATACCTATTCCGTTAATTTTCTAATCAAAACCATAAACTTAAAAATAAACGTTAATAATGGAATCACATATTCTTTGCACGCGTGCATATTACAGGGAATTACGAGCAAATACCTATGCGGTGGAAAAGTGACGAAACAATTGAAGTTCTCATGTATAGATACTTATGCGACCGATATATCAGTGGTTGAACAAATGCAAACATTTTAACGGAACACTGTAATCGAATAAATATTAAATCACGTGCACCTAGGATGTGTGTAAAATTATTAAAGTCTAGCCATAATCGTTAAAAAAAAAAATAGCTTAAAAATCACCAGACTGTTTTGGAAAATACTAATATTTAAGTATTTTATTAAATCATCTTGTGTTTACGATTTGTTTTATCCTAATTAAAAAAAAAAAAAAAATGAAATTGGAAATAAAAGCCATACAATTTACCGTTTTTTTTCTTAATTAATAATATAAATGCAAAGAACATCAAAAAATGTCCTCTTCAATAAATCAACACAGAAAAATAAAAATATGATACTCTTGAGATCTGGACCAAGATTTTTTGTAAAAAAATTAAAAGTAATTTAACTGTTAACGCCGAAAATATTTGTTCGTTTTTCCTATACATTTTTCAAGGGTTGTCCTAATTATAATGAAAAACGCTTGGAAAACCAATTCAAACATTACCTCCCTCCAAAATAAAATGAAAAAGGTCTAGTGTTAATTTTTGATTGGTGCAAGTTTTCTTGTAGAAAAGATGTTTACTGATAGAAAAATTGCAAACATCATAAAACACTATGACAAATATCTACTTAGACAAACTTCAGATCATAAGGGTAGATCACTGTAGCAGGTAGGAAGTTTGATAGATATTAAGGGTCATTATTTTTTAGTTTACAAAACGAATAAAACGGTCAATTATTGCAATAAAAAAAAACAAAAAGACATCCTAGGATAATGAAGACGGATGCAGCCACTATTATAGATAATTTAATGTATTAACGATATATTAAATTTAACGTAAGAACGATTCTGAGCGGAGTTCATTTGATAGTTCAATGTCATTGTCAACAATATATATGCCATTTTATAGTAAAATAATTAAACGGGCTGCATATATTTTTTTTAATAATATTTGTTTAATAATGTACCGATTTTCCCAATTTTCCTACGTTTTTCCAGGTTTCCCCATGTTTAATCCCGGTTTTTCACATTTCCTGGGAAAACTGCTGAGAAAATCGAAAAATAATCTGTTTAAAGTACCTTCCTAGTAAAATTTCCTATTAGAAACATCGCTATCATTAAAAGTTGGAGCAAAATGTCTAGTAGAAAAGTTGTGCAAAGGAAACAAAATAGAAATATTTTAGTAAAATTTACTAATATATTTTATATATAATAAACATCTTTGTAAAACCAAAAGCTTTTCGCCCCACTCAGAATCTAAAATGATTCTATTAATCATAAAGTAGTATTGGTTGTGTTTTTTCCTTTATCGTCAAAGTTATCCGGTAATTAACAAAAACAAAACTAAATTATATATTTATATTCGATAACGATTTTATATTTTTCTGAAAAACTGTTTGAAATCTATTTAAAATATATATCTAAAAAAGATATTAATTTATATATCAAGATATGATTTTATATGATTGTCAAACATATAGCTGTGTAGACGACGATTTAGAGATGATCTTCTAAAAATAAATTTTTAAATAATTGTTTTGAATAATACAGCATAAATTTAAATTTTTCTAGCGCACAAAGCTATAGTAATTATTTATACAAATTTTGAAAATCATCACTCCATTAAAATAAAACTTTTACATTGTATAAATATTACAGACATTGTTTATTGTATTAAAGACTAATAAAATATAATTATAATTAATTATATTACTCGATGACTTATTTACAGTGTAATAAATTTGCACGTAATAAAAAAAAAAAACATTTAATTAATAAGTACCTAGGTAATACAATCTCATTATATTAAGATTTATGTATAAAGATAACAAGAAATACGTAATATGAATACAATTATTTCAATTAACAAGTTTATTACTGTAGTTGATACTTTACCTATTCGTTACGTTTATTAATTTTTCCATTGTTTTTTGTTTTTTTTTTTACATATACGTCGTCATTACTAATAAAGTGTAGAATTTTTCTAAAATCACACGCTCTCCCGTCAATTCGCTTACAATAGTTCCTAATGAACAAATAAGTCAAATTCGATTTTCATACACAACAGTCGTACTATACAATATTATTTACACGGTGTACAAATTACAGGGTGATTTTTTTTTAACTCGAACCAGCAATTATATGATTTTTTGGGTAAAATTGATATTGGTAACCTTTTTAGTCATAACGGAATCGTTTAATGGCCTTATTTTTACAATGTATTCAACATTTTTACGCTTATTTCGTATACGATGTATTATGTAATATCCATTTATCAATTTTTGATTTTCAAATAGCAACCCCTCGCCTATTTTTAAACCATATAAGAAAAGATGCCAAATATATTTTAATACGTATGTGTACGATACTAAAATTATTCAGTTTAATTTAAACCGGAAGAGTTTAGTAGGAAAGGTTTATTATCTGAAAACGGATATGAAATTTATTAACCTTTCACTTCTCCGATATAAATTTTAAACAGTTGTTATTCATAACCGTATATCAGATACATTGGCGTATTATACAAATCAAAATGTTTATAATAAATTATATATACCTACATATATTATTTTTTTCATATCTGTGTTGAAAAGGGTAAAAATGATAACGAATAATTATTTTTTCGTACAATAAGGAGTAGGTGTAACGTATAAACATTTAAAAATGCGTTAAAGGTAAGCTTCAAAATAATCATGATTGAAAAAAACGAGACAAAAATTAAATTTATCGCTGGATCATGACAAAAAAAAATCACCCTGTATAACGTTATACATGCATGAGTATGCATAATGCGGATACAAATAGAAGACTACTCGGGAAACAATTATTTTCCTCGCTGTAAACAAACGCGTTAAACATCATAATAATAATAATGTAAACAAAGCCCAGCACACGTTTAATAATAATTAAGTTTGAAAATAACTTTTTGGCGCAACTTTATATGTTCCCACTCACACCGATGGCCCCCACAAGAATAACGAACGATATTTTGTTTAAATTTGCATAAATTACCTATCCGAACACAGTTTATTTATTATGGGTACACATTGTTATTAGTATAAACAATATGGTCACGAGAGAAAAAATTCACTTTCAAACTGTCGTCTGATAAGCTGCAGATATCTTCATTGGATAAAAACAAAAAATCGTGACTAAACGGATTTGCGATATTTTTATATTATTATACCCTACCATAAAAACAACTTATGTTAATATTTCGAGCATGTATTGAGTATTGAAAAATTGTATAAACGTAAAACTAATTGAATTCGAAGATCAAATTACTCGGAAAACGTCAGAAAGTAGCGAATATAAGTCATAATATTTCACCAAATACTTATCCGGTGAAATTCCCAGGTTTCTACGATTCTCAAATACAAAAAAAAAATGTTGACAAAAAACTTTATTATGTAAATTTTCCCGTTTTGACGTTGCTTTGCCCCGGTTAATATCTAGAAAAACTTTCTCTGAAGTTAATGATTGGAGCAACCCATTTGGTTAGAAACTTGTTCACGGGCCGAAAAAAAGAGTAAGGTAACTTATTGATCTGATGGATGAAAATTACCTCAAACCGAATCAAAATGTCGCATTACCAAAAAGCACACTTGCTTCGCTAAGAATTTTTAGAAAATAACCATGTGCCTAAAGCTGGGCACTAATTAATTAAAAAACTAGAATTCAATCGAAAAGTTATTTTATTATTAATTTTAAACTTAATCAGCTGGTTTAAACACTGAATAAATTTCTAAATTAACGTTAGACATTAGAAACAATTTTTATAAAATAATTTCTAATTTACTTAATTTAACTGAAAATAATAATAATAATAAACTGGAAATTTCATCAATTTAAATAACTAACATTAAATCTTTAATTTTCTTTAGTTTTTTTTTAAATTTATAATAGGTAAGTCACTTAAATTGAAAATTATGAGTAATTTTATCGACATTGTTAGATTTGTACATCGTAATTATATTATTGAACAAGTTATAATTATTAAAATTAATTAAAATCTAACACTGAGTTTATATTAGGTAAAAATATTAAATATTAATAATTGTAATTGAAGAATTTAGAAAACTACCGGGTTGAAATTCTGCACTTTTTGAAGTAGGGCATGAACAAACTTAAAACATTTGCTAACAAAAAAAAAAAAAACCTTAACTATGTATTTTAAAAATCATTAGGAATTTCGAAAAGTTGTTCAAATAGAGTATGCCATCATATGAAAAATTCACGTTTTTTAAAGCACATAACATGGAAAAATCAGAGAATTTTGACTAACCACAAAAGTGTTTTCCGATGAAGAAAAAATACATCTTTGTAATACTAATAGAGCTTCTTCGTTATGCTCAGAATTTAAAATTGTAGAAAAAAAAACCGACAGATTGTATACAATATTAATAATGTTTCTTTAGAAATCTAGTTCGGATGTGTGTATTATGTGTATTATTTTTTTATGATTGACAGCCAATAGATACGCCCTTCGGCCTATTTCATTGCTATATGTATTATACATTATACATAGTACATCGGTTTCCGAAATATTGACGACTCTGACTTGTCGTTTCATCATCGCACATACTGAACGCGACATATCGTAATATATATATATATTTTTTTTTATAGGTACGCGTGTATTATATTCGCCGCGAATAATTTTTTTTATACGATGCGAATAATTATCATTCGTTACGTTATTATGCAGGTATATACCTACGATTATAATATTAATCGACGACGACGTGAAATGTCGAGTGTTTTATTATTGCGCCAGTTGATGAACCGCACGAATATCACGTGCGCTGTCGATTATTTGTGTAGGTATGAATACCATGTTTCCAAGAATTAGTGCGATTATAATATTATTGGGTATTTTTTAAAGTAAAAAATTAAACCAGCCATCTAACGGTCATCAACTGTACATACACCGATTGTTGTTTTTGTTTCGATTCGAATAAATATTTGGTATTGAAGCGATAAGTGTATTTTGGTATATATTATTATGCTATATTCACGATCTGACGTCTATATCGTTTTCAAAAGCTTAACTGTCTCTTATTGGCGCGGTATGCGAAAACACTCGTCATACGGCTATCGCATGATGTCGATTTGTTATTTCACTCTAAAATATTTAATATTCACCGCGTTCCACTCGAAACACGATTAATATACGGTATATAGTTATTTCCAATGTTGATTTTCTTCAATGTTTATTGATCGGTTAATTAATTTACGATATTGTGAACGTGTACTTGATACTGTTCCGCTATACCTAATGCATAGTTTTTACTACAGTATTACTCTTCATTATTTTCATAACTTTCTGAGAATTTTCACCGCCAAAACAACACCACGTCATCCGTCCTAGTCTTTTCCCATCCGTTTCTCCGGTGTTTGCTTGTTACAGATTCCTATTAAATCCTATCCGAGAACCCCAATCTACTTTTTCCTTGGTCCACCCCAGAGTCTCTTTTTCTGAAGCTCCCATTCAACAAACAATTTTAGTTGGTGTCCTTAAATAAAACTAATCACTGGCACAAATCTACTATGTCGTACAGGCTATACTTCTTCGTATTTTTTTTTTTGAGTTCACCATATACAGAGTCACAGATTCATATTTGTATTTTATTTTTGAACGTCTTCAATTCACCTTTTATCTAGTAACTTATTGTCTATGCTTCATTTTTATATGTAAGTACACTAAAGATAAGTCTTATGATCGGTATACATAAAACTTTACTTTGTTATATACCAAAAACATAATATTATTTTGGTTTTAATTTCGGATGTGTGCGAGTTATTCATTTATTGTGCAGTTTAATGAATCAATCAAAAATACATAAGTAGTTACAATTTTAATTTTTATTATTTTTAAACCATTAATATTACTAATTTAAAAAAAAAAACCAATACTAATAAGATTCGTACAGAAACTGTTTTAAATTTTTATATAGACAATATTATTAAATATAATGAAATAAACGAGACGGACAATATTTGTTTTGAACTTGAGAATAATTTGTAGAAACGTGAGTATTCGTCAAAAAATGGAACATTTTTTAATTAGACTATATATAGGTACATAATTAGCTATACAATGAAATTATTCATTTGTAACTATGTTTTCAATACTATCCAATAGGCTTTTAAAACTGCTGTATACCTACAAGCCAACAAGTTTTATTATAAAACCATAACCTTCTTCGATTTCTTATCACTACCGATATTTTGCAAATGTGTCAAATTATATTTTAAAAAATTTACATAGTGAAACTGATAAGAAATTATTAATATTTAAAATAAATTTGTACACGGCTTATGAATTTCAGTTACCTTAATTGCCTTTATTAAGTACCTATTTGCAGTATACTGAAAATTTCAATAAATATTTTTATAAAATACCTACTACTGGACAAAAAATTCCGCATCTTCTGAGATACTGCGCGAAAAATTTGGAGCAATATGCCTAACCGAAAAAATGTTTTGAAAAATCCCATAAAAAACAATTTTTTGGAAAAAAATATCAAGAAATTCGAAAAATTGTTCAAATAAAAAAAAAGTACCATTGGACGAAAAATCCGCATGTTTGAATGTATGACGTGAAAAAAACGGAGCGTTTTTACTGACCTTGTGTTTTCGACAAAGTGTTTTCTGAGGAAAGAAAAAAAAACACATCTAAGTAAAACAAATATAGCCTTTTCATTTTACTCAGAATTAAAAATATTTATATTTGCTTTTAAATTGAAAATGTTTAGATTAACAAATTATAGTATGCATAAAATCGGTTTTTTGGGTCCATACTTGTGTCGCATCTTGTATTATAAATAATAGTCTTATATTTTATATAATAATAAATAATATAGAAAATAATAAATGTTCTAAGCACAATATTATGTGTACTTACATTTACTTTATTATATTTAATCGGTAGATATACGCTGGCCGTACACTAATCATTTTTTTTTTTTGTCTCAACCTAATAACGACGCGAAATAAAATAAACACAATTTACACGCTCGTGTTTCCATTTCTGGTTTTAAACGAATAAAGCTACAATTTTATAAAATATTCCAAACGTTTTGAATATTATTGTCATTAATAGTATACTGTATAAGTCTATAGTAGTAATTTTCCTGAAATGTATACAAATACATAATATTATAAATTATGCAACCTATATTATTTTACGTGTTAGTTTTGTAGTTTAAATATTATAATATTCTTGAGTTGCATTATTTGCTAACGAATTGATTATCTAAATTATAATCCAGATTATCCTATGTTATATTGAAACATATATATTATTCAAAATATAAATTACGATTGTAATACAGACAAAATATATAGTTTACAACACTTATTTTTAATATACTTTAGCTGTTTTTTTTAAATATGATGTATAGGTATTAAACAATTATTTAGATATTTAGGAATATCTGCAGTTTTTTCTAACGCTAGACTATAATAAGTACCTATGTTCTATATACTATACCGAGTGATCTATTTATCAAGAACCAGCGAATTTCTTGGAGAATTTCAAGTAAATTTGATTTATGGTTTTTTTCAATCATCGTGGAATCGTCTAAGCTTTGTTTTAACATTATTTTCAATTTTTTATCTCTCACCTTAAATGAGTGTACACTTTAGATTTTTATAATAGGCATTCATCCTTTTAAATACAATTTCGAATAGAAAATATTCTTCTAAATATTTTGATATGAATAAAACTAATATATGTCTAATAGGTATCGAATTGATCGTTTATGAGTTTAAACAATTTATTGTTTGGCCAGAGGAATTGAGAAAGGTTATCAATTTATCATCTAAAAATGGATATAAAGTTTATTCAAGTTGTATTTTAAAAATAATTTTTAAATAACCACATTATTTCTACTACCTTCTCCTAAGATATTTACTAACTAAAATGTCTATAATTTAATAATAATAATAATACCGAATAACAGATAACGCAGTTAAATTCCTCTTGGTTCTTATCAGGCGTATTCGGGGTAAGCTACTTCAGCTTATTCTCGTTGATTACAATATATCTTTGTTTTTCATTTTCTTCCCTATTTATCATCTCCTAAACGAATGTTCTATTCTATCGTCCATACTTCGGCCTGTCTCTTCCCTGGCTTCCGTCATTAAACCTGACTCACCTATCGTCTCATCGTCGCCATCTCCCCATGCCCCCATTAATTTATTCTAGATTGTATTTCCTTCTATATCCACTACTTCTAAATCTTAATACCAAATCCTATAACCTAAATCCAAAATTTAATTACCACTTAAATCAAATTCATTCCTAATACTATTCAACCTCCAGGCCCCTCAACATCGCGTGTCGCTTTATAATCCTAAAAAATAAGGATTTCTTAAATTCTATAAATAATATGCACATTTGCAACGTTTAGTGTTAACCTCGGTATAATCTGAAGAAACTTATACAAACATTTTAAAATACGATATGTGCAATATTATGTAATAGTATGTATACCTATATATTATTATTACTGCAATATAGTCCACACACTAATATTGCTCCCGCTATTCAAACGCGATAATAACAACAACAATAATAATAACAATAGGACTTATAATTCGAAAACAATAATATAAAATATTATTACAATGACTATACCTGGGAAAATTGCCAAATTATCATAAAATATTAACGAAACAGACGGACAGTCATATGTATTAAAATGTAACGATTTGGTGACATTTCACGAAGAGCGAGGGGAGGGGGTCATATATAGGTCGTTCGAGTTTTTTACGGGCTTACAAACGTGAATAATATACAAGTTTTTATTATTGTTATTATTATAACTAGGCCGAGTTTTGCAATCGACCGCCACTCGTGCGGGGAATCCCGTTGCCCGTATGCGTAAGCACACAAATATATTATATACACGATATGCGAGTATTTTATAGAAACGATTTTTTTTTTTTTTTTTTTAAACTGACAATATCGAATCGGGTCTTTGGGAAAATGTGCGGGCAAGTATTATAGGTTACAAAATATATAGGGGCCGATGTTCAAAGAAAATAACGATAAGTAGTAACATAATAATATTTATGTCTGGTAATTTGTCTAGGATTACGAGTCACCGCGGTATCCACGGTACATTTTACAATTATTTACTTATTTATTACTATTTATATACGTTCAATACGACATTTTCGTTGGTTGGAAACTTGGAAATAATCAGTATAATTATTTTGTTTTACGAGTCGGTTTGCATCGTGTAGGAAAGATTTAATTTATTACTCTAGTTATGCGTTAATAACATAGTTAAATTTATACAACGGATAGCTCGATTATAATGCAGAATCAAGTTGTAATAAATAGATAAATACAATAATTCCAGTATGTCTTAAACAATTTTTAAAATTTTCAATATCCGGTATTCTATCCTGTCATTCTAAAACTTGTTGCCGGTATTACAACCGAAGTTAAACTAAATCGTTGAACCCGAACCGGGTTTAAACCACTATAGTAAAACGGGCCTTTATTATTATCCACCTCTCGTTATATATAATCATTCTTAATCCAACATCATTCTTACTTTTTTTTTTGTGGAACAGCTCGTTAACAGTGGATAATCGCAGTTCGGCACCGTTTCTTATTATTCAATGTTTATTGTTATATCGATTTTCGCGAGTATACTGCAATAATAGTAATAATAATAGGTATAATGGAACAAATATGAGTTGAACACGCAAGACGACGGTTTCTACCGCAGCGCTGCCTAGTATCTGGGTGCGGTACCAGGACGATGGCCTAGTTATCGGCGACTGTGACCTAAATAACGAAACTCGCGCGTTTGTTTATGTACGTGGAAAATTATTAATAAAAGGAAATAATTATTTCATAACATACCTATTTCACGTAACTGACATACTACGCGTGTATATTATTATGCACTTATTACCCATAATAATAATATAAATACGACTGCAGTTATTATTACTAAAGACCGAATAAAATACACACGAATATAACTGATAACGATATCGTTGTTATTGTTATTATTATTATGATCATTTGTTTACGATCATATTTATAGTAAAAATGCATACATAAGCAAGTGAATTTTTTAATTTAAAAAAAAAGTCTGATGAAAAACGTAAGCTAAATATAATACTAATGAACCAAACCAATGTTCAATATATTCTACCTATATATATATGCATATGTATATTATATAAAATAACATATCCTGACTAACTGACTGACTGATTCCTCATCGCACAGCTCAAACCACTGAACGGATCGGACTGAAATTTGTCATGCAGATAGCTATTAGACGTAAGCATCCGCTAAGAAAGAATTTTTGAAAATTCAATCCCTAAGAGGGTAAAATAGGGTTTTTTATCAGGTATTTTTGGTTCAAATATTTAATTTTTTATTTATTTGTTTTTGTCTATTCAAGGGTTACCGTGGTGATACGGATGATAATTTGATTTAACGGACAAGAAAAATATTATTATTACTACTGTTATTTACACTATTATAATGTGATTCGATTAAAAAAATCTGTTCTAGTATGATAGAGGCAGGTGCAGCCACTGTTGTAGGGGGGAACTTAGGAAAGTAGGAAACAGAAAGGAATTTAATATATATCTATATATGTAAGCAACAATATACCAAAAAAATAAACATCTTTATAAAACGAATACATTCTTCGATCCACTCAGAATCTAAAATTTAAATTATAATATTATATAATCTCCTATGATCAGTTTTTCTATTTTTAAAAATAATACATTATTACAGGCATACAAAACATTCTTTAAAAATGATAATATATAATAATATATAATCCACTAAAGATTGGACAGAGGAATAAAATCAAAGACGTTTTGTTTAGCTTTTTGTAATACATAGGTATTAGAAAATATTAAAGATAATTCAATAATAATTTACGCAAATTTGACAAATTATTTGAAATATTCTAATCTACTATAATATCTTCCTATTAGTGGTTTTGTCTAGTTTTAGATTCGGAGCATATCAAAGAATGTACTGATTTTACAAATATATATTTTGTATACACTCTGTACAATATTTTTATTAGAAATCTTGTTCTAATGTATCAAGTGTAACATTTTTTCTGAAAAGAAATTTTATCTAATTGATACATTTACGAGATCATTTTTTGATTTCCAAACGGTTTTATAATTAATGGGAAAAATTAAAAATACGAAAAATGAAAACTGGTAAAATTGTGGTGGCGTTACTATTTCATTATTAGAAATTTGTTCGCTATATGTTTTCTATCAGAAATATTGCTCCAAACAAAAAAAACAATAAAAGATCATTATTGTAACATTATAGATTCTAAGCGAACCGAAGAATTTATTGGTTTTACAAAGATGTTCGTTTCTTTTTCTTATTTGAACACTTTTTTTTACCAGAAAGCTTACTCCGTTGTATACGATGTAGACCTTTTTCTGAATGTAAATTTTCTTATGGGTCATTAGGCCATTTTTCGATTTTCCTAGGATTTTTCTCAACAGGGAAAAAAATATAGGCAAACCGGGAAAAACGCAGGAAAAACAGAAAAATCGGTACAACATTAAACAAATATTATTAAAAAAACTACATAAAACCTATTTAATTATTTTACCATAATATGCCATACAATATATTATTGACACAGCATCACTATCAACTGCTTAAAATCATTTTCGTTAGCAATAGTTTATCATTTACATATTAAGATTCCGTCTGTATCCTACCTTGCCAATTTACCATCTACAACCAGGGCTGTACCCATCTTACTTTGTTTTTTAAATTTTGCTGATGAGTTAGAAACTCATTTTTTAATTTTCCCTGAATTTTTTTTAATAATGGAGCAAAACCGTTAGCAATCGTTTATCGTTGCGTACAGATATTCTCGTAAACTATTTCCCTATATATCCTACCTTCCCAACTTCTCACATACAACAGTGGTCCACCCACCGTGTGAAGTCTTTTTTTTTATCAATAATATTTTAGAATCTGTCAATATATTGGACATTATTATTATAATACACTGTAAAAATTAACTTACGAACAAATCGAAAACATAAAGTTAACGTATTCACTATATGTATATCATAATTTATATATAGTTATACTAAAATTTCCGGGGCGAAGTGAATGTTTCTGTTTGCCCTTTTCCTCGCCTACCAGTGTGCTACGTCCCACTGCAGATAAAATTACGTTTTTATAATAACAATAAAACTTTATTTAAAACCTTCAAAAAGACTTCCTACATTCCATAGTAAGTGAATCAACATCAAACAAAGCCAACAATAATTATTATTATTAATACCAATAATAATGATCATATTATTATTAATTATTATTCAACACTGTAAATTATACCCGACCGTATTAGAAGAGTAAGACATCATCTATGGAAGATGATGTATCAATATTCATATTCTTACGTGATTAGCGATTGCAAAAATACAGACATTAAGAGGCTGCTCCCCGCAGTGGACATTTTCCGCCTTAAAAATATATAACTGAAAACCAGGTTCGCATAAAATCGGTTCAATATAATTGATATACTCGGCCAATGTTGGTCACTGGTCACAACTAACAAGACGTTTAGTCAGACGGGCTGATCATTGGCCATATCATATCTCCTACAAAGCTGGTGTTTTTCTATTATATCAACTTAACCTTCCACACGACTGATCACTGGCTATCAGTGACCAATAATAGCCAAGTACACTGGTCGTGTGGGACTGGTTTTAAACAAACGAAAAACCAGGATTAAATTTGTTTTAGAGATAAACTATAGGCTATATTATACAATTTGTAAATAATTGGCCAATGGATACTACAAACATAAATTCAGAAGAGAGAGAGGAAGCAGAACCCCAATTTCCAATAGAAATAAAAATAATAACTATTGATTTTGAATTGAATATTATTATAAACTGTATTCGTGTATTTCTTTTTTCTGTTTAAATTATGTAACTATTAATAATTTACATTTTAAAGAAAAATTGTAATTTTCTATAATTTAAATTCTAAATCTAAAGGGGGAATGAGTTGTCCTTCCTGTTTGTAGATTAGTCTCAATCTCTTCGACGTTTTACAATATTTTAAAATATTTGAATCATTATAAAAGAAACAAACAATCGCATTTTAGTTTGTTTTTTTTTAATAACTATAACTTAATATTTCACAAAACTCGACGTATTTGTCTTCGAAATGTCGTAATTTACAATTTATTTTGAAACACACATTTCCTCTCTACGACCATGTTTTAAGACTTTTGAGTTTTTTTTTTTTTTACGTAAACAAGTTTTTACTATAATATATTTCAGCCCGTCAGAAAGACGTTTACCGCAAATGTCACTACTATACGTATGACGGTTTCTTAAAATAACTTGCGTTTATTTCATCACTACAATATTATGGTTTAAAAAAATAAGTAATAGCGTTGATTAAATAATATTTTAATTTTATCATTTGTTAGACAAAGCTATTTAAATACGGTTTTTATTTTTTGTCATAATATAATTCGATAATCATTTATTATTAATTAGTAATTACGATATTATAAAATTATAACTTTTTTGATAATGCCAATAATACAGTATTATTAAGTATGATAATGATAATGTTATCGAGAATTAATTGTTTTTGTTATATAATGCACGAATTAGACTTTTAACAAATCCATCGACTTATTATTCATGAATAATTATTGTTCGTCGGATATATTATTATACTATTATCCGGCAATATACTTTCAATATTTCAAATTAAAACGTGTTGACCATTATTTTAATTTGCACAGGTTTTTTTTTTTTTTTTAGTGGACTTTTTTTCGAAAAATATTATAAAATATAACGTCATTGAATATAACATTGCGTAATGTTGGACAATTATCATTTCGGATAATCGTAAAAAAATACACATACACATGAGACACATACTTATAGAAAAGCTAATTCGCTATACTATAATATTTTTCTTTGTGATGGCATACTACTACTAAAAACTCGAATGGAAATGATCTCAAATACAAAAATTCTGATGAAATATATTATAATTCTTAATTTATATTTTTTTAGATATACTTATATATATATATATCAATATTGTTAAAAAATCAAAAAGTAACTTTTATCACAAATAACCTAAAAGTTAATCGGTTGGTTATAATTTCAATGAACTCGCTAACAAGGCCGTATCTGAGGGTCCAAAGTTCGAACTCCAACTTCATCCTGAATTTTATTTCAAAATTAAACAAATTTTAACAGCAATGGAACAGATTTCTTATATTTTCAATGTAGTAAAGTGATATTAATTCAAAAATAGATTTGAATTCAGCACGAAGTGAACACGAGAAAGGTCAAACCAATTTTTTTACAATTTAACTGTAGGTTTTTTTTATACATTATTAAATCAAATTTTTGAAAATTAAAAAGTGTATGTATCGATTCATTCACACTTAATATGCTGCTTCGCTACATCGATGGAAACAAGAGGCAAAATACGACTAATTATACGTTTTTCGTTAGCAACCATTGGTTGCGTATAAATATAAATGATTAAATACTCTATATATTATTCTCCCTTTTGACTTTTGCCTTCTAAAACAGCAACACATTCATTCGCAGTATCATCCATTTTTAAAATTATTACTATTCATTTTGAGAGCTTCGATGAAAAGTTAGGGGCCCTGGGGTCTCTGAATATCTTAATTTGGGCTTGAATATAATATAATAATAATATCTAATTATTATACCAGCTACTACACAGTAATAGTTGTAAACAGAAACACGCGTACGGGAGCAATATCCGGATGACCGTCCTTGATTCGTGCAGCAGTCCATCCTGCGCAACAAAACAACAAAACACGCAACCTACACCGGTTCATGAACAATTATTGTATTTTCAGTATATTATGTAGGCATTCTACAGTTGTGAGCGTGATTTTAATTTATTTTTGTTTTTCTATCAAGTCTACACGCACGCTGCGAACAGTAGAATTATACCTACTCAGAAATTATATACTTACCCAAAATTTCCTCCGCAGCTAATGCAATCGTATAATCGGGGCTTCGAAGTGTTTTAAAATATAAAAGAAAATAAACAATTCCTATTATTTTTGGATAAAGAATAAGTAACGTTTTTTTCAATTACAATTAGTTCTTAAATAATTATGATAAAGTTCTAATTATAATTAACAAATAGTTAGTATTATAATATGAGATTAAATTGTTAAAAAAAATTGTTTAAACATGTACAATTGTTTATAATTAAAAACATGCTTTAAGCAACAAAAAAACTGTTGCAACCCTGATTATAATGATAAAATAACATCTTCTAATCGTCTATCGATAATACCCAATAATAATAAAAATAACAAATTAGTACCTACACGAAATATGATATTACACAGCGTGTGTAATTTATTATATGCATTGCGGTGTGTGGGTTTTAAAATAATAATAATCGACGGCCATTAGCCGCTGAGAAAACGGTTTGTCGACGAAGGGAATAAAAAAAAAAAAACATGACCGAGACGGACGTGATGTAATTTTAAGAATGTCGTGGCTGCTGCTGCTGTTGCTGTCGATCGCCATTGATATGTTTTATTTCGCGGCACCGTCATGACCATAAAAAAATCATCAGAGGAAGGGGTGTATAGAAGGACGAGAAACTTAGATGTTTGTATCATTAAAAAATAATTTTCTCCTTATTATATCTTTAGAAATCAAAACTAAATCCTGAAACACGTTTATAGTATCCTTATATTATTATATGTAAGGGTAAAATTTTAAAATTATAAAATATAGGTAATATTCTATAGTGTGTACTTATATTTATATGTCAAGGTCAATTATACTATTCGCAGTTATCGTCTATCTAGGTTGAACCCTCTATATAAATAATTGAAATCCGATTAGCAGCAAAAAAAGACAGCCACAGTTGTCCGTGTATATAGTCAACCGGATACCGTTCGCAAACACGTGTAAATACCCGCTATAAATATTTCCTTCCGGTTCAACAACAATATAATAATAATCACCTCTGCAAAAAACGGCACACGAGAACACGAGATTTGTATTTATCTAAACCCGAGAAAATAGGAGGTAAAATGTAAAAAAATAAATAAGTTCTATTTAATACAGTAGTTCGCTTGCTCGGGTTCTAAAATAAAATCATTTTAGTGATTAACTAAATTTAATTTTTAATTATAATTCACGGTACCTAAGTACTAATGTACAATCATAAAACAAATACGTATACGAGTAACAATGGTTCCGGTTTACTTAATTTTTTTTTTTTTACCGCAAAGATTTATTAATTTAATAACATAATTATAAATTGAAACGCGATGTTATTATAATTTAATTGAAATAATATAATATTAGTTGAAATTCAGTATTTTCTCGTTTTTAATTATAAAATACAAAATATTATACTGTTAGTTTTGCCTAGAACAGACTGTTTTTTTTTCTAGCAATAATCTTTTTTTTTAGTCATTGTATAGAAACATTTATACATCTCATTCGTATACACAATATTTTCAAAAGTCTACCTTTTTTTTCCTTTTTTTAAACAATTATAAATGGCGTTAACCATTAAATTTCGTTTTTAAAATAGCAACCGTTACCTTCATTTTCCTTTTAAACTAGGTTCAAAAGGAAAAAAAAGAGAATATATTTTTCTGAAAATGTTGATATGTCTAACACTATTAGATATACCATATACTCATATACTCATATTAATGAGTTTTAACAACTTAAAATGTCAATTAAACGAGTAGGAAAGTGTTATTATCCAAAAAATTAATATGAAATTTTCTACTCTTCTTTTCTTTATTGTTCGGACTAACTTTTAAGTTAAAAATAAAGTCTAAACAATTGTATTCGAAATCAAATTTACTGAAATTTCCTCAAGGAAATCGTAAAATCGCGATGAAAAAAAAACCATGCTGTACATTTTTCCCACCTGAAAATGTTTTTGAACTTTAATAAATCTGAAAAATGTGTTATTTTTTAAATAACTAAATTTTTAAAACCGGAAATAATAATGATTTTAAGAGCTCCAGCCGTTTTCGCAAATATTGCTTTCAATTTTACAATAATAAAATAATGACATGTTATTATTTTCCCAGTGCGACTCGCTCAAATTCACTATACATAATACCCTAGGGGCACGAAGTGGTCCGAACTGCTGCAGTATCTTACTTTTTTCTCATCACGTTTCGAAATAAAATTATATCGACAAAAATATTATTTTAATAGTATTAAATTGTACTCACTGTTCGTAGTGGTGTTCCCATAGGGTATACTACATATTATACACCAACTGTATACTCACAACATTTTGTTGAAAATTCATAGGCATACTACGTATACTACTCTCTAATAGTTATTCAAACAAACTAAATCGCTATGATTATTAATACCCGTTCATATCATGCACATGTCTCTAAAACCATAATAGTAAAGCAAATTGTATATATTTCAATAATTATAACTAAACAGATTCTCAACTTTCTTGCAAATTACGATTCATAATAACCGTAGATAACCTTTTTAAGAAGAACAGACTCGTATATAATCAAATCGAATTAACTTAGTTATAAGATAATATACATCAACTTTATGGAATATAAATTTTAAAAATTTTCGCTCAACCTATATTATAATTTAAATAAAACATTTTTTTTTTTCTTAATCAAAAACTAATAATCTTTGTTGTTTTTTAGGTTCAATAAAAAAAATATTTTTTTTAAATTTTGAATATTTTATTTTAGTAATTTAAATTTAATGTTCGTATAATTTGATATCGTTTTCTCAACAAACAGTACCAATAATTCATACGAAAGATATAAAATATCCCAAGCAAAGCATAAGATATAGATATAGATATTACAGTATACTCTCAAAAAATACTACTGTCAACTGAATACACAACCTATTTGAAAACCAATAAAAACAAATCACGTGTTCGTAATATTATAATTTACTCGTCTAATCAAATACGAAAATAATATTAATTGTAGTTTCACAGAAATGAAATTAATATTAATTGCATAACAAAGACTTTTAATTTTTCCATCACCATAGGAGTCGGTTCTATACTGCAAATCGATGATTACAAATGTCAATGGACGCGACTTCCCGGTTCAAGGAGCTATATACTAATAAAACAGATTTATAGTTGTTTGAACTCTACAGACGATAATGACCTATAACTATTGTTAATTATAAAATATTTCATAATAAATAAAGGATTAAGTCGTATAACAAATTGTTATGTATAATTTCCCGAGAGACTAAATCTTCTTCTTACAGCCGATAAAATGTTTTCTAAACGATAAAAATATAATGTTGTTTAAATCAATAATCTACCCACATCAAGAATAACGAAGAGATACTAGTAAGGCTGCACAAATTAAGAAATAACATCAACTCATCGATTTAAACTTAAGGCGTGATTAAAAAAATAACGACACGTTGACAACGTTACCAGATTGTATTATTAATTAACCGATTAAATAAGTTTAAAGTGAATTTCAAAATATACCTAATTAATTGCTTAACTTAAATTCCGTTTATTGTTATTATTATTATTATTTTTTTTATATAAAATCGCCAATTCATAGTGAAAATGCTTAATGTATATTTTGGAATTTTAGAAAAAAGATCAATTTTAATCACAGGAGGTCATTTACTCAAGATCCAGTTATCTATAATAAATAATATCTACTAATATATGCCTCTCCCCAAAATATTAAAAAAATCAAGATAAAACTTTATTATCTATACTATGATAATTTATTTAAAATAAAGTCTTCTATGTAAATCGTAAATGTAATATCGGGTTCAAATAAAAAGAAATATAAATTAATTTTATTTGATGTAATTAAAAATTAACTAGTTATGTATTAAGTAAATATTAAGAGAAATAAGTCAAGTTAAGTAATAAAAATCAGAGGTTATAAATAAGTCCTTTTAACTTTTTAACGCCCACACTCCATTTTCCCGCATTATGTATTGAATAATATAAAATACGTTATTACATGGAATTTAAAAAAATATTTTGTAGTTGCGATTAAATATTATTTGATTAAAATATTATATAGTTCAGTAGTTCATTCTCTCTTGGAAAATCTCGAATCTATATTATACTTGCATGTTCATATAGTATCTTAAAATTCAAGAATTATAATATTTTAACGAAACAATTTAAATCTCGATGCGTTTCTTTTCGCTACCCATTTTGTTACCTATACATCAAAATGAGTGCTACAGACGCTGACGCAGTAAAATCCGAACAGATTATACTAGCCATAGATAAAATGGTTCATTTAAAAAGACCCTATAGACATTATTTGTAACTTCATTGCATCATGACAGTAACTGCGATACTATAGCACTTTGTTATGAACTTAGTTCGTAGATAATACAGAATGGACAGGCCATTTCTATAATAAATATCCAAGTTTAGTTATATGCCCCAACGATACCACTGTCAACAGTAAGCGACCATTCCGACTTATCACTATCTACTCGTATTAATAATTGGTACTAACTAAATAACAACAACTATTTTTTATTTGAACACTAATCGTAGTGTTTAAACATATAAATTTAAAATTATTTAAACAACAAATATATTATTCATAGATAATATTATACCTTGCATTTTATCATTTAGGAACCACCAGAAAAACTGACGGCTTATCCATTTTGTAATAATAACAATTTTACAACACAACCAGCACAGCAAACGGAAAATGTTTTATTAAACTAGTTGAACCATTTCGGTCAGGTATGAGTTGATATTTCCTTAATCTATGGTTTATATATAGGTTCTTTTATAATATTATATTTTGTTGGATTTTATTACTTTATATAGGTACCGTCATTTATGTGTAGTACCGATTTTTGTATTTCAATAAAAGAAAACAATGTATACGAAACCACTGTGAATATTATATATAGTACGACGATTATAGGGCGTCTGCGATGTCTAGGCTTCTACGTTTGGAATTTGTCCAATGTCCATCTCTTTACACGGGACGCGCATATACGCGGATTTGGGAAGGATAACGGGGAAAAAAAACATAAGTTGATAGCAATCGTTGCCGCACGAAGGTCCTTATTTCGTAAAAAAAAATAATGTATATATATATTTTTTTCGAGTGATTAATGTCTCAGCTCCGTCTCGCGCGCGGTTGCCAAACGAATATTATTATATTATTGTCTTTGTGGCACGGGCCGCCAAACGAATTTACGCAGTAAATAAATAACGCCGTGAACGTGCTGCTGCAGGTTACGTATATAGATACCTATATTCGAAATGGAATGGAACTTTCGATTCATATGGAAAAAAAAAACAATGGATGGAAACCACATTATATTATTATCATGTAGGTACCTATACGTTTTGCAAACAACATGTATTTATATTTTATAATAGGTATAAAAGCGAACTATTACAATCTAACAATATAAGTATTATAACCTTAAAAACATCAACGGCCAATAACAAAATAAATGGCAATGGACGACGGCGATGGTTCGTAAGGATGTTGAAAAAACCATCATAATGTTATAGGTGATGAATCTAACGGCATATGACCTTATAATTACAATAATGGTACACATAATAATAATATTGCCTATGTTTTACAAAATTTTTCCCATTCGAAAAAAAAAAAACTCCCAATTAGATAACAATTTTTTCAGAAAATATGCTACACTTGAAAATCAGAGGAAAATATCTGGTAGAAAAGTTGTTTACGGAAACACAAAAAATTAAATAAAAATACACACCATAATAAAACCAATTCCTTATAGCACTCAGAATATTAAAAAGAAGCACAATTAGATAATAATCGTTGAATAAAAAAGATCTGTTATACTAATCCGGTATACAAACTAAACAAATTACGCCCCGTCCCGTCTGTCCTAATTTCTTTAGAGAACACTATGCATACGTACACACAATACATTAAAATATTGTTCCGGTTTTTACATTTTATTCTGGCGCTAAAACACATTCCATTCGAGGGGTCTATGCACCTATATGCAACATACCTAGTTCAGTTCATACATAATATAGTTTCGATATATACCTATCTACCTACTGCGCCATATAGAATAAAATACTGCGCAGTTACCAGCTTCGAAAACGATTTCATTTCGTACGAAGAATATAATTTTCGGTTTCAACTTTCAAACTGTATATACGTTTAGAGTAGCTAAGTAAGTACACTAACACTAGTTTTACAAAGGGCCCGACTTGTTATAATTTATGTTGATTAGTGTATTTATGTATGGTTTTTTTTTTACCGTCGCGCCGTGTAATTAACCATCAATAGTGTCTTCGTAAAAAAAAATTTCCAGTGCGTGTCGTTCAAATGTGCAGGTACGAACTAATGACCCCCTTTATATAATACCTATATAATCGGAACAATTATATTTCGACTGTAAAATCCAGGTGGATTTTTTTCTCGTGGGTACGTACAATTATTATTACCTGTACTTCTTAATAGGCCAAGGTTTGTAGTGCCCTTATGCAAAAAACACCTAGTGTATTATACAGGTACCAAGGTAATCACCCTTCAAAGAACTTATAAAGTTTCGCTGTTTTTTTTTTTAAATATATATATGTATAATGTATATATATTATATCTCTTTATAAAAGATTAGTGCTTTATAAGTCGTATTTTAGACTCTGAGTGTAGTGAGAAAAACAAATATATTATATTGGTTAATATAATTGATTATAATATATTGGATAATATAATATATTATATTTTTTTTTACTATATGTTCTTTTTAATCTGTAAACAAATTTTCTTCCTGAAATTTTGCTTACAATCACAAACTTTATAGAAACTTTCTTGTATCATTTTTTTTTTTTTTATTTATTTAATTAGCGTATTATGAATGTCTTTTTATGATTTTCCTTGTAGTTTTCTTAATAAATGATAAAAATTGGCTATTTTTGTTGGTTTACCACCCATTAGCCTATTTTTTCCTGACTATAGTTTTTATTTAAGCATAATACCTAATATCTTTTATTATAACATGTGAGAACGAGATTTCCGATTAGTACAGATTATCATTGCCAAAATTAAATATTCTATCGCTTCTATACTTGCATATAGAATACAAACTGCGAGATAGCTAATCAAATTTGGTTATAAAAGCGGAGTATACCCAAATGTACCCATAACGAGTATACGAGTATTTCATACCCACGGCAAAACTATAAACTATGCCTTGGAATAAACCATATATAGCTGAAACACCTGAAATTGCTCTTACTAATGCACATATAATAATTGGGTACAGGTTGGTACCTATACATAATATAATATGATATATTATTGTTTTCTTTAATAAAAAAAAATAATTACTAGTTAAGTCGATTAGTTAATTTTTAGAATTAGTACATTTAATCATCTGTAGTATATTATAATTTTTTATAAGAGTGTACGAATTATCACAAAGTTCTAATTTTGTATGTAATTTAATTGTACTCCAGGGGCTGCACACAGGCAGGGCACGTTAATTAATGAATAACATAATATTGACTGACAGTTAAATAAGGAAATTTGAAAAAAATTAACGGTTAACTAGCTAACGCATTTAAAGTTCATCATAATTATTATTTTATCGATTAATTTAATCATATATAGGTTAACTTTAGTTAGTTTGGACATTTAATTAACCATCATAATTTAAAATAAACTAGTTATGTGAATGTAGGAAAAAAAAAATCAAGTTGATACAAAATCAAAGGTGTATATAATCAAAGGCTATATAGATTATAAAGTTAAAAATTAACTTAACTTTCTAACTATCGTTAACTTAAAAAAAAATCACAGACATTAATTTATAATATTTTATTACAACGCGTTATTTTTCAGTACGTCATCAACTCTATTTTATAGTAACGTAAATAATACAGAAATAATCGACTAACATTAAATTTATTTTCGGTGTTTTAATCGCATAAACTGTTATATTATGTTGAATAAATGAAATCTACGATATTTATTTAGTGAATACATTGTAGCGTCCAAATAGTTACTGTGCAAAAGTCATGATTGCATGAAGCCCAGCAAATATTTAAATCGCATGACTTTATGGTATTAGAACGGAATAATAAACCTATAATATATTAACGTAAATTTGTTATTGAAAAATGATTAAATAAGTTTACAGTCTCAAAGTTACCTATTTAATATTTTATTACAATAGCTATATAGATCCATTATAGTTGGTTAAAACAAAACTTTTTTATTTTTAATAACCACGTATCATTCATAAAAATTGCATCATTCGACGGAGGTCAACGAATTTTTAATTTTATAATTACCTAGTCTGCTATAATAATAAAAAAAAATTTAAATTAAGTTTAAGAAAAATATAGGTAATAACTAATAAGTATATAATACACCGTTCGTTCAATCAATACAAGTTACGCAATAATATATTTTAACATTGCGATTACACAATGTGCCTAGTTGAATAACATTTCGATAAAATTTTTTTTTCAGTTTCCGGTTGAAATGTTATATGTTTTAGCATAAATGATTCGAAATTGTGGGTTTTCACAAATATTCTAAACATTTGAATTAGTGCGAAACGTCATTATTTATATTTGATATAATTTAACATTGTGATAAATAACACGGATTTACTAAATTTGTAATATAACAACAATAGAATGAAAAAAAAAATACATATATAAACGCAAAAAAGAAATCATTTTATTATAATAAATTCGTCATATTTTTCTATACTGAAAACAAATTCCATATAAAGTATGTTAATTTTACATTGACTACCAATATAGATATTTTCTCCAATAAAACGTTTATAAATCATTTTTCGCGAATTTCATCTGGTTTTATTCGTAGATAAAATTCCAAAAAAAAAGACCTCATATTGTTAATAATGGACGTACCAATGTTGTACGTTAGAAGTTGGGAAGGTAGGAATAGTAGAATTCAGGGATGTATTTAAGGAGTGGTTCGGAAGAGCAATAGCACTCCTGGTATATGTTAGGAGGCGCTAAATTTGCACGGTGACTATAAAAAATGTTTTTGGAAAAATTAAAAATTATATAAATAATTCATACATTTTATATACAGGATGATCAATTTATCATAAGAAACTCATTATTTTGGAAAATATTAATTTTTTTTGTAATTTATTTTCTAGAACATTTTTTGTCATCCTTATTTTTAGAGGTAAATACACTATCTACTTTTGATTTTCAAATGACAACCTATATTAAAAATTGCATAAATACCATACATGGAGTATTAGTTCAAATACATTTTGATGTTTAAGTTTTTGATTTCCGTCAATCCGTTGACGAGATATTACACTTTTAAGTTTGGTTTAGAAAAGAGAAGTGGAGTATCATTTCTGTAGCAGTACGACGATCGGCGTGTGAATAATGCACCACCACTCTGCTCCAACCCAAACTTCTAAAAGGAAATCTGACTGAGAAGGTACTTTAGAGAGGTCATTTTTCCAATTTCCGAGGAGTTTTCTCAACAAATGTGAAAAACCAGAAAAAACGGGAAAATCGATACAATATTAAACAAATATTATTAAATAAAATATATAATAATACCTGTATTTAATTATTTTGCCATAATATGATTTATATATTAGTGACAAAGCATCACTATCAACTAAAGAAACTCAAAATCGTTTTTCCTTAGCAATGATTAATCGTTCCTTACAGATATAGATTAAATTCTCGTCTATATCCTATATTCCCACCTTCCCGCTTACAACAGTGGCTGCACCTACGTTAAAGTATGTCCATCATTTTTTAAATTTTTAAAGTTTTTGTTTTTTATCTAAATACTAAATAAGATATTACAAATCTGTATAATTAATATAACTACTTAAGTAGTTATAAAAATTAATCATAAGCAAAGTCGGGGGCGTCAAAATGTTGTTGGTACTAAATTTTCAAGAATTTTAGAATGGATAGAATGTTTTAAAACTGAATTACAACATAACATTAAAATCTAAAATAATGAGACCGTATTATTTTGCTCAAATGTCGTTTTACTCGTTTTCCCTAGTCCAATGAAAAAATAATAATAATAATAAAAGGCGATAACAAGGGCCTGCTGGAATATTGTTCGATCAACTTTGTTATCAAAAAAATATCATGTTACTCATATTATATAATATTACTGTCCACATGTGCTGTTTTTGATATCGCGACCGCCACTGTAAGCACGGACTGGTACGAACCGGAAACACCAGACATATTTGGCTTATCGGCGGAGGCGGCCACGGTGACGACGCCCATCGTAATAATTGCAGTCGTCAAACACGGACCCGAACACTTATAATAATAGTAGATAACTGATAACGATAAATCATTGCGGAAAAAAAATTGTTGATACTGCTGATGGGTGTACCATTGTTGTAGGATATAGCAGTTGGGAAGGTTATTTAATTTATGTCTGTATGTAACGATAAATAATTATTGATGAAATACGATTCTGAGCAAAGTTCCATTAAACATATTTTAAAAAGCCGCAATTCTTACGATTTTTGGCAATATTTTATCTTAAAACAAAGCGTATAAAAATATATTTATTACGTTAGGGACTTACGGTCAACTTTTTTTTTTAATTCGGTTATAAATTAAATTTTGGATTTTAAACGTAGCGATGAATATATTAATATTATTATAATTTTTAAAAATTTTCAGGAACACCAAAAAATGAAGTTAACATTTTATTCTATGATTTTGTTAAAAATATATGATATTAAAGCTTTGCATGTATTAATAATAAATGTATACAAGTATTATTACAAGAGTCAGTGGTGGCTTGAAGAACGTGTATTTGAATCACGTGATTCATAAAAAAAAAAAACGGGTTCCTGAGTATTCAGTATTTTAGCAATATTGTTTTTACAAAACAAAAGTCATTACAACAATTTTAGACTGCGGATATTTGATAAATTTGAAAAATTTTATTGAAATTTAACAAATTTCATTACGTTTTTGGTAGGGTGAGGGTATATTTTGGTTGAGGTGTGTTGGTGGAAAATTAAATCAGTGATTCAAAGTAAAAATACTTCACATTACCACTGACAAGAGTAGTATAGATTTAGGTTTTAATATAGCTAGTTTAGTGGTGTTGTTCCCATTTTATCATACGACTGTGTTTGAAATTTAGACAAAGAATTCTGATAGAAAAATATAATCTTAACAATTTTAAATAATGAAATCGTTGCGCAGTAATTTAAAAAAAACTTATTTTCATCTTTTTTAGTTTTTCCCAATTATTATAAAAACTATTTTTAAATATAAAAAAAAGTGGCTTTCTCTGTCAATGGCTGGATATCAAATGGAACAAAATCGATATCTTGTCATTTTTCAATTGACATAAGATTTCTGGTAGAAAATTTAGTTAATAATAAAAACAATGAAATCCTTAACGCCATAGTACGCTATACATTTTTTCTGTTTTATCTGTAATTTTTTTTCCGGTTTTTTGTGATTATTTTGAAAACCCTTTGAAAACTAAAATAAATTGACTCTCAGAAAAAGTGCTATATTCTGTACATCAGAGAAATATTTCTAGTAGAAAAATTATATATAAACATAAAAAAAATCATAGTAAAACCTATAGATACCTCGCTACGTTCTAAATCTAATTTTGAAAATATATTGGTTCACTTGTACAAAAACAAATACACTAAAAACGTTAATTTTGGAAATACACTTATACAATTGAGATCAAACAATAAAGTGAAACAAATTACATTAGACAAAATTCTAAAAAATTAAAAATTATAAAATTGACTAAAGATAAAATATATACCGGTTGATACTGTATTATACTACACTATAGTAGTTAAAAGTAGTAACTAACTAAATCACACTACTACGACTATGTTCAAGATACTACAACTATTACTGTTATAATAATCTTTGACATACTGCTACCCGTGTTGCTATTATTACTACCTACAGCAGTAATTGTGTTGGGTAGATGACCGATTATACATAATGCACACTCGCGTGCGAGTAGAACGAAATAACAAAAAAATTATAAATACATTTAACTATTATCTACATAGTTGACTTACCGAACTCGTGTTGTTTTCTATCGGTCAGCTGCGGCGAGTCGACAATCCAACATAGTAACGACACCTAAAAATAGAATAATCGTATATTAATACAACAGTACAATCGTTGAAAAAAAAAAAGAAAGAATATTATCTATTTCAAATATGTAGGTAGATAGGAAAGTAGGTAGGTATGTAGGAGATATAAATAGAATCTATAATCGCAATAATATTATTGATAGACATAGTCGCGTTTAACGGGTGGCAAATGTGGGCAATTGCCCGGGGAAGGTAAACTTTATGGCACTAGGAGGGGCGGAAAATGTTTGTGTACCAAAAGATGTGTAGCCAAAATGCATTTTGCCCACGGGTAGTAGTATAGCTTAATGCAGCTCTGTTGATACGTAGTTGTAGCTATCTAATAGCATAGTTTACTTTGGACATTCCTTTATAAGATTATTGTGAAAAAAAAAACACTTTAGGTAATATTAAATGATTTTGTCGAACGAAAGACGAACACTTTTTTTGGTTTGTTTATTATTCAAACATTTCCGTTTCGTTGTATAAATGTAATATAATAATATAGTATAAATCAATAAAATATTTTTATCATTCACAAAACAGAAGTAGTTACATCCGTTGCGGCGGTGCAGACAACGACGTTAAATTTTCAAGGGCGTATTTTGCGTTTTTAGAGGTCTTTTATCGATGCGTATATTGAAATTATAACACCAATAATAAAAATTCTATACCTATTCGAAGGTCCTATATACTTCATTATTATTTTTTAAATAGAGGCCTTTGCTCGACAAATATCCGCGTTTAATAAAAATGAAATAATTAAAAAAAATACACTTAGTTTATATAAAAAAAATATATATATATATTTATGCAACCACCATTATTAAAAATACCTTCATTCAAGAGTTTGAAACTTATATAATTCAACTCTTATTATATCTACGTAAAATCGATAATTATAGAAATAATAAGGTAATCTTTTAAATTACAAATGGTAAAAATTGAGTCTGCAACGGTATTATAAAAAAAAAAGTTTTAATTTAATTATTATTGTGGTTAGTCGTATTAATTTGTAAAATGCATATATAGGTGCGTATCTATTTTTACGATGTAATATGTAAAATGTTTTTTTTTTGTTTTTATACATTTTTAAACATATAGAATATACATACGATCACGTGATTTAGACCAAAAAATAAAGTGTGAAAAATTGCATACAATTGTGAAAAAAAAATGATAAGCTCTTCATCCTGGAGACCGACAATATGTTGAAACATTATATTTTGAGCATAGTAAATACTATACTTGTAAATAATATATATTTATGTATGGATAATAATTATCACAAGCTGTAAAAAAAAACCAAATTTAATGTCTCGAGGAAATATGCAGTGTTACGTTTCTTTTTTTTATAATATACTTAGTCAAATCAACAAGGCGTAATAATAATAAACTATACAGCAATATAATCATACCGGTCGAATCGTATCTTGTTTTTTTTTTTATTATTATTTAACGTATTGAATTATTTAATTACTGTATACAAGTAGGTATTGAAGTAAAAAAAAAAAAACAATAAGATTAAAAAATAACACGGGGTGCACGTATAAAAGTAAATACTAACGCATAATATTATATTATACAGTAATATTAAAATTAATTGCAGGTTATAATATTGTTATGTTTTAAAGAGCCACCATATTACGCAACGGAAACACGACTTAATTCTACAAATTAATATTATAATTATTAACTAGTGTTTTTTTTTTCAACTTCTTTAGAAAACGTGTAGTTTTTGGAAAATTTCATCTTGTAAATATACCAATATTTTTATTATTTATTTTTTTTTATAATTCGTGGCGTCTAGATAAATTTTTACTTAATTATTATTATCATCACGGTCAGCGTGGCAATGGGTAGTAAAATAATTGTTAAGTCCGACAGCAGATTTATAATATTTACACTACTATTATATAGCGCAGCAATCAACGCCAAAAAATAAAAATACAGTAATATCATAATTATACTTAGGTGTATAAATGCATATGTAATTTTTTTTTTTTTTTATATAAATATTGCAGTTAAACGCTAGTTACATGCTGAAAAAATACCCATTTTCTTTCGACGTCATAGCTCATAAATTATTACGATAAACAAACGGCATAAAATTAATTAAAACAATGTTATGCTATGCTATGGTTAACACTAACGAAATAATTGAAATAAAATACTGCATTTTTGAGAAACAAAGAAACGTATAGGTACAGAAGTTAACGAGACCTTGAAAATGCGTCTATATAGGTGTAGGCAGGTACGTTAAAAAATAAAACAATCATTTCCACCTCCCGCCATATTAATACAGTATTACACACCTATTATCGTCAATCAAAACTATTGGTGGTTTTTTTTTTTAATCTATTACTCGGTTTAAAACGTTCGAATTTATAACGAACCGAAAGGAAATAATGTAAAAACCATATTTATCTTTTATCACACTATATAGTAGAAAAAATAAGGCTTTACTGCATTTGACGTTCAGTGTGCGGAAATCGAAGAGAAATATTTTTCTTCCTATTCACATTTATTAGCTATACTCTTTTGCATTTAAATATCATGTACTGCAGTTGCATAAATCCCGTAGACTAATTTTATGTGGCTACAGACAGAGATAAATAATAATTTGATGAGAATGTTCTCGAAGTCACCAGGGTACTCACGTGGCGGCTATATGTGTGTATCGGATGAAATAAACTAGATAAAATCAAAAATTTCATCAATTTTTAACAATTTTTAAAATCACTTTACTAATTTAAAAAAAAAACTCAAAACGTTAGACAACTAAATAACAGTAGCTTTACTTTACAGCCGGATGGTGAATGGATAAATGGAGAGAAAAGTGTTTTTAAATGCAACAAAACATCCCTACAAATAAAAATCATTACATGAAGATAATGTTGAAACGACATGTTCAACAACCTGTACAACGAAAAGTATTTAAAAACTGAGAGCAACTACATAGGATTTTTATCAGAAAAGAAATACTCGATACTGAAATTATTGATAGTGAAGATGTTTAGCTTCACATATTATTATATTTTAAATGTATTCCCAGTTACTTGAAATTACTGTTTGTATTGTGCATGAAACATAAGATTCATTATTCACAACAACAAAAAATAATTAAATATTTCACTGTCCTGTGACTTCAAACATTAATACTATTATTATATTAAAAGAGAGCTAATACTGCTGATGAATGTGCCAGTATTTTAGGTGGAAAGTTAAAAAGATAAGATAAGGTAGTGTTGTTTAATTTATATTGTAGACAAATCGTTTACATGCAGAAAAACTTAAAAAATCATAGTAAAACCAATACATTTCTCACTGCACCAACAAAATCTAAACAATTTAATTAGATAATACATTAACTTTTCCACGATGGTTAACCCCATTTGATAATAATATTATTGTGTTCTTATTCGATATTAAAACCTTTTATAGTGTCGTGAAAGTTGCATTCGTGCAGTTCTATATATTGGTGTACACGTTAATAATCGTCAAATCAAAAACGCTATTATGTTCGCATAGGAATGTAAAGTACGCTAGTACCCATAATCCAAGATATGAATATTTGAAATATTACAATTTAAAAACGCATTTATCTTGCTTAAAAATCAAAATATTTATATAAAAAAAACCATAATAGTTGCATAGATTATGCAGAATTAAAATACTAACAGCCCAGAGTTGTTCCTGCTGAACGCTAATTCGCTATGTTTATAAAACGGAATAACAGCAGACACAAGTACAACGTCCTCTTAATAATAAGAAGAGAGATCGGAGCTAGTTGTTTCAAAGCTCAGTTAGTCAGTTCACAGGTGCTGTTATTACATAGCGGCCGTGACAAATACTAGCCATTGTTTACATTAATACGAGTGAGTGTTATTCTTATAGTTAATGTAAAGAATTAGTATTCGTTACGATCGCTAAGTGATAACAGCGCCTGTGAACTGAGCTTTGTGACAACCAGTCCCAGTCTCCCTTAAGAATAATAATCTAAGTTTGATATTTATTTTTCAAAAATAAATAATATTGATATCTTTATTATATTTTGAATTTTTTATAGATACAATATTTAGTATCTAAAGATTACAAAGTATCTAATATCATGTTGATATGTATATAATATACATATATTGTGTTTAAAAGTAAAAATCGTTGTATTCAGTATTTCTCGTCAAGTGTCCTGCCATACGCGCAATTCTCGCCCTATCACACGTCTTTCTATATGCACATTACTACGATTTCTCCATTTACCTCACATATCCTCATATCACCCCGTACTATCATTTTCTTTGGCCTACTCATTCACTGGATACTGGCTTTGAACACTTGCAGATTCGCCTATAATATTCTGCACATTATAAAAACCGTACATAAAACGGACCGCCGTAGTCGGGCATCCCAAGTATCGACCGTAAATACAGTACAATATGTATATATTTCTTTTTAAACCGGACACAATGGAAATACACGAAGCAAACACGAAACGGGCGGCGACGGTGACGCCGCCTTGTGAACATAAAAAAAAAAAAAAAAAAAAAAAAACCTCCCGAGGATTGTGATGTCTGCAACGGGAAGAGCGATTTGTGTTCGGTGGCGTCGTCGTCGGTTCGTACAATAATAATAATATAATCGAGTCGTTTTCGAAGAGCCGCCGTAAATGAGATAAAGAAAAACTAGAACCCGGTCGGGGTTACACCGTATATAGGCGCACACCGCACAATATTATTGTACACATAATTGTGTTTTATTATCCGTCGCGCCCGGTATAGCCACGGCATACAGGCGGTATAATTATTATTGTAAACGAGGTGGTAACCTCCTACGACAATAGCGCACATCACACGCGGGAGGACGCGACACGCGCAGGTGAATAAGCCGCGACGGCGCGGCGCTCCGTGGGAATCGTTCGCATATTTTTCTCCGCGTATACACACGGACCACCTTTCGCCCCTCGCCGCACTCCGCGTAAACGGAGGCCGTTCCACTTTTTCCCCTCACACTCGCTCCCTCCCTCGCACTCTCTCTCTCTCATTCTTGTTATTATTTACGTACGCGCCTTATATAAGTATTACACCGCCGACGCTGTCGTTATAATAATAATATTATTTACGAGTGTGCGAGCGAGCCGACGACGCGACGCCGCCGCAGACTCGTCCGGAGAGAGCAGCGCGCCGCCGCTGGTTTTCTCGGACGTCGTTTTCCCGCCAATAATAATAATAATAACATAAACACGACGACGACGCGCGACGTATGAAGACGAAATGGTCGCGACCGAATATAATATTATTAATAATCGAATCACGCGCGAAAAAAGACCGCAGGGTATGAGGCCGAATAGAAAGAGACGATCAATACGACCATATTATTAGCGCGGGCGGGTCTATTGCCAACGATCTTCGGATTAACCATACCTTACGCAACAATCATAGGCGCAACTAGACCAAATATTATTTTTTTTTTTTTTTGAGAGAGGTTCGTAAGCCCCCGTAATATTGATTATGTATATCGATTCGAGAGAGTTTTTTGGAGAGTTATTAAAGGGCCCCCAAAAATCAAAATAATATATTTTAAATACGTCAGTAGAAAATCTCGTGGTGGGAGGAGGGCAGAAAAGGCAGTAAATGTATGAATATGACACAGGGGGATTACAAAAGATTTTTTCATGATTTTGAAATCCTGTATTTATTAAAAGGAAACACGATTGATCGTAGGCCAATTAATCAATGTAAAAAGTAAATTTCACATTTTTTTTTTTTTTCTAATAGTTGAACATGTTCACATGTGATTCCTCTCTACCCCCTGAAACACGGGAACGACATTAACCCGAACTCAATCGGCGATGGTTGTTAAACGTGCATTTCGCAATATTCTAATCTCGCCCCTGTTAAAGATACAAACGGTTACATCAGAGATGCTCCAGCAAGTGTAGAATGTATTCGACTTTCAATGCAGTTAATGTCAATCGAGTGAGTCATTGGGAGGAAGGTTGGCATATTGAACAATTGTAAACATGTCCAACTACTGAAAAAAAACTCATTTACTCATTACACTGATTAATTAGTCTATACGTTTCATCATATTTTTATTTTTAATAAATACAGATTTTCAAAGTCGAGGTGTTCGTTTGTAACTATCCTGTACTTACTATTTTTTAATTTATCATTATCATCTATCATTCGCTAAAATAATATTATGGGAAGTAAAATTATTGAACACATATTTTATACATTTTATTATCTAAGTATTAAATCTAGTATTAAATTTAAAACTATCTTTATATATATATATATATTTACGACTTTTGGTACATTTCAGCAACACCTACTGTACAAATCTGACTACGTCTATAGGTATCACTATACGTAACAACGATAACCGTTACGCAGAAGGTAAAACACACGCAACAATAGTACCATTTTTTGTGAACAGAATTAGTTTTTTTTTTGCATTTTCCTTGACTTTTTCTTTTTTTCCTCCGATCGTATAACCATATTATTATTCTTATTATTTCCATCGGTTTCCAATACACCGCGAATGCGGTCACGGGTTTGCCTCCCCCTCCCCACTATGTGCTACCGACACTAACGGTCACACAACAACTGTCTACCTACAACGACCGCACATTCCATGCGACCGTTCTTCCGTTCTAAAAATAATTCCGCGAATTTAATATAACAGGAAGAAAGAAACAAACCGTAACACCTTAAATCGTTTTTTGTCTTTTTTTCCCGCTAAAGATTGGTCACACGAATTCTACTACAACTATGCCGAGAACCGAATTTTCTTATAATACCGAAATCGATAATTCAAACAAAACTAAATATAATTAATAAACAACATACGTGTATATTTTGCAGTTCGTCAATTAAAACAATTATCCCAAATAGCTTATAATTTATTATAATATCCCGTTGCGTTTGTGACTATATAAAATTAATTAATTAACTAAGCTATTAATTACTATCGTCGAGAGTTTAAAACATATTTTGTCTTGTACTTGTAATTATTAAACTATTTTAATCTCAACACATTCTAGGGGAAACCAACTGCCTATTAAAATATTATAATATAGCCCCCCAAACACTTGCTTAACCTGCTTAGTTATCGTATTCTTAAAAAATAACTATTAAAAGTCTATAACAACATATATATATATACGACCACATTAGAAAAATACTTTAAATTTATTATTGCAGAATAAAAGTCTGTATAATTTCGCATCGAAAAAATTTATCCAACTTAACTAGTGGATTGTACGACCTGCAGATCAATTATTTGTGTGTAACATTTCAAGGTCAAGTATATGCAGAAGCGTTCTGGCTAAACACCGTCGTCGCCGTGGTACGCATTGCCAAACCGAAAATGTTCAGATATACAATTTTCACATTATTTTTAGAAACTAATAACTAATAAGGTATACACAAAATTTACACGTTATGTATACATCACCGCATCGTGAATACTTTGAGCACGCACGTAAATGAAAACTAAAATTATAATAGATTAGGTATTAAAATATTCATCATTATTGTATAATTTTCCCCAAAAATAGAGTATTGCATTGCATTTCATATTTTTTCACGATTAGGTTTTTGTTAGGAATAGCATTCCTTTTTGCTGGCTTCAGCATCAAGCGTCGTCTTGGTTTTTTACATATTAGATTTTCTTTTCTTTCTGTTTATATGAGAAATACCTTATATTTTTGATAATGTGCAAGTGAATGAGTAACAAACAAGCAAACTTTGAAACCCTCCCCTTTTTAAACTGTTTAAGAGCTCATTTTTTTTTTAAATTCCTTAAACTACTAAATATTAATCTATGTTTAAATTTCAAAATAAACATCTTTGGAAAACCATAAGCTTCTAATTTTTAATATAAGTTCTCATTTGAAAAACTCCTTAAATGCTGTGAAAAATCTAAGTAGCTGTTAGCTTTAACTACACTTATAAGTTAAAAAATCAGAATTACGATGTGTTTAACTAATGAATTTAATCAAAAAAAGGGATGAGCATGCTTAATGAATTACCCTGTATATATAGTGATTTGACTCGAACAAGATTTTCCAAATTTTACTGCGAGCTTGTAGCAGAAACGTCAATCAAAATATATTCAAGTGAATCCAATGAATATAAATATTTTTATTGCGATTTACGAAAACATAAAGAAGTGGTAAAGATTTAATAATAATTATGTATACTCGTTGAGTTATATTAACGATTTTTCTTAGTTAAGTCCATAGCCCGCGGAAATATAGTAGAGAGAGGCTTAAATAACGTTTCATACCAGTCTGGCAAGCGTCAAATTTAAGTTACTTTATTCTTATGTACTTCTAATATTTTGGATTTCAAAAAAGTGTTACAGACTTTAGCTATAATAAATACCATCAACTTTTTTCAATGTAAACAGATACGTATATCGGGCCTATTGCGGAGGACTTGGACACGGATTTCAGGAAATCACCAACAACGACGATTATATACAGGTATATATATAGTCACGATGATACACTTCAAAATTGTCGCGAATCGTTTAATCACTACCTACTGATACTGTACCTACCGAACACTAATTGGCAGTTACCGCAACAACAAAAAAACAACATAAATTCGAAATCGAACACATCCGTATTCTCGCGGGGTAAACGTAGACATATTGTAGTCATCATGCGAAAACAGAACTCTCTATGCTAATTTTCATATTTATCGCATAATACATTAACAAGAAGCCAAGTAAATGATTACATTAAATTTGTGCAAGTTTAATAAAACGTGAACAACTATTATAAATAATGAACTTAGATTTTGTTTAAACTTGTATCTGAAATAGTTAAGGAATGAGTGTGTGTTTGTGGAACGCCAAGTCCTCTGAATGGGTTGTTATTAATTTAGTAGTCTTTGTGGCGCTTTAGTATAATTTACTTAACTAAAACCATCTTGAAATTTTCCCGAATCGAGCAATGCGAGATACTTGCCTTGTGCGTGACTGAATCACATAGATAACTGTGGTTCATTAAGTTTTATGCAACCGGAAAACCATCAGATGTTATAACTGTAACGGTGCTAATGGACAATTAGAACATCGTAAAAAAATGGCACAGGCCAAACAACATCAATGTCAAAATGCAAATTTGTTTGATTCTTTGGAGTTTCTTCATTGGTGGTGGGGCAGGGAGGTTGATAGAAAATAATGAATTTAATATAAAACATACACAGAAAATATATCTTTTTTGTCTAATGTATATAAATATTATAATACTGTTACTGTAGTTAACTGTAGAAAACGTCAGTAAAAAGATATAATATATTACAGGTATACAAACTGCATGCGAAATGCATTTGGAAATTGTATTAGCTGCAGCAGGTTTCAATGTCTCACGGTTGATGACAATTAAAATTTGCCAAGTATTATTATAGTGAATAATAATAATAAATAACGAGCCAACTTTTAAATAATTTCTCTTTTGTTTTTGACTTAAGTCCAATAAAAATAAATTAATATTAAGTACCTATTATGTACAACAATTTTTTTCTTTTTAAGAACTGATAATGCTGATAGGTGTGAATTATCACATCACTATTGTAGGCGGTAAGTTGGAAAGGTAGGATACATAATCTATAACTTCGTTAAATTTATTTATCGTTTTATTTATAATGAATTTCGTATAAAATTTGAAGCATCTATGTTTGGTCAAATAATCTTACCTGAATAAAACCAAATAAAAACTAAAAAAAAAAAACTAGACAATGTTAAATACTTACTAAGTTACAAAAAGCTAAAAAATCGAATACATGATATGTGAAATTATAACATAACTTATATTTACTTTTTCTAGACATAATAAATTTTCAAAACATTTGAGCTATTTATAGACATTTTAATTTTGAGAGTTTTGTACGTATTTTTATTCGGTGCTCTGTGAATAAAATTGTTAGACTTAACAGAAATACTTGAAAATTTGACAGGAGATTCATAAGTCATATTTAGTGGCCAAAAATAATTGAGTGTACTGTTGTATTTTTTTTATAATTTTTAAAATCCAATTTCGATGAAAATCGTAAATATCGTAATATTCAAAACATATATAACCGTACGTCACTCCGAATCGTTATTTTGTAATTAATGGTTTATTGTTGATTACAGTTATAAATTAAATAACTTTATATATTCTACCTTCCCAACTACCTATTCACAACAGTGGCCGCACCCGTGACCAGTATCAGCTCTTTTTTTTATTATATATTTTGTGTGTTACCAAAATTAAATCTTCGAAGATTTTTAAATGGATTTTTCAAAATCTTTTTACATTTTATATTTCTATATTACACGTGTACTCGTAAACTAAAATATGAACAATTTTCATATACCTAACCTATACGTATGCTCAACAAAGCCGACAGTGGCGGAAGATCAAATACAATACATGACGGGGGTGGTAATAAGAATAATAGAATATATCAGTGTAGTCCTTGATGATGCACCTTGTCCTGTGCGAGTATTCGCAGAAAAATGACGTTTGTGACAATAAAATAATATAATAGCCGCTTGATTTTTAAAAAGCAATATATTATGTTATAATACGTTTTTCAACCGTGGATTCACTAAAGCCGACAAAGGACATTTTTCAATATGCAAAACAATAGACTGAAAAAGGTATGGGTACAATGACCGCACGATTGAAAACGATTCGTATGTGTCGTTATTTTTGTTAGTGAATATCCTTTGAGTGGTCAGTAATTCGGAAGACTTATTATATTGCAAAACTATAAGCAACAATAATAATTATTATTGCACCTATTTTATGTATTATGTAATGTGCACATAATACGAGTACATTTATTAATTTGTATTTTATATATATATATATATATATATGGCTTACCTATTTATGTCTATACATAAATAAATAAAAAAAAATTAAGGGGAAACTATGGTTGATTTTTTCGGGACTTCAATTATTGTAATTGTGTATTATTTTAATATTACGATATTTAATCAAGTCTATTTAAACGCGTTTAGTAAATATAATTAATTAATTAGTACTTATATAACAATTTGAAACGAATTAATTGTATGAGATGGCATTTATATTCAAAAACTTGAGTGAGTTGAATATTAATTGTTTTTAATAATACTGTATGTTCACGAGCGTATATCAAAAATTATTATATGAGGTCAGCATTGACGTTTGAACGCGCCATTCACCAATCTAATATTGTTCGGCAGAATAATTTTTATTTGTTTATCATCAAACGTACGTATAAAAATGTGAAATTTCTTTTGTAGATACCGACATAAAGAAACCGATGGTTGAATTGGAAATTACACCGTGGGAAATTCAATGAAATAACAAAAAAGTTATAGAGTAATATTCATTCAATATCGTCGTGATGTATCATAATAATCAATTATTGGTTAATAATATTCGCGAACATCAGTTTTCGTTATTTCGAGTTTGACCCCTACGGCCGCTGCAAGTATCACACAAAAAAATTCTCGATTTTGAAAGTCTATCAATATTCGTTTTATACCTATATAATATGACGTATATATAGTCAGATTTATCTACAGATAGACACATTTTGATGTCATCCTTAATCGAGTACATATACTGCAGATATTATTATTATACATACAAAACATAAAATACGGGTGAATTAATATTTTATTTTATCAATTATTATCGCCGTGTCAGAAAACCATAATAGTATAATATGTAAATAACCCGAATATTTCACGGGGAACTATGAACGGCATTTAACTACAATGAAGTATTAACGTCATAATAATATGGTGACCTTAACTTACTATAATATTTTGAGCCTCGTTGCATAAACAGAAAAAAATATAAGATTATTTTATTTATTGGAATGTAGACGCCCGACGGTAGTTAACAATGGTCGAGAGAAAATAACAAATAAAACGAATAACAATATAGTAAATAGAGGCGGAGATGAAACAAAAAAGTCATAACGAATACATTATTAGAAAAGCAAAAATACAATGCAATAAAAATATGTGCAGAACAAGAGATATTAAGGATTAAAGGTCCTGATCACGCAGTAAAAGAGTTTGTTACGTAACAAGTGATGTGAATGGTGATAGAAAAAGTAAGGTGTTGGCAATAAAATGACAAGGAAATATTCTAAAAGGGATTCTTTCTAGAAGATTCGAAGAGACCGGTGAGAGGCATCCTGCATCAAATATCCATTTAACATAGCACTTATAAACCGCTGATCAGCCTTGATAGAATATGCAACCAATTTGTAATATTTCACCGTCAGGATATTATTTGTAGCTTTAATAAATCGCCAAGAGAATATCGATACCTATATAAATTAGAAGTTCGGAATGTATTATGTATTATTACTGACGTCAGACGTGTATTGTGTGAATTAGTATGGCATACGACGTGTAATATTATTAATTCGATAACTTTAAACAAACACGTACACCAATTAAACACTTTAAAACTATACTAATACTAGTGTTAATAATAATACTCTATCGACACAATAGTGTTTGAATTATTCAAACGAGAATGGAGTATATTTTTTTTTAAATTACATAAATTATAGGCCCATTGAAATTATGATTACTTTTTAACATAATAATAACTAATTAATAATCATCAAATTCATTTGAAATATACTTATTGTGTTACCAAACTAGTCAACGTACGTCATACCCAGGTAAAAATAAAAACTGAATGTTCCTAACTTGGAAGACCCCAGTATTTCATAACATGTTTATTGCCCCCTTAAGAAATAAAACCTTAAGGAAGATACCATAATTAAGGATATGAGGTAAACAAGAGAAGTAGGACGAATTAAAAAAATGTAATGCTAGCCACACCCTACCACTCAAATCCTATAATTCTATCCCTAAAACAAAAAAACAAAATTACTAAAGAGGGGTCGATACAGTGGTGTATCCAGAATATTTTAACGAAGGGATTTAAACAACTAAATGAAAATTATGTTAATATATCTATTATCTATAAATATCTATATATTGTGCATAACTTCAGTGTATTAAAATTATTTGTACTCCGTAGTACAAATGTGTATTTGTTATTAGTACCTAATACGTTTTCAATTCTGAATAATTGAGTTTTTATTTTTTTTTATTTTAACACGATTACGGATTAAAGAGGGAGAGGGTCCGAAACCCATTAGCCGTCCCCCGGGGAAACGACACCGGGCCGATATATTACAAAAATAAACACATTCTTTCGGTAAAAAACAAAAACAAAATTTAAGAATTCCGAAGACATCGATGACGACCATAACATTTCTCGAACACCGTTACAATGGAATATTGTTTAGAAATTCGCGAAGACGACGACGTGATGAATATTATTGCTGCAGCACGACCGTGGGAAATACCCGATGCATACTATGGCAAACTGCGAATCAACAACAATTCAACAATAATAATACTGGTCGGCCGGTCACCCGGTTATTGATTCATTTTCTATCCACTCATTGAACTCTTTTCACTCGGACGGAGCCCGGACTCCGGACGAAAACAACAACAACGAAAACGACGACAACAACAAGGACGGCACGAAACGTCAACACGAACACAAATTATACGACGACCCGTTATACGTGCCGGGGCAACGGTCGTCGCCACCGCTGCAGTTATACTATTATTATTAATATTACATCGTGGATCTCCCTCCTCGACAGTAAGAAAAAAATAATAATAATAATAAAAAATTACGACGCAAAACGGCCGCGGCGTGTTTACGCGCGTTTTCGCGGCTCTTCTCGCGGCGCGGCGACAGTTCATCGACATCGGCGGTCATTTCTTCGAAATCCGTCGCCAGTTGCAGTGTATTTACCGCGCTTTTGCCGCACGCTCTGTAATAATATGTGCGCATTATTACGCGTGAATTCCAAAGAGGATAATATTGTTATTACGCGCGTGGGGAGGGGGAGCACCCCGAGGCTGCGCGCATTTTTCCAACGTCTTCGCGTTCTATACCTGCTGCTGATGCTGCTGCTGTTGCAGCAATGTACCGCTGCACACGTGCGTGTCGCGTACATACCTACCTGCCCGTACAATCGACACAACCGCGGCGGTGACGTCCTCAAGGTCGTTCTTGTAAGGAATGGTCAACGATCCTAACTACGCCTACCGCACGAGGAGACTGCTGCCAACGAACCTGCGGCCAACGTCACGGCAGCCGCGCGATAAGCGCGTTATCAAACTGCGAACGTTTCGCGCCGTCGTAATAACACTACTATCGTGCGCCCCGAACAGCCATAATACGCGCGATTATTATATGATAACAATCCTTATCAAATATGAACGGTTCCGAACAAACAATCGGTTGTCGGCAATCATAAAAAGTATATTTAATTTATAAGAATCGAATCACACAAATACCTCATAATGACCACATTTGACATTACCCATTTTAAATAATCACTAAATTTTATTAAATTGATTCAAAGCAAGTTTAAAATATTTTTATGTTCTCCATTTGAAGTATTTGTACAGCTGATATTTATTTTATTAACGACGTTTCGTTCGTTAATGTTACGCCGTCTATAATACTCGTAAGTTATTTATCCTCTGAAAAACGGTTTTCACACCCACCAGCTCGGTTCGAGACGAAATTTAATATTTGTTGCAAACAGCATTTTATGTCCGGTTGCGGTAGGTCATGCTACCTATATTATTGATGGCCGTATTATGTAGTCAAAGGTCAACTGTAAAAATACCAATTCAGAAAAGTGTTTTTTTTTTTTTTTAAAGCGACAATTAAGATGTATAATAAAGGAACACTACTCGGGCACTCCTGTAAAGCCTGCCGCTATACTGTCTGCGCACTGAAATAGCTGAAATAGTTGACATTTTCTAATTCCAATACGATCGCATCACTGTATAACAAGAGGTGATTTTTAAATGCTTTTTGTGTCTCAAAAATTCCGATCAAGTTTCCGTAAAATATCCAAAATACGACTGTCGTAAATATTAAAATCCTCAGTTTTTAATGGGATTAGCCCAATTTTGAAAAGTGTTGATATAATGATACCTCGCATTCCACCATAAATTGCGATAACGATTTCGTGTTTTGCCGTTACATAATTAATTTTGTTTGTATCAAATTTTTGTTCATAATGTTTATGCATAAGTAATAAAAACATTTCTGCCAATGTAATCTGCATAATAATTTCTACGCACGATGATAATGTTATTTTTAATACACTGCATGTAATATGTTTTGTTGAATTAATTAGATAGGTACCTACTAAAAGTTGTCAAATCTCGTGATACCATAATTTAATCAGTTTCGTTCCATTTGAAATTAATTTTCAGTATGCCATTAAATTTGCTTACGCACGAATAATATTAAAATTCGTATCTACGTCATTAATACAATATTTTTTATTTTTGTATATTTTCCCTCTCCACACAACTATGTAATGTGATTTTTTTTCAAGCGATTATCCTTGAAGATTTTGTGCATAATTGATTTTTTTCGTTCATTGTACTTGCATATGGAATATTTGCAATATTTTCAAAATTATAATGTTCTTATTCTGTACACCATACACATTAATTTTTTTGTTTCAACTTATCCTATCCGTCTTTTTGAAACAGATTTAAAAAAAGGATATTTTTCTGAAAATGCTGTTATGCATAAGGCTGGGACTAGGTTGACACCAGACACGTGAATGCTTCTGGTGGCACAAGTAATTCAGACAAAGTAGGAAAATTACAACTTATTTATGTTTCTTTATTAAAAAATTATGATCTAAACTTGTGCTCTTGGTCTATTTTGAAGTCCAATAATACTGATGTGCTTACTTCATTCATTGTACAGTCTGGTACTGAACCAGATGGAATTATTCCACCATCGTTTTGAAAAGCATGTAAATCAACCTTAATTAAATATTTACTTATTTAACATATCACCTAATACTGGACATTTCCCTACCATTTGGAAAAAATTATTTATTACACCAATTTTTAAATCTGGTAACAGAAGTGATATACGAAATTATCGCCCAATTTCAAAATTATCAGATATTCCCAAATTATTTCCAAAATATTGACAGCCTTACTGATGAAAGTACATAAGCTCTCTCCAACATGTTTTTTTACTAAAACATTCGGTTCTAATGAACCTATTAAGTATGTCTAATTACAATCGTAAGATTAAAATTGTCAAGTAGATATAATTTTCACTGATTTCCAAAAAACTTTTAATAAGGTTACCCATAGTATTTTATTACTTAAATTACAGACTTTTGGTTTTAATGGTATATTTTTACTAAGAATTAGTTCTTATTTAAATAACCGTTCTCAAGCAATTCAACTTTCAATTTATAGTTCCGATGGATTTCAAATTTTATCAGGTATTCCATAAGGTTCTCACTTAGGGCTTTTGTTTTTTTTAAAATTTTTTTTAATGATTTGCCTCTGTTATTATCATTAATAATAATGCTAAATTATTAATTTTAGCAGATTATACTAAATTATTTTATTCAATTTGTTAACTTTCCCATACTGAGATATTAAATCATTTAAACAAATTGTATACTTTGAGCGTGAAAAATTGTTTTCAATTAAACATTAATAAATGCGAAATTATTTCATTCACCAGTTTTAAAAATTTAAATACCTATTTTTAATTATAAACTAAATAATAATGAACTTGTGTTGCTTCATAAAAACTTAAATATTTAAGTGCTAATATAAATCAAAATCATACAAATAATATGCATAATGAGATTAAGTCCAGAATAAGTGCAACAAACTGTGGGTACTAAGCAATGAATAAAATATTCACATCGAAACTCCTTTCAAGAGGACATAAAGAGAAAACTATACATTGCCTACTTACGCCTAATTGTAATGTACGGTTGTGAAACGTGGTCCACGACACAAGAAGAGAATAAACTATTGACCTTCGAAAGAAAAATACATAGGAAAATATGTGGGCCTATGTTAAATCCCAATACTGGTGTATATGAGAACAGAAAAAACGCAGACCTAAACTGACTATATAATGCACCCAATTTACAAGATTTTCTAAGATCAAAACCTTAGAGTGGTCATGTATGGCGTATAGAGGATACAGAAATTGATTAGACAGGTACTCATTAACAAGCCAAATGAAAAATAGCTTGTGAGAAGACCAAGATAGCGGTGGATGGATCGAGTTCAAACTGACTTAAAGAGATTAAGAAATGGAGCAAATATGCAGAGGATCGAGAAGTTTGGAGGACTCTTGTAGAAGCTGTAAACCGCCTAAATTGCACGGGAAGCAAAAGAAAAATAGGACGGACATAATTCGCACGTGGGTGCAGCCATTGTTGTAGGTGGGAAGTAAGAAATGTAGGATACAAACAGTAATTTAATATATATCTGTAAGTAACGGTAAACTATTATTAACAAAAAACCGATTCTGAGCGAAGTATAAGTATGTGTCATACTATGATAAAATAATTAATAATATTTATTTGTGTTCTAAGTGTTTTAATTATAATATCTATTTATATTGTTAAAAAGGAGCTGATATGCTGATGAGTGTGTCATTGTTGTAGGCGAGATGTTGAGAAAGTATAGAATAAAGTTACTAATTAATTTATATTTGTACGCAACGATAAATTATTGCTGATGAAGTACAATTATAAGCGAAATTCGGTTAAACATGTTATGAATGTATACACCGTATGAATACCGTAAATTAAATTTAACGATTTTCGTCAAAATATGGCCTAAAAGATCATATTAAAAAACTATATAACTCTCACTTTTTTTTGTTTTTACCATCAAGCATAACTTATGATGGACTTCGTGTATAATTTTCAAACATCTTGGAATGGTTAAAAGGCAAAAAAATTATTTCCACATAAAATCAAATAAAAACTAAAAATGTTTTGAACATTTCGTTACGTCAATAAAAAGACAGTATAAGTATTTTGTGAACATATCAGATCCTTACGATAATTTTAACTGAATTACGACAAAAATAGAAAGTTTAAAATTACGAAACTGTACATTTCCCCATGTTTCCTACGTTTTTCCCATTTTTCCCAATTATTAGGAAAACTATAAGGAAAATTAAAAAAATGATCACATTTTAACTCACCAACTTTTCATTTGTAAATCTAAAGTTAATACTCATTTAAGGCATAAACAGTAACGAGGGGTAATATTTTAAAATAATGTTGGGATAAATCGTAAACGATTTTGTAACAATCGAAAAAAAGAAACAAAACGGAAATCAAATTTATATTAAAAATGTGAGAAACTCGTACGATTTTAATAGAAAAAATAAATCATCCTGTTCTCGTTTAAATCGTACGATTTCTTTGTGAACTAGTTTTAAGTTTTTGGTTATCAATTATATTATTGTTTTTTACCCGGGTGAAAGCCTTTCATATTAAACAAATAAATAAATAAACTATACTATAAATATTGAATTCAATATCATGTGTTGCTGTTTTAGTGTTAATGTCACGAAAAAATAATATCATATAAAATTTACTTGTTTCCTTTTTGAATAATTAACAAAAAAAACGTAATTAAACTTTGTATACCTATATCGCGAGCGCGGATCATGACTGTTAACAATAAAACATTGTTTGAATTCGATTTGCATAACGTCAAATTTACGATTGACGTCATTTTCTAGGAACTGGAACGTACGTATGTATTAGATACTACAGGACACTGACATTGCGGGTTTTTTTTTTAGAATATTATTATAATATTTATGGGTGGGTAGGTACCAATGTTCTACATTTTTTTTACGATTTTGTTAAAATTTTCGGCCAGCGTTGTGCAATATTGCGTATAAATACAATTTTATTACTTGCTTTTTATAGAATATGTGATCTATATATATATAGATTTGTTATATAAATAAATAATATTCTTAGAATACGTCATAAATCATAGTATAACGTTTAATAATATAATATATTATGTGTGTTTATTTAAATATAAAAATCGATATAAATAAAAAAATACGCTCGCAAAACTCGAGGGTATACGTAAACTTCGAAATAGGTCAAGTCACATTGACCTTTATACTGCGGTACACTCTGGAATTATATTACTGTTGCAGTTATTATATCCTTGTGTAATAACGTAGCAGAGTATCGTTCCCGTTTTTTAAGAGGTCAATGTTTGACGATTTACATATTAAACACGTTGAAATTCATGTACGCGATACTTTATTTTCGTTTCTTCATGGTGTTATTACGAATATTATGCATTTTACAGGAATTTCCCTCCCTATGAATTATACAGACACAAATTCCGAATAAACTTCATACTTTACGTAGCCCAGGGCAGGATTAAGCCCAAGTATATAGCCCTAAGAAGGCGTTCAATCACACTGCGAATCGCAGACATTTTTTTTTCAGGTAGAATAATGTGTAAGTTATTTTAAAATTTGTAATAAATTTAGAATTGGATGAACTTATTATTATTAATCATAACCAACACCAGAAAATTTAGGAATACAAGTATTTTATTTAAGTGGTTTAAATTTTTTAATATCAAATTATACTACAAAATACAAAATTTGAATATGCTTTTGAATTGCTATTGTGTATAATTTGGAGAAAAATAGTCCTGCCAGTGCATAGCCTTACGGACGTACTCAACTCACTTATACGATAATCCAGACATGAATAGGTCACTGTTTGTCTACTGTAGGTGGAACGTTAAATCGAAATATATGTGTATTATATAGGGTAATTTAATTTATAAAATATCAAAAGCAACAATAAAACATATCTTAAAACGATTGTGGACAGAGCTGGATAAACCGATAGAGTTATATTATTATATAGTATTATAATAGTCATGTTTTCTTCTTTAAAGTCTTAGTAATGTTTAAATAAAGTAATACCGATCGGAAGTTCTGCATCTTTTAATGTACCTAATGCTTGAAAAAAATCGGAGCATTTTACTCATTTAAAAAGTAATTTCTAAGAAAAACATCACAACTCGTTAGTAAATAAACTAATATCTAAAGATACTCGAATTATAAAATGGAAATACTTTATAACAATTAACGAATAACGGTTATATTCAATTATATTTTAGTTAAAAGAATGCATTGAAAGGATACCTTCAGTACCACCTCTCAAAGTAAAACAGGCACAGTATGTTTTTTTGAACGTTTTGGTTAAGGAATAATAAATACGTCATAAACCGTAATATCATATGACGTAATATTTGTTTGCATGATACATAAACATCTTTATCAATAACATAGGTAAATATCATATGACGTAATATTTGTTTGCATAATATATGAACATCTTTATCAATAACATAGGTAGGTACGTCATTTTCTCGGTCAAAATTTAAAAAAAATAAAAACATTTTATTAATTCTCGCGTATCGTGGGTTTTTTTTTAACCACACACATAATTATTATTGTCTTCATTTTATTTATTTATTATTGACGTGTAAAAAGTGTTTTTGATGTAAATAATGTATGTACGATTAACCATAGTTTTATTTTTTTAGGGAATTAATTTCAGTTAATTTTTTTGGAACCCCGGATTTCGGATTATTGTATAATCAACCAATTGGAAATTACAATTATGTAGTTGAAAAATCGAAAATGTACTTATTTTTTTAAGGTTTTAGAAGAAGACATTAAAAGATACAATACGTATAATTTAATGGGTATTAAATTTATATTTCAATTTTGTATTTATAATAAAACAGTGAAATATAATACTCACTTTGGGACCATCAGAAAGTGAGACTTATAACCGAATGAACTTTATAGGTGAAGTGGCGAAAGGATACAATGTATTTGGATATGTCCGGATTGTTCCAAGTGTTTTTTATTTCAATAAGTGACTGAGTCTTATATCCGTGAGTCTTATTATAAGCGGCGTCCACTGTATAACATAAATGTTACATTTTTACATTATATAACTCAATGCAAGTAAAAGTTGAGTCAGACATCGTTTATATACCCTTGCAGTGAACTGTGCAATGTGCGATTGGCAATAGCAGATTAATCAAAATTTATTTTAATAAATAAACATTATTGTCGAATTTTTGTATTGAAATCGAACGGCTATCAAAATGTGGAAAATCAAAACTGGGAAAGATAAAACTTGAAAAAAACTATCTTAAATCCAACGAAAAAAAGGTTACTAGGTCTCATTTTAGGTCTCTAAGTTAAAAATACCTTAAACAATTTGAAAACGTAAAATGCATAAAAATAACTGAAAAATTGTTTTAAACATTTTACCACGTCTGTGTAGATATCAAGGTACTCGTTGAAAATTCTAAGACTATACGTTTTTCCCGGTTTCCTTTATTATTATAAAAACCACTTGGGAAATCAAACAAATTTCGAAAATGTAACACACAGGTATTTTGTCAGTTTTTGATTTTAGATATCTGGTAGAAAATTAGTTCACGGTCAGATAAAATAAAAATAAAAATAACACATATCTTAGTAAAAACAATATCTATGCACAGAATCTAAAATAGGTAGTACTAGTATAAGTAGTACTTAAAGAATTTCAAAAAATATTTACAGATTACGATTTATAATTTATTTATGTTTCTATTTAATATAGGTTACCTAAATTGTTTCGAATTTGTATACGGAATTATAGTTGATTGTTTAAAATACGTTTAGAAACCGGAAACTTTGAACTTTCACAGGGTCGGCTATCCTAACTTGTTAAACATTGCTTTACCTTTGTTCTCCAATAAAATATTTTTGATGTACGCCACCACTGTAAAGGAAGTAAAGGAAGGAATTTTATTTTTCCTGCCTTACTCCTTTAAAAGTGGTATCATTAATACGAACAAATTTTTAGTGAACTTTGGCAAAGTTATCGGGTTTCAAATTGGAATTTAATTTTTTTTTTTAAATGACCGATTTAAGTTGATCTAATTATAGTTGAAGTTTATTTTGGCACCTGAGAACTTCGTCCAATTGTACTAAAAATGTGTACATATCAATATTTGATATTAACCGCTTTTTAGGGGGTTAGGTATAGGCACAACTAGACTACCAACTTTGGGGGTGCTAAAAATATGGACACATCAAAAACCCATGGGAGCTGTGCCTCCACAGTATCCTTTGCACAATTCTTACAATAAACAACTACATATTTCATTAAAAATTGTACGTATTGAAATTTATCGTAATTATTTTAACATTATTTTTCATGTACACATAAATTGTCTGTAGGAAATCAGTATTTTGTTCTGCTCATTAATTATAAAATACGTCACGGATAAAATATGTAATCATTACTTTGTTTATTGTTTTTTTTTTTTTTTTTAGAGGGTGGAGTGCAAATTTTGAACTCGGGGGGGATGCTAAAGACCTCCTATAAACCCTCTAGCTACGCCTGTGGGGTGAAGTAGAAATTTTATTTTTAACCACTATGACTAAGCGACGCCCTAGTAGGCGTTAGGATATTAACGTTATTCAATAACATTGTTATCGCCGGCTATTATACGAGAATATATGCTGTTCAAATTGTATTAAACGCGAACCATCATAAGGGGTGTGAAAGCTCTGTAAATTTACCGGTCGGGAACAAAATATGGGCACATTAATATTATACCGCGGCATATCGAAAACGAAATGGTGAAAAAAAAAAATAATAATAATAATAAATAGAGCGGCGGCGTCCCTCACTCGCTGCCGCTTGCTCTAAATAATATTCTATCCACGCCGCGCCGCCTTCAGTCGTCACTACAAACCCCCTCCCCCCCCACCTCCCCTTCCGGGCACTCGGTCGACGCCGCCGCGGGTCGTTGGCTCCGACGAAAAAACGTCTAGTCGGGAACGGAGAGGAGGGCCGCCGCCCTTCCAGGCGCGCCGGCCGTAATAATAATAAAAATATTTTTATTTTCGTTGCCGCGCCGCTTGTCGAGGCCTCGTGCTCGCGAGGGCGACGGCCGCCGTGGCGGGAAACGCGTACGCGCGCGTTTACTTACCGACGGCGGTGCGCGCGCACACGGCCGTCGGGGTCGTTGTACTCGAGGAGCCGCTGCCGCCGGACGTTACGACGATTTTACTACTACACACGTTATACGACTTCGGCGGCGGCGATGCAACGGTCTCGCTTCGTACGCGGAAAACGGAACGGCGGCGGCGGTCGTAGGCAATCAATGAAGCGACGGCGGCGGCGACGGCGACCACGGCGGTCTCACACTAGGGTCACGGCCGGAACCCGGCGTCGACGTTACGATAATAACAATATCACAATAATATTATAATATTTTATTACAAAATATTGTTATGAATCAATGTTATCAGTATTCATCTCAGTGATTTATCACCGCATAACCACCGTTACGGCGTGAAATTAACACCCGTGAACGTCAGAGCGCCGTCACTGTATTATTATTATAAAATCGAATTTTCACCAATAATAACGATATTACCTACAATTATACCTGCTACAGTATATCAATATAAATACATAAAAACAAACGTTTATTGTAAAATTTGATCGTGAAGCCAGTAGGGATGGCGGAGCGAAACGCCCGAAAAGCACACGTTTGTCCTTATTAATGATACTGACGACGTTTACGAACATTCGCCCCCGAGACTTCAAGACTTGGCCGTTTTAGAGTAAGGGATCTGTACAGAGGACTTCAAACATAAAAAAAAAAAAAAAACATTTCTCTCGTCACAACACGGTGCAATTTATTTTTGGCTTTTATCACTCGTTTTACTCATGTGCTCATTTGACGATCAGTTTTGCGCGGGAAATTGTTTATACGCGACGCGCGGTTCACGTGTACCGGCATATTATTTCAATGTAGAAGGAAAAGCGATTTAAAAACTAATACTGCTGATGGGTATGCCACTGATTTAGGAGAGAATTTGAAAGAGAGGTTATATAGTGAATAATTTAATTTGTACAATATAGACGCAATAATAAATTATTGCAAACAAAAAATGATTCTGAGCGGAGCATTAAATATTATAAGTATTTTTAAAAACTACTTGTTTTTCTCATTTATTTATTAAGAAAACTACAAAGAAAATCAAAAAATGACCTCCTCAATACACTAACTATAGATAAAAAATACTACAAGAAAGTTTCTGTAAAGTTATTGATTGATGTAAGATTTCTAACAGAAAAACTGTTTACAGATCAACAAATTAAATTAAATAAACCACTCAGTAAAACCAACAAGTAAACAAACCCAAAATTGTCGACGTGCTTCATGTCGCGGTCGGACCACAGTTGTGAATGGAAAATTAGGAACATGGGAAATATAATTTAATTTATATATGTACCCCACGATAAATCGTTGGCGGGAAAAACACGATTCTGAGCGGAATTCGGTTAGACATGTTTTGATAGATTTATAGATTGAAAATCGTATTGATTTGTTACTAAAAAATAGAATGCAATTATTCGTGTTTTGGATGAATTGGAACATAATTTGAACTTAAAAACTAATATAAATTAACAAGAATTACATAACACGTCATATAAAAAAATACTATTTCAAATAGCAAGTTATAAATAATGAAAGAAAAAACCGGAAGTGTTTCGAAACATATTTTACTACTGGAACAATTTTCAGATCTTTCCCCTCCATAGGATACCCATGGTGCGGGCTGAGAGCATGTCACGCCGGTGCGAGCGTTTTTGATCACAAAAACATTGCGGTTGATTTGAAAACATCTACAAGTATGTATGGTTTAATGTAAAGCAGCCCGAGATGAACATTAATGAAAACAAAACTATATGACGTATCCAACTACCTTCATATTAATCCATTTAAATAAATATTAATTTTGGAAAATTCCGGCTTATTTTTTAAAAATGACCACTGTTTAATTTTGAAACGTCACATTTCAGTAAATTAAAAATCAACACGTTGGATCCAAGATTATGTTGTTATTTTTAATTTGGATAACTTGTAAAAATTCTAATATCACTTTGAATAGTTTATCTAATTTTTCTGTTTTATGTGATTACGATTTGGAAGAAATTGCATGGATTAATTATAAATAATTGTATAACGACACGAGACTTATAATTTGATTTTATTAAAAATTTCGTTTAAATTGCCTATACGCAATCCCTTAATATATACCGGGCGGTTGATATTATATAAAACGAGCAAACGAAGAATATTCGAGTATACGTTTACTGCCATCTGCCGGTTAACGCAAACGATTTCCAGACGCACCGTCAAAATACAACACGTAAACAAACCGGAAACGAGTCTTTTTTTTTTGTCCCTTGCAGCTCTCCACCAATTCGTTATAAGTATTCTCAAACGCAGCGGGAAAACTAATTCCTTTTTTTTTTCCAAACACATTATTTTCAATATATTATTATACACGGTGATATTATATCGCTAACCAGTGACTTGTCGTCGTTGCGGGGGATAAAGAACGCCCCGAGAAATATGTAGGTACTTCAGCAAACGACCCTTGAAACACCGAGACGATTGCAGCTATTAAATGTCGTAAAACCGAAGATTATCGTTTATAATGTATAGAAACCGGAGGATTTTTTACGACAGGGTCATAAAATTCATATTCCGGATATTGGCCGAGAACTGCGTGTAATCGACCCTGACCACTCGCCTTATCCGTGTATAAGTGTTATTGTATATTATAATCCATTGTTATTGTTCACCGTCATGATGTTATATAGGTTGCAACGATATGCACAACAAATATTATTATTTTGTAATCTGAATACTATATCAGTAGATAGAAATTTATGTATGAAATATTATATAATTTACAACTATTAAAGTCTTCGACAAAATTTCTAAAATCAAATTACATTCGCTTCTTCTAAAACTACAATATTAATGCTACAAAATAGCTAGGTATCGTCGCATGGTTTTAAAATGCACACTAAACTATCGCAATAGTGCAACAGTTTATTTGCTATTAAAATAATTATATAAGTAATAAGTATCTTTGTCTTGATTGACTGAAAGAGAAACTATTCACAGCCTAAACCACTGAAGTTACTTAAAATTTTTACAATAAATGTCGTTTATACCGTAAGCACTAAGGGAGGAATTTTCAAAATTCCATTTCTAAAGGATAACTGACACAGGGTTTTTGATATTTATGGAACAAAATTTGAACTTTATTAGTTTATATATAGATTACTTTGGCGATATGGATGGTAATTTGCTTGTCATGGGCAAGAAAACACTCAATAATAAACACATTTTAGATTCTTACTTAAATCTTACTTCGTTATATAGAGTGTAGCACCTTTTCTAAAAGAAAATTTTATCTGATGGGTGAAATTTTGCAGAGTGTTATTTTTAATTTTCAAAGAGGTTTTTAAAAAAAATTGGAAAAACTCAAAAACAAAATTATAGTTAAAACGGCATTCCAAGCCGTTATCAATTTCATTGTTTTTAATTATTTCAAACTATGTTTTCTACTAGAGATATTGGTTCAATAGATTAACGACAGAAGAACTGTTTTGTTGAATTTTGGATCAAAATGTTTACGAAAAGAGTTGTTTTTAAATTTTCTAAGTAGTTTTAATAATAATTGAGAAAAACAGAAAGACGCGAAAAATGAAAAACAAACAAATGTATGGTGTTATGGATTCATTTATTTTAAATTATTTTAAGAAACCTTTTTTTCATTTTTATTCTAGTTGGTAATTATGAAAAACGTTTTTTGATTTTCCCTGTATTTGTATATAATAGGAAAGAGTGGTTAACTATAACAGCTAAGGATTGGAGATGAAATAGATAATCATAGGGAAATATGTTTTAAAAAAATTAATGTTTTCGGTTCAATACTTACAAGCAAAGCCGTCTGAGATAGCCATACATTTAACTCAAACGACAAATAAGAGCCTCCCAGAAAGGTCGAAAAGCTTCGCGAACTGAGGCTCTTAGCCTGGACCAAAATAGGGGAGTTCACACAAACTATTATTTATTTGATTTTATTAATATGATTAATTAGTTTTTGTCTGTGAATAAAAATAAAATTCTTCGTAAATATCTTCATAGTTATCTTATTATTATATTTATTTTTTTAAATAATATTAAATGATTTTCCAAATTATAATCATACTTACATCTAAGAATTAATAATATTTTAAATGGACAATGATAATAAATCAAATATTTTTCTAGATAATAGTAAACATTCAAAATCAACTTAATTGGGAAGAATACAAATACAAACAATTTAAGTTGATTTTAAGTTAATAAAGAGGCAAATAAGTTAAATTAAAATTAAGTTAATTAAAATAACAAACTGTTCAGTTAAGTTAAAAAGTTTAAATTAACTTTTAACTTATTAACTTGTTAATGCCCAGCCTTGCGTAATATTAGGCAATTCCCCATTAATGTTTCTCAAAAATATATCGAGATTTAAATAATAATATATAAATTAAATGTAATACAAACCCCGAAAAATTTAGTTTAATTTAAATACTCACATAATATACAAATAACTCGTATATGAGATTTAGTATTTTAATTTATAGTGGGTTTTTTTTTAAATTTATTAAAACAGATGTATTTAAATTATAACTTTGAAAATAATATTATATACTTAGTGACAATGTACCTAATTTTAATATTTTAATTTATAATAAACTTAAAATATGAACAATGTATAATATAGTTAGGTATAGTATTAAAATACGAAATATTTTCGCTATACGTATAATTACAATGAAACGACATAGGTACATTATTTTATTAAATTTTAAATTCGATTTCAGTGAATATTATTTTTGCAGTTCCAACGGAAATAGTCGCTGTAGAGAAACTTTCGCCCTCTTTTTACCATGACCGGATGTCTTAATGACATATCCATACTTGGATACACTTCATCACACTTCATCACACTATTACGCATTATACTTTACATATTCTACTATCATTTACCATACAATACTTCCGAATCCCCTGTAAATATGGAAATTAGGTGACGAACAAAAAAAATTGCATGCCATTATAATTAATATTGCTGACGTTATTATCATCGTATACAATGCGCATGATGTGCGTAAGATATTATACATATTATACATAAACTCGTTGAAAATCAAATTTTAATAATGTAAACTACAACAAAAAAAATGAAAAAAAATTAATGAATATAATGTTTCCATTGACGAATGACCTAGTGTGCTCGGTTAGAGTCCATTCATTTTATATTCATACCGAGTTCAACAATAATACATACGAATAGTTGCATCCAAAACCTGCACAAATATAATTTCAACTCCAAAATGGTCGAAAAAACAAAAACCGTACACTATCGGTTGCCAGGTAGGTAATTATATAGCCTATAACCGCACACTTATAGTGGGTAAAAACCGCACGTTAGGTCTTGTGTATAGAGACGCCCGTTGTATTTATAATTTTAAAATAATCTGTTAAATATATATTTTTGTAAGCATACAACCAACTATATAAGCATTTGCTAATATAGTTATATCTTATCGTAGGTTGATATGCTCGAACCATTATTTGTTAGTTAAGTATTTCATCTAAACCTGAAATAAATTGATGATAATGTACCAAACCAATATTAAATATTTTTCCAGTACAGTTATCGACTGATGTAGTTTTTAATGTTTTAGTGGTTTCATACCTTACATTTTTTAACACATAAATTGTACCTACACAGTTTTTTTTTTTAATATATAATATATAAATAATAAATAATAGATTATACAATTATACATCAATGTGCGGTTTTTGGATACAATCATTATAAAAAGTGTGTGGTTATAACCTACTAAAAGTGTACGGTTTTGCCCTGAATTTTATTAAAAATGTACGATTTTAATAGTCAGCGATACGTATAAATTCTATTATCTAGATGAGTATATGTGTGTGTGTGTGTGTGCCTGTGTTGTTGTTGCCTTTTTTATGAATGACTTGTGAGTGTACATACGCACACAGGAAGTCGAGTGCCATGCAGATTAGAAAACTAGACGGACCGCTTTCGGCGTGGGAAGGGGAAGTGATGATGACGATGTGTACTACGCACACCGGAAGCGCGACATAATGGTCAAAGAGTAGCTGCTGTTGATTGAAGTTAATAAATAATTGGTATCAACGGAATCAATCTACGTATTTTTAAAACGTATACATATTATATAATATATATTTAATAAAATGACATATATAGCTGAGTTAATAATATACAACCGTCACACAACATTCCACCGTACAACAATAATCATGATTTAAAAAAAAATATAATATTTTACAGTATACAGCGTATTTCATTCGAATAGTAAAATGGCAACGCGAATATTACAATTGAATGGTTTTTTTTTTTTTTTTTGGAAGTTTTCGGTTCTAAAATACATATTTTGAGCATATATATTTTCAAAATCTTAAGTGTAACTGGGGTATGCGCAACAAAACTTTTATTTTCTTAAATGGAAACATCTATGTTTAGCAAAATATTCGAATATTTCTATTTTTATTTTTTTAGATTTGTGAGGGATCTATTGGTTTTACTACGATGTGTGTTTTTATATTTTTTGAATTTTTTTATGTCTGTGAGCAACTTTCCTACCAAAAGTCTTGCTTTGGTTAGGTTAAACACTAGCAATCCTTTTCTAAAAGGAAATTTGATCTATTAATTAATTTTGGAGGTAATTTTTTTGATTTTTTGAGGGGATTGCATAATAATTGGAAAAACCGAAAAAAAAATTATGGATAAAACGGCAAATATTTATTTACAAAATGTTCAAGAAAGATAAAAAACTTCCAAGAGTTTTATAATATTTCATTCATAAAATAACTGCAGAAACGTACAGATGTTTTTCTATTTTTTTTTTTCAGAAATATTAGGTTTTTATTTTTTTTTTTTTTGAACAATTTTAAACTATGTGCCCTTTCTGCATCTAGAAATTAATAGACGTTGATTAATCTAATAATATGGTCGTGATCAAAGAGGATCGAACCAAATACAGATAGCCGTACGATTATTAATATAACCGACAAATATTCCTATTATTGCAAAAAAAATATCTATTTTATAAATTCTAATTGTACTTGTCTATACTTGACATTTGTAAAGTTATGCTTCGTGTTTTGTTAAGGGTAGTTTCAGATTGATGATTTATCAACATTTTACGATTTTGTGAAGTAATATTCGATGGTATTGCTACAACCGTACAAATAAAATATGATAGGTCCACGAAAAAATAAAAAAAAATGTTTTGGTCTATCCTAATATACACAATATATTTAAGACAAACCCATAATATATATTTGTTTTTTTTTTTTTTTTAAATCATCGCATTGATTGAAATAAATTGTTTTCATAGGTACACAAAATTTGTTTACTGACGTTTGACGTTTAAGACAACTTATAATATTTATTATTTTGTGGATTATTGTGTGTAATATACACATATAGTTTAAGTAATAATATACAATTTAACAGTTGTCATAATTTCGTACAATTATATAGTATAAGTGTACAAGTCGTAAAAAATGACGCGAAAATATTTCGAGATTAATTACCGACAAATATTAAGTACACATAACTACTTATTTTATTTATGGTTTTTATTACTTTTTATTCTTAAGAGAATTTACTATATTCCCGGAACTGCTTTTATTACTTATTTTAAATGGCCAGGAATTTTATTTTTTATACATTTGTTTATGAAACCAGTAACAGTATTAAAAGTATATTATAGTGTATTATTATAAGTAATAAGAATTTCAATATAATATATACACACATACGATTAACCTAATTAATATTAATTTTTAAATATATTTCGAGTAAAAAATTGAACATAACATATATAAATAAATATATTATACCAATGAAAATAAATTTCGAAAGAAACAACAGTAAATAAACAAGATTAAAATAATTTATTACAATCAATAACCGACCAATAATAAATATACAATAATATTTGTTTGAATATTATAAATTGAATTCATTAATATTCCCAACCATGTAATGCAACTTTTTTCATATTATGTATATATATATATATTTATATTTATATATTTATATATATATTTATATTATAAACTACTTAAATATGTAGAATATATTAATACAAATTTGACTTCAAAATGCGATTTTAAAATAATTTTTTACGGGTTTTTTTTTTTTTATACAAAAACAGCAAATTTTAATAAAATTGAAATAATTTATTAAAATCCGTCAACTATATTTATAACGTTTTTTATTTCAAGTAAAAAAAAAATTTGTTGAATTTATTAAGATGAAAAAAAGGAAACCCATATTTTGGGAATAACAAGCATTCAAAGATTAGGTTTTCTTACGAAGACCGAGTATTCCAAAGTACACATTTAGAGACTGCATATTTTTAAAACATTAACTGTAGTTGAGGTTTGCGCCACACACATGCGCAATAAAACGTACGTTTTCTTATTTTCTTATAGGGAAACATCTGTGTTTTCTATCTCAAAAATTGAACAAAATACAACTATCTAAAGCTCTTTATTAAAAACAAATGGAACTACTTCACAGAAATAATGTGCCGTAATAGTAACATAAAATATACAAGTTTTTGAATTCAATCCAAACGACAACGTTAGGTTATTCAGAAAAAGTCCTTTCGAAACTAGAAGGAAAATATTTCCTTAAATACCAAAATTTTACATTAAAGCCAAAATTGAAATGATTGTACTCAAACTTAACGTATATAAAACAAAGGTTTTAGTAAGCACCAATACAGAGTGTCCTACAATGTCATCGCCTAATGCTAATAATTCTGTCAACGTTCATTTTTTTTTCAATTAGGTTTTGTGTGAGGGGATCACATATGTAAAAAAAATTTAAATTTTTATTTCATCCCTTAATTATTAGAAAAAAAAAACTTTTTATTTTATCAGTTTTCAATATTTTCAAAACACCCATTTCATAAAAGATATTATTTTGAAAATTTGAATGTAACATACTTTCATATCCGATCAATAGTTTCTTAGTTATAGCCATTTTAATTTCTATAAAATTTTTATGAGAACAACTTTCAATACAATAACACGTTACGCGATAGAGAATCACAATCGGCACGGTAATTCCTATTAACAGAGTTAATAGTATAAGGATAACACTGTAGGACATCTTGTATGCTACATCGTGTTTTTTTTTTCAAAAATATATTAGTTTACCTGAAGGGCCAAACATTTTGCTTAAATTTATTTTTACCCAAATTAATTGAATTTTGGATGGATTTAACGAGGTTACGGCTTAATGTAATTCAATCAAATGAATATGCGCAGTAATATCGTAGCAGTAATAAATTGTACATATTATACGCGATTTAGAGACGTGTTTTGAAGCACATAATCCTGAATAAGGTAAATAGGAGCACAACCGGATCTTTTTATTATTAAATGTTGAAATTGCTTTTTGACAAAAAATAAAAAAAAATATATAGGTACGTACAGACAAATTGTGTATGTAATGCTTTCGTTAAATAGCTCTCCCGAGATTTGTCCTTAAAGACGAAAATTGAAAATTCAATAAAATTCAATACAATTTATTATCGTCGTTCAAACAAATGTAATATAAATCCATATAGATTTCACTAAAATTCAAATGAAAAAAAAAAAAAAATAATGCCATCGCTGATTTATACTCTCAAGTATTATACTCGTATATTATTAAATGCGTTCAAGAGTATTATTTATGTACATCATTCCTTCAAGACCAAGAATTTTGCGTCACGTCGTATTACCTTGGACCCATTACTGTAGTATTATCATTATTATTATTATTATGTATAGTTTTAAGCTTATCCTATAAGATATTGTTATTATGCGATTCATTCATCGTCGTGTTCCGGCAAAAGGCGGTTGTAAACACGAAATAGGTACGCAGAAAACAAAATGAACACGCCGAATATGAATGCAATTTCACGTTTTATGTATACCTATACAATTTGTTTGCAGTTTGCATAATAATACGACATCTGCAACGGTGTCAAGTTAAACAGACTTCAAACGTACCTACCTATATATACACACACAATCTGTTCGTAGTTTGCATAATAATACGACATCTGGTGTCAAGCTAGAAATAATTCAAACAAACGTCAATATATGCGATATTGTGATGTTTTAAACGAAAAAAAATCAAAAAAGTTTAGCATGTAAAAAAAAAAAAAAAAAATAAAAATATGAAATACTAAACAAATTGCTAAAACTAACCATTGCACAATATATAGCTGGTTGAGGGGGTTGTGTGAGTTTGTTTTAACTAGTGATGAGAACTTCCGAATAATTTATACTAGGTATCGAACTTTCGATGTTTTAGACTTTAGATGAACTATCGAATAGTTTTTCCATCACTAAATACTTTTTATAGAAAACTTCGGATATATCGAAAAACTATTCAAATTATACACGTTCGAATAGTTTTTCCCAAAACCTAATAGATAAATTATTATTCGAATACATAGTTTTCAACCCATAGAATAATTTGAATGCGATAAACTATAGAGTAGTTTGATTGTACCTATTCAGTTGTGTTAATCACTAATTGTAAACTGTCAGGGGCTAACTGGACCACTGGAACGCCGAGAAATTGTCAGGTTGCCCAGTGTCTAATGACCATGTGGCCCGAAGTCGTTAACAAAATTAAATAAAAAATGTATTTACAAATTCGGGATACTTTTCTTAATGATATTTGCATTATTATTATTAAGGTTTACAATCAATATTATTCTCATGTTCCTTAATTCATCTGTGGTGACATTGGTAACGTCTTAGATGGTCTTATCACTCACTTTGTTTACGATTCGGTTGATGAACTGTTGTGAACTAGGCGTGGTTACTATCGGAGATAAAACCGCTGACGTCATCACAGATGAATTAAGGAACAAAAGGAAAATTTTGTTTATAATATCAAAGGTGCAGGAAATATTTTTCATTTGGGGACGGTGGGAGAATGAGGGAGACAAGAGAACTTTTCTCTTCAATTTTGGATTTACTTGATGCGTTTAAAAGGTAATTTTTTGGTTTTCCAAGGGGTTTAAAAAATAGTTAGAAAAAACCGGAAAAATACTAAAATAAAAACTGACAAATCCACGGCATTATGATTTCATTGTTTTAAATATATACACTTTATGGTTAATCGAAGAATGAAAATGACATGTTTTGTCAAATTTTCTATCTGTATGGTAAATAAGTAAATTATCTTTTGATTTTTCAAATCGTTGTCTTAATCATTGAGCAAAACCAAAAAAAAAAGTAGAAAGAATGGGAAAGGTTTTACTTTTGTTTTTTCGTTATTATTCAGTTAAAAAATTCGTAAGGATTTAAAATTTTTTCAGAAAACTTATATTTGCCATTTTTAGTCGTGGTTGAATTTTCAGTGATTTTTGAGCTATTTAAAGGCATTTTATATTTGCGATTTCCTTACGTAGTTTTTATTTGGTAGGTACTATATGTGGATATAATTTTTAGACTAAATAGAAATGCTTGGAAATTTAACAGGAGGTTAATTATATGTTTTACTTTAGTGGTAAAAAAAATAAAAATAAAAGTAATGTAGTAATTTTCTTTATATAATGGTTTAGATCAAATTTTGAAGAAAATCGTAAATTTTGTAACGGCCATTCAAATATAACCAAACTTCGCTCGAAATCGTATTTTGCTATCAATAGTTTATCGTTGCTTGCAGATACAAATAAAATAACTTTATGCATACTACCTTCTCAACTTATTCGCCTACAACAATCAGCATTTATTTTTCTGAGATATTTTTAAATGTTTTACTCTTCCACCAGTGCTCAAAATACAAAATGTACTGAACCATACGTAACACATAATTAAAAACATATAGTGTTATATATGGCATGCTTAATTGATTTATAAAAATATGAACCAGAATTGCATTGCCGTTCATTTCGAGCCCTAACTTGAAAGTAAAAAACAAGATGTGATTAAATTTCAGTAAATATATATTGTACATTATGTTGCCAATTTACCAAAAATCATTAAATATCAAATTAGATGTATTTTGTGGCTATTTGTGTTAATTTATTTAAAAAAATATATAATTAATTTCGACGGGGTTTTTGAGACACCGTGGTTTCAATTATGTTTTAAGGCAATTTAATATTTTTTTTATTTGAAATTTGGATATTAAATTTTTCTCCATGAGGGATTATTAAATAATAATAATAAAAATTGAATTTAAATATTTGTTTTTGTTAATCATAAAGTTGTATCTATATTTTATTTGAGGGAGAAGCTGCGCATGTCCTCACACGTTTTGGAATTTTAATTATGTATTATTCAAATTATTATTATTATTTTTTTTTTTTTTTCTATTATCTTGTTTTATATTTAATGTGACTTTAATTATTTTTTAGAGACTCGCGTCCATCAAATACGAGGATTTTATTTATAGTGATAGACGTTGCAGTGCAACACTAATGTATTATGTAACAACATTGTAAACATTAATATTGCCAAAGTAAAATAAACTTATTATTATTATAGTAATTGGAATCACGATAAAAGCCCGGCGTATTGACGCAATAGTTGTCCGCTGATTTTCAACCGCGCTCACGTGCTTACACCAACGACGGGTTAAGATTAATGAATCCTTCGAAAGCTCCTGCGGTTCGTTATTACAAACGAATTACCCGGTAAAGGGCGTACTATTATTTGCGTTTTGAAATTTCGTTTTTACCCTATTGAATGCAAACAGTATAATAATAGTGGCCGAATGTCAAAAAGATAGACTTCCCGGAAAAGTGTTCGGTGGAGACTGGGGGGGGGGGGGCTGATGATCTTCAGACCCGAAAGGCGAACGTCACGCGGATTCCACTACGTTTTGGTGTTTTCACGTAACCGAATATATTTTGTGTTTCGTGATTTCGGTTCGTGGAATAATGTATTACGTAACGGTAATAATTATAAAATTATAAAATAACGGTTTCCGAAAATAGATTTAGCCATGGGTGTTTACTTCTCGGAAAACTTTCGCGCGGTCATTTATCCCGATGAGGGGCTCACGGTGGGTGATAAGATGACCGTATATTTGTTTGGTGAAAACGGGACAGAAAAATAAACGCATCATCCATTTGAAAATGGTTTATAGTAGAGTATAAAGAAAACTTTTTTTTTCTGTTTTTTTTTTCTAATAATTATGAACAAAGTTATATAATTACTTATTATTATATTTTTACGGAACGAAAAAAAATCACACTTATTACCACGCGTAACTCATTTTTACACAATTTTTTTTTTCTATTTAATAATTAAATAAAGAAAACTATACACTAGCATATTTGTCGTTGGAACATAATTTCTTCAATAAGTCCAATAACCGGCGACGACGTTCAAGAAGTTTAACTACAAACCGTCGTGTACGCAATTGATTTTCATTATTTATTTGTTTACCATCTGAAAACTGGACATTTTTGCGTCTCGAAGATTCCACGGGGAACAACGAGACGGAGGTACGAAAGGGACTGTCCCGTTCAAAACGGGGTACACGGTCACCTTACGAATACCGAACCACGTCGATTGAGACGAATAAAAAACGGGACATCATATCATTTTTTTTTTTTTTTAGAACAATTCAGAATCGCAATCTACGAATTGTAAATAGTGTCGTAGTGATGTACAGTTACCGGTAGTTTATATTCCATAACTATATTATAAAAATAATTAATTTATACCGAATTGAGTAATACAGTATTATTTTGAAATTATAAAATACCCATATTGATATATTAAAATACAAACTATAGCTGTGGAAACTTTGTTTCACTTCTTATAATGTTATAATGTACTGTAACTTGTAACTTGTAATCTTTTAGGTAGACAAATATTAAATCAATTTTATCGAAACTAAACAAAACTAAATAATACATTGTACATATTAATTTATTATTACTTGCCGAGAAGTAGGATTTGGTAACAATGAATTGGTTATTTGAATAAAACGATAAAAAAAAAAAAAATTGGTACTCTTTAAATGGTAAAAATTGTATTCATTACTTCTCGATAAATTATATTTGCTTTATTTTACTTTATCAAAGTAATATTTACGATTTACATCACTACCTAAGGAGCATTGCTCATCTACAGAAATAATTTATTATATAAGTTATATAATATGTTCAATATTACAAATGTTTTAAAATCTGGAGAAAATAAAGAAATGTGTTTTTTTTTTTATCACATATACTTTTTTTGTTTACAAATAGTTTACAGATATAGTCAAGCCAGATCTAAATCTCCGTGACTTTTTTTTAGATTCGATTAAAATAATTGATAGTAATTCGACAGTTTATCAATATCATCCCTATAACACATATACAGACATTGAAGCAGTGCTCGAGTTGATAAAATAAAAGAAGAGGGACTATAAGTCATAAAAAAAAATTAGCTTCTCTTGCAATTATTGAACTCAATCTAACCCGTGGGGAGCTTACACACCTCCCACACCAATTGTCTAACATAAATAGGTAATTCATAATTTCCAAAAACAAACACTACCTACTGCAGGCTAATTTTTGATTTCCTAGCACTTACTATAATAGATATTATTTATTTTAGATTCTAATATGATAGTTACTACTATGATTTTATTAGGATGATGTGTTTGTTCTTTTTCTGTATGTGAACAACTTTTCTACCAGAAATCTTGCTTCAATTATCAACTTTAGAGGCGATGATTCCTAGTAAAAATTGTTGTCTCGTTAATGTAATAAGAAGGGTTTTTTTTTAAATTTTCTTTATTATATTCTTAATTACGAACGCCTAGAAAAAACGTCGGAAAAGCTTGTAACTGTTACATTTATTGCTTTTGTTTTATTCTATTTCGTTTATTCAATGAAAAATAATCGTAGAGATCAGAAATTCTATTGAATACTTTTATAGTCTTTTATTACATTCAGCTCTTTCCAGATTTAAAACGTTGTCATACGTTCCACTTCAAACAAATAGTAAAGGTACGTTTACATTTCTGAAAAATTAGTTGAGGCACTCCGTCTCCCTGCATCCCCTCTCAATTCAAGCATTGCATTGAAGTTAAACTAGATATTCAGTGCTTAATGTTGCACTTTACTCGAAGAATTAATCTTAGACTGTAAATTATAATTACTATTATTATACATGGTGGGTCATTTAAACCTTCGGGATATCTTTAAAAGAACACAAATTGTTATTTTGAATAATTTTTCGTTTATTTTGGAAATTTGTTCTGATCATTTTTTTAAAAATAATATCACCTAAATGGCCGCCTACAGAGCGAATGCCATTTCTCGATTTTCGGAATTTGAAGTATTTAAAGTTGAATGGGGCCATAAATAAACAAAATTGTTGGTTCTGTGCCAGTGAAAATTCTCAATTAATCCACGAACAACCTCTTTATAATCAACGCGTGATTTTTGGGCCGGAATTTTCGCGAAAACAATTATTGCACCGTTCTTTTTCAAAGATGCTGGAGCAGTCGTATCCATCAATAGAGAGCGTTATCGGGCCACGATAACGGATATTTTGATTCCATTTCTGACTGATAACAGCATGAACTGACCATTGATTTTAACAAGACGGCGTCATAACTCATATAGCTCGAGCCATAATCGCTTCATTGCGTTTTTGGTTCCTCGAACAATTAATTTCAAAACATTTTGATTTCGACTGGCCTCCGAGATCACCCGATTTAACACCTCCCCAGACATTTTTCTGTGAGGCTATTTGAAGTCTAGAATTTATGCTGAGAAGCCACGGGAAAAAAAAATGAATATTGACTGATTTATTAGCATATGGCATTATTAGCAATGTAAAACACTATTTTAATATTTTAATTGTTTATAATATTCGATCGTATCTTTTTTGGATTTGCGTTGACAAAAAAAAAATAACCGTCTTAATGTTATATTATAAACGATTACACTTGTCACTTACCGCTACGACGCGTTAATTAAATGACATTATTTTTCAAATTAAACTCGAGACAGTTACTAATCTTTACGACAAACTAACGAAACGAAAAAAAAATCAACTAACGAAGTATATAATATGCAACCGCCTTCGTTAAGTCGAAATTGTGGCAACTAAGACACTTATGAAACGTGTTATTAATGGCGGTGAAACACAAAACTAACAACAAGGAAAATGTCAAAATAAATGATTTTTTTTTTTTTTGTTTTGCGGGTAGACAACGTTTAACAAAAGAGCCATTCGAATAATAATACGTTCCAGACAATACGTTTATTTTTAAACGATAAATCAGCATAGTCAATAGTATTGTAATTAGATGTGAACATTACTCAACTATAATAATAATAATCGTAAAATACAATGACTTCTAAAATGAATGATAATTATTATATTTTACGTGTTTTCTATACGGCCCAGAAGACAATAAATTTACATATTAAAAAAAAAAAATAAACAAATGATTGAATTTAAAAATACCGTCTCTACACTACACATTGTGAAAAAATAAATATAAAAATGTCATTTATTACGTCAATAAAAAAAAAAAAACAAATTAAAATTAACCAAAATAATAATTTATATTTTTATAGTAACGTAACGTAACGTTGTAAATTGCAATATTTATTTATTGTTGCTATACCTATAAGTCAATTCGATAAATTGAACTCTGCTGCAGCGGTTAAACTTTCTTCAACTCTACAGGGTCATTCTTTTATTATTACTATCTAATAATCATTTTCGAAGATTTTGATTTTTTCAATCATCCTAATACAGAATTATTTAATGATCCAATTTAAAATATTTTTAAAACTCTACCCTACCTAACCAAACATTATTCAACCCATATCTCTTTCATAAAGCATCGATAAGAGACTATATTTTTTTTAAAATGTTGATATGCATTACATATTGATATTGAATTTCCTGTTTATGAATTGTAACCGTTTGAAACTTGAGAAATAATAGCCTAGTATTTGTGTTGAAATTTAGGGGAAATTTAATATTCATTTAAGGCAAAAAAAGGAGTAGGAGTACAAATTCGAAAATGGTGTTAAGGTTATTGAAAGCGATTCGTTTTTATATATACTTAGTCCAGTTGTTCCCAAGCTCATTTTTTTTACCGATACCCCCCCCCCCCAAAAAAAAACCTCACAGTACCCCTCCAAAAGATCAAAGTACAACACAGAAGTATGCAATGATACCATTAATCTATTGTGTATGTATAATAATGTGTAAATAAAATAGATAGTATAATACCTTACTGAGATGGATGTGTTTGGTGTTATACTATTAGTTTACAGATGTTTCGTTTGATTTTTAAGAGAAGTCATAGTACCTATATTTGGTTATTTCATATTTGCAACTGTTGTCTTTATTTGTAAGTAGATTGGTTACTGTACTAAATCCATGTTGAACCAAGTAAAATGATGGAAATGCAATCAATATTTTTATTAAACTGATCAACAATCCAGCATAAAACGTAACATTTTAGAAATTAGTGCACTCACTTAATTTTAAAAAAAAAAAATGGTAGTGGGTGATATTTATTCCAGCTTATAGGTCTAATGCAGTGGTTCCTTAAGTATGCGTCATGGTGACCTATATATACAAGGGCGCCGCATCGTCATTTTGAATATTTAGTGGTCTAAACACAAATTTAAAACCCAAATGACAGCGTAAACGGTGAGAGCGGCGTGGCGTCTTTATTTTATTTTTTTTTTTTTGGTTTTCTCGAACACTTTTTCTTTTAAAAAAAATGCTTCAAATTATTCGCACTGTACCTTAAAATACGCGAATGTCCAGTAATAGTTTATTTAAAAAAAACAATTTTAAATTCCCAACACTTCCTCTCAAAAATTTAAAAAAAAATCTGGCAAAAATTGTTAGATTGTTGATCATCGATTTTATTTACCTGGATTACCTTGGCTATGCAATGTGATAAAACCGCGACTAATACTATTCCGATCAGAATAGGTTTTTTGATTGCAATGAATTGCAAGGGCGCTCCCAGAAAATATAAGTTCAAAACGGGAACTACAAGTCGAAAAACTCTGGGAAGCACTGATATAATACATAAAACGTCATATTCATCCGTAAAAACGGCCGTACTCCTTTACCTTAAAAGGGGAACCGCGCAGTAGATTATAGTGGAAAAGTCTTATAGCGACCATAAAAAGGTAAAAAGTGGTCATTTTCAAATTTGACGATATTTTGGAAAACCGTTTCAAACCCACTTCCTTGAAATTAAGCTCAAACACTTCCATAACAGCGATCGGGGAAAAAACACACCGTCAAATTCACACGAAATCGTATTATATTGTCTACCTCAGTCTGCAAATCGTATTTCACGTGTAAAATGTAATCGGTTAATCCCGAAATATCTCGGGGTTGTATACGACGAGTAACAAGTTTATAGTAGGCGTATATATTTATATATATGTAACCTAACCTACTAAGTATATAGGTACGGCTAAATACGGAATGGCAGAGAGCGTCTACAATATGGAGGCGGAATTCTATGGCGCGAGGGTCGAAAAGCTTATCCATAATATATTTTATGGGCTTTTGCGCTGGGCCGGGTCGCGTAAATAACGTTCGCGCCCAATTGGAATCGCGTAATTTACGCGCTACACGGATGTTTTCGCTCGGCATTTCGTTTCGATATACACGGGTAATTTCGGTATCCGCGACCCGATCCTTGTTCACTGGCCTTCTGTCTGTATGTCCCACCGACCCGACCCGTGCGAGTATTAAAAGTACACACACACACACACACACACACACACTTATTACTCCCGGCAAAACATTTTCAATTTCGGATTCTTTTGGGCGTTTTTCATACAATTGAAAAACTACTGACAATTTTGATACATTTTGAAATCCGTAATTAGAATTTTCGTATTTTGAAGTCCATATTTCGTTGTCTAAAATCCTCGATCCCGGTTTTTCGGATTTATGTCGCAACGTTAATTATTTATGGGTGACAATTATTTTACTATTATTGTTATTATTATTTACTGAACCAATGACCGTTAACGCACGCGGAGTTTCGCGCGCACGCGCGCGTTTAAAATACAGTGTGTACGACGTCGACTGCGAATCAGTTATAATATGATATGAAATACACGTGCGGACGAGATGGTGCAATAAAACTGTGGCCGTGACGTCACCGATTGCCTGACACAATGTTATCGGATACGTCCGAGCGCGGGAACGGGGCCAAGGTCGTCGCTGGGAGGGTGATGGCGACGGCGACCGAGACACCGGATGGGCTTGAGGCGGCTTGAGACGAGGGCCGGGGAACGGGGTATATGCGAGCCGCCGAGACGAGCCGAACGCCGCGATTTTCGAGGACACATTATCCGTATAACGTATTATAATGTTACGAAAAACAGACACTATGCATTTCGACAATGACTATAATATTATAACGACGTCTATATTATAACATCGGCCCGGACGGACGACGTCTGCACTCTGGTCGTCCCAGGACCGGGAATATTCGTACAGTACCTATACAAAACGTGTGTGATTGTTACGTCGGGTGTCGGTATTGTGGCGGTGTACTTACACGGATCAACGGCGAAGAAGGCGAACGATGGGATCTACGACGTTTCGACGTGCCGGTCTACGGTGGTGCGAGCGGACGCGGAAGCGGATTCGCCGGTGCCGGCCCAGTGTACCGGTAGCATTGTGTGTCCGCCGCGGTGGTTACCGCGGTAAGGTCCGGGTCAGAGGTCCGGTATACCGCACGGTCCAGCGCGAAACGGTTCGGCGCCTACCTACGGTATTACATGTGATGTGGTCGCGATCGGCGTGAACGAATACCGAGACGAACGAAACGGAAACAAATTTACTGCAATAAGTACACGTATTATACCGGGCAGGTAGCTGGTAAGTTTGCGTGTTTGTGATAAAACGAATTTTCGAAAATCCTCGGCGTCATCGTCCCGGGCCACTCCGTTATCCCATCATTCGAGCCAACACGTTGCCGCCGTACCAAACACATTTCACACGATATTATCACATGGTTATCAATCATATGGATTTATCACGGACAAGGCGGCGTTCATTGTGATTTCGGTGATAACGCGAAATCGTTTTATTGCAACACGTTATTGTATTAAGCACTTATATATAAGTGTATTGCACGACTACAATCATATGGTCGAATCGCGTGTTTGGTTCACCGGCAGAGAGCGTCGCAATCCGACTATTGTCGACAAATCGATGACCCAGATTCCTAGAAAATGTATTCGCGAAAACAATAATTTCTAAACGATTTAAAAATTGAAAAGATCCCGCCACGTTTTACTGCTCAGAAAAAAAAAATGTTTTAAAAAATCGCATAAATCATATTTAATTCTCGTCCTACAATTTTATTGATAATTCCCTAAAAAAATTCAATACAATAGTTATGTAGTAACCAATTCAGAAATTTCGAACCCGTAGGGAACATAGTGAAGTATAATAACTACGTTACAATCCTAATATCGAGTATAGAATATTGGTAGAAGATGATTAACCCTCCAAATTATCTTATAAGAGAATCTTAAGAGATCTTAAGAAGGGACGTTTAAAAATTGATGCCCCTGGGCGCCAAATGGCTTGACATTTCTCTACAATTGTACGCAACGATAAACCATTACTAATGAAGAACGATTCTGAGTAGAGTATTATAAAGTCATTTTTTTCCCTTGTTGCTAAATGAAAATCAAATACGTAATCTCCTCAATGCACTAGATCAAAAATAGTGCAAGAAATTTCCTATAAATGTTTTGATTGATGGAGCAAGATCTCTGGTAGACAAGTTGATTACAGATTTAGAAAAAAAAAAACAGCAATAAACACCAATATATTTCTCGGTTCACTAGTATAGGAATCTAAAATGAATCAGTTATTTATCAATGGCGATATTATTACTACTATACGTCAATTATTAGCAATTATAGTAATATCACTATTATATTAGTCACGATTTTTTATTGATTCAGCATTTTTAATTTCTCGAACGTATATATTTATCCTGTTATAATAACCTTTATTGGGTGATTGTGCGAATATGTGATAGGTAATAGCGATACACAGTAAACTGCTTATTACGTCGATAGGCACACGAGAAAATTATTAGTTCTAATAGGTCCTACTTATATTTAATTAATAAATTATAGTATCGTTTACTAGTAGTTTAACCGCGAGTACACCTCCGTAGTGTTTAAAAATAATGAAACTTTCATCGAGATAAACCTTCAGTTGCTGTACCTCTGAAGTATATTGGAATAATTGACGTCCATAATGAGAAGAGGTTAAAAGAGGACATATCAGGACAATTGGTCCCCCTTGAATGGGTCACTGTAGCTTAAGGCTGTAGTAGAACGTTCGAGAAGATATATCATAATATTACATAATAATCATTATTCACGTTTTTAAAACCAATTTTTTTTTTTTTAATTTTTAAGAATTATTATTTAATCAATTAAAGTACGAAAGATTAGTATACACAAAATGTATGGTCTCAATACAAATTTAATACGAGTAAATTAAAAACAATCGAGCAAATATAAATAACGCAACACTAGACAATAGAAATCGATGAAAACAAGTTACCTAATACCTACAATTAACGACGTAATACCAATAAGAGAAATTATAAAATTATATTCTTGGTTCAAATATCCCATAGTTTTCCTGTAGAAGTTTAAATACCAGGAAGCCCGATTTGGAAAAGAACTGTGGGGTACATGATGATGGCTATAGCTGTTGGATGAAAAATACCTTAGAATCGCGTCAAAACTCATCTTAGTAGCTCTCAGCTTTCTAAATCCTAATAATGTAACGGCTTAGTTTAGTCATCTACCCCGAGATAGAACAGGAACACCTAGAGCGGAACGTTCGATTATTCGAATAAGATACGTATAGGGTGACTTTTAAAAAGTGACGAGTACTGTAGTTTAGAAACATTCGAAATGCACGGAATTCATTATTTACGAAATCGTCAAAATTAAAAAAAAAAATCCAAGAGAAAGTTTGTCTAGACGACCTAGTAGAAACTAACCATATTGTTCAAAAACCATATTAAACATACCTAATATTATCATCTTTACAAATTGGTTGCTTAAACGGACGCATTGTTAAACACGATATAATTTATCACAATCTATACTTGCGAAACTCACGGTTTTAGATGATGATAATGACCATTACACGTGACATTGACACGCATTTACTCGAAGATAATAATAGACAATATTATTATTGTATTGTATACATTTTATAAATTGCGCGTTTTGAATGTACACGTTTTTCTGCGCAACACAAATCGGTTTCGATTGATCGATATTTAAATATTATTATGTCGAAAAAAAAAAAAATCATGTTCAATAATTACTCCGCGAATCGATTAAAAACCGACTTCAATCCGAATATTATACGATAGGCCAGTATCAGTTTCGCCGCGTCGGCAAAGTCACATTTTCTATGGATGCATTTATAGCAATAACGACGACGTCGCCATCAACTAGTGTTTATTTATGTATACATTTGTAGTAAGCAATGTGCGTCATATTTTGATAACAATGAATTATTTCGGAGGGTTCATTGGCTAATACTATAGTAAATAATAATGTAATATAGTGAGTCAGTCAATGTCTCGCGTGTAACGTTCAATGGGTTTTTCGCCGTGTGGGTGTCGTGTGCAACGATAATGATTATAATAATATTTTCCGTGATATAACATGTTATTATTATTATTATATTATTGTTATTCGATATTTTGTATTGTATTGGTATTGTTATCATAGATGCACTTTGTGGACGAGGAAATGTTTCACACTGCACCGACGACAATATTATTAATTCAATTATTAGATACCAATAGTCATATAGTGATTTTTTTTTTTTTTTATATATCTGTAAAAAACTCTTCATCCAGAAATCTCGCTCCGGAGTATCAAGTGTAGCACTTGGTTTTTCTCCTTGGTACAAAAGAGAGGTAATTTTTTGATTCTCCAAGCACTTTTCATAATAGGAAAATTTACGAAATTTATTATTTTCGATTTTATTTTTTGTCGTGATTCGGGTTGAAAATGTTTGTAGAGACATGCAATTTGGACAGAAAACTTATATTTGCCTATTCTAGATATAATTTTCAAAACGTAGCCATTTTTGAGTTATTTATAGACATTTTAATTTTGCGAGATTTGAGGTAAATTTTATTAGCAAATTTTAGCAAACAGAAATGCTTGAAAATTTAATTGGAAGTTCATTGTAAATCGTAGTTCGTAGAAAAAAAAAATTGAGTGTAATATAAATTTTTTTTATGGGTATTTCAATATCAAATTTTGACGAAAATCGTAAATATTACAGCCTTTCAAAATATGTATAACCGAAAAAAAATCGTTTTCCGTTAGCATTAATTAACCGTTGCGTACAAATATACACTAAATTCTCCTCTATATCCTACCTTCTCACCTTCTCATCTATAACAGTGGCGTAGCCATCTTCCGAAGTAAATCAGTTTTTTTTATCATGAATTTAGTAAAAATCGTTGTCTACGTTATTATCTATAAAGATTTTAAGTGAATTTAATCTCGGTTTTCATCTAATTTACTCTGATTCACGATATTTCCAATATTACTCCCTTCTTCCGTCCATCGACCATCGTATAAGCACTTACAAATTAGCATTGATTTTATAACAGATTTTCATTTTGAAATAAACGATTATATCTAAATAATATTTTTTTTTTCTTACAATTAAGGAATACAATTTTCTAAACATTTCGATTTATGCATAACGGTTTTCTTTTCGTCTTCAATCGTTTGATTAGTTTGCTGCAGTTCACCATGCTTTCCTTTCATTATTATTTGAACTCCTTGTAATTATTCAATTATTCGTAATTAGCCTGGTTTGTTTTATTTTCATTTTCTATTCTTAGTCTTCCGATGTGACTTTCTATGACGCATTTTGTCAAGTTATTGTTACGAAATAGATGTTTTATCATTTAGTCTCTTTTGACTTTTTATATTATGCCAATGTACTAGTTTTGCTTTATTCTGTTCAATACTCTTTCATAACAGCTTATAAGAGTATAATCCCTTTATAATGCCTTCATTGAATTTATGACGAGTAATCAGTTATATTATAACAATTTACAGTTTTATTAAGATTGGACAAGTTATGCATATAATATCAACATTAGTACCTACCTAATCTATTTTCGAATAGGAGCATATCAAAATATGGGTAGCTGATTGAAACTCGTCTTCCCATATCGCCCACAACTCCTATTTTGCCGACAAATAAACCGGCTTTATAAATATTGAAATATTCCGATTTCGACGACACATAATTCGGTTGTATTACTATTTTGAATTGAAATATTATTATCACAACGAAATTATTATTACTAAAGAAATTCCAGCGCCGCAATCGCGACATGAACGTAAGTAAATATATAAATTTAGTATTACCGAAAATACAAAACCTATTGACAGTAATAATAGGTAAACAATGATTAGATAGATTTTCAAAATAATTTTTGTTATTATTTTCATAATTTAAGTTTATTACAGTTTTGCAATTTAGTACAGTGACAATTTAAAAAAACTAGTGTAATCCCTGCAAAAACGACAGCGAAAACGAATTGTTTTAAAATGAGCTATAATGGGTTGGAGTCACGGGTAAGTATACTTCAAGCTACGTACGTTATAGGTAAGTGTTAACAAAATAAAATGTTGTCGGCAAAATGGGAGTCTGCGAAATGGAAATCGGCGACGTGTGAATGAATCAATTGGAAATCACTGTCATAGTTGATAAACAGAGTAACACGCAACTGTTTCCCCTGCGGATTATCACTTCCCTTAAAATGTATAATATGACTATAATATGAGTAATCACATAAGCGAACTGAAAATTAGATATATAATCGTATACTATAGAAGCACGGTCAAATTATGAAAATATTGATTTTATATCTGCCAGTTACGACATAAAATGCTAGAACAAAAATATACCAACTTTACTGAAAGTCTGCGTAACTATATAGAATAATCGCTGGTTCGTGATGGATTAATTATTGTGTACCAGTAAAATAATTAATATTGTAGCGTATTATGAGCAATGAGTAATTTTTCGAGGTATACATATATATAGTACAATACTATAGTAGAGTATACTTGGCACTATCTCAATAGGAAACCGTTTTTGTTGTATAATAATATTCGGCTGTACTACGTATATACAGGAGATCAACGGCCCCCGTAACATTTTTATAATAACAATAAGTCGAATGTTGTTGTTGTTTTTTATTTGTTTACTACGCCTTAATTTTAACATGGAAACAATGGCGTGGTGATGGTGCGGTTCGGGGCCACGTGGCTGAAGATATTTCTGAGTGGTGGTGGACCCCAACTTCCAGGTGAATAAATCAATCAATTGCGATATAAAATAATTTTTAACGACGTAGTAAAATTAATTTATTACCATATAGCAGAACGTACAATGCTTAATAAAACTGTTTCTGTATTCCATTGCGATAATACGATTATAAACAGGTACAATAAAATACAGTTATTCTTCAGATTTAACTATAGTATTTTATAAGTAAGCTGAGTAATTTATTTGCGAAAATTTTTTTTGCAAATCTATTTACGTGAAAATTATTAGAATTTTTAAATCAAAATAGTTATAATATTAGTCGTGTTTTTTCCCTTAAAAGCCACAATGACCAATAAATCAACAAAAATAAACAATATATGTGTCATTTTGTAATCAGCATTTATATTTTTTAGAAAAACTGTTGAAAATTTCAAAAAATGTTGCATATTTTTAGAAGTAGGTACGGTATGAACAATTTAGAGCATTTTCACTAATCGATAAGTTGTTTTTCTTGAAAAAATAAAACATCTTAGTAAAACTAATAGCGTCTTCGTTACACTCAAAATCCAAAACGATCTTTTAATATGAGTCAGAATACCTAATAATATTTGTTACTATATTATACATTTTCCTTTCTGCTATTTACAGATACAAAGCAAAAAAAAAATAAAAATAAATAGAAAAAAGCACATATCATAGTAAACTCAATCAACTATTCGGTTCACTCAGAATCTAAAATCAAAATCGATAATAATTAAATCGTTATTGCCTTATACTTACTCGTTTTTCCAATATTTTTAACGGGAAAGTATTTTAAGGGGTTATACAAATGGAAAATCTTTATAGTGTTTTTTGATAGGTAGTATGCATTTTTTTCGTCATTTTAAAATAGGTTAGTAGGTGTGTACTTACACAGATTTTATGGTCGGTAATATTATGATTTATGCTGTGAATATAGTTTAGTAGGTACAATATTTTTTGCATATGTTGGTTACACTGCTGGCTGACTGTGGTGATATCTTGTTCCATACACTACTACAAAGTGATATGAACTTAAGGTTTTTCTCATCAAATACAACTGAGCAACTACCCTAAATCCTAAAGCCCAGAATCCGAAGACAGATGGTAGAATACTAAAATTCAATCACAATAAGTAATTAATAAAAACGGGTCGTAAGCCCGTAATTTACTTTTCTATGGGTGAGGTTATGTCAGAATATTGATAATATCTTAAATTTTTTACAGAAACAATTGTAGTTTTTGTAAGTAGTTTTTATTCTCACATAGTCATATCTTCTTGATTTTATATGCAATGGCGAAAGAAAAATATAGATTTCTGAACACTTGCAATAGGCATATGCATTGGCTTGACTACTTGTGAGTATCTATTAGTTCATTTGTATACATTAGTGTTATTTGCCTGTATTGGCCAATTGTTTTATTATTTTAAATTTTGTAACCTTAAGAAATTTGGAAAACGAGCATAGACCAATCAATGTGCGAATTCAATGCAAACATAATGGGTTGAAACAGACACTGTACTTGCACATCAACTCTAAATTGAAGCTATTGAAAAAGTGTAAACAAAAAAATCAAGTAATTTTACTGCACCTACCTACTGTTGTTACTAATTTTTGAAATGAACTGATATTTTATTATTATTCAGTTTATTTAATTGTATTTAATTGTACACCTAATTTATGATTTTCACTTAAATTTCTATGAAAAACAATTTTTATTGGATTATATGTCAACATTGTTAAGAGAACATAAGTGAATTTTTTGTGTATTATTCTTTTGTTTTGTTTTAATTAAACATATAGGTAGCTATAATATTTTAGTTTCTAAGCAGATATTTTGATTAATGACATTTATTATACAATATTTAAACATTAATAATTAATTATAAAATAATTGTTTAAATAAATTTTGACCATAAATCAACAATATAATGTGGTTTATAATCCTGTGTTGCTTATTGAAAAATAGTCGTTGCAACAAATAGCCTTTCATTCAACCAGCAATATATTCTTTATATTTTTTTTCAACCATTTGTGATCATCCTTTTTTACTTTAAATGTCTTTTTGACCCAGTCATTTTTTAATTTTATTGATAAAAGTTAACTGATTTTAAAAGAAAAATGTATTTGAACTAAAGTTAGCTATAATATGTTTTTTATATATTTAAATAATTGACTAAAAAGCTGAAATCTTTAGAAAATTTAAATAGTATTTAGCAAATTTGTATTTTAATTAACTATATAATTATATTCTATAAAAGAAGTTAACTAAGTTTTAATCTGGCAATTTTATTGCTTATAAATATAGTAATATAGTATTTATAATCAACCCTAATATCTATTATAAATTGGGCACTAAAATATACACATTATATGATACCTATTATTTATTTTATATTATTTATTAAGTATTTTGATTTAAAACTGAGTAGGAATGATTACAACAAATTTACTAATAGTGATTTATTTATTGTTTAGAAAAATTTTTGAGTGATATTTAACATTGTGGCAGACACTGGTTCAAGTACAAATAATATTGATTGTTGGAAGAAACTTAAGATAAACAAAGAAATCTTTGTATTAGTGTAGAGTTATGTTTGGCTACAACAACATTGGTAAGTAGTAATACATTTCTAAAACATAGTATAGTTTATCATGCTAATTTTAAATTATATTTTTAGAATTCTGGGTTGATTGTAAATTCAGCATAGGAATATCTTGTAAAGAGTTGTTTGTTTTACTCCAAAATTGTGCAAGTGAAATGTTAGCAGAGTACTGGTTTATAAGAACAGACTATAGTATAATGGTACTATGATTAAATTTAGCAGGGTATATTATATATTTTAGTGTGCAATTTTATTTTTGATAAATCTTTTATATCATAATTTGTAATAATAGAACTATCTATCTTCTATATAAATAAAACAAAGTTGGATTAGTTACACAATTTATAACTCAAGAACAGCTAGACCGATTTTGATGATCTCTGATTTGTTGGATTCGTCTTCGCCCCAAATAGCAGAATAATTATTAAAATATAAGAAAGATTCACATAAAAAAAAAAAAAATGGGGATTTTTAAGTATATTTAATATGAATATCTAATTGCCTATTTATTTATTTTTGATTATTTCAGGGTTACCTTGGTATTTCAGAAAAGAAAACTATTAAAATTATTATTGATAATATTATTTATACTATTAAAATTTCACAATAGAACACATTTAGTCCGCCGAAGTTGGATTACTCACTTTCCATCTATTTGTTTTCATTCAATTCTGACATGGCCAAAACCAAGAATGAATACCTATGGATAAGATAATAATAATAAAAATTGGCACCAGCAACGCCTGGTGCAGAATAGCTAGTTAATTATAATTAACAAAACTACAATATGTATAAAATGATTTAAGAATCAATAAAATTCATGTAGATAGATGTTAAATGCTTTGTAACCAAATTTTATCAGTATTAATAATATTATTAACCTTCAGCAAGTAAACATTTTTTATCTTTTCTATACAATTGGAAATAGTAATTCATACCTTATAGATTACCTTTTTGGTGTACATTTTTGGTATACATTATTTTTAATTTATAACATTTGTTTTTATTTATAGGTCAACAGGCTGTAATTTGGATATTTAAAATAGACTGTGCAAATTCAGAGCACAAAAAGAGTCAAAAACTATATACTATGATGATTGAATTTTAGAAATCACATTTCACATTATTCATATGTGTATACATTGATAAATTAAAACAATTTAAATTACATAAAGATGCATGGACACGAAGGGGCAATAACAGTATTGATAAGAAGTACATTATTATAAATAATATAGTACACTGTACAATGGTTTCTAAACTGTGCCCAAAGGGCACCCATTCCAGGGACAGCATAATTCTTATAAAAAAAAAAATTACAATTTATTATTATTTGTTTTCATTGATTTCAATTTGCTACTTAGATTACATGAGATAAATTTTTACTATTATGGCAATTTTTCTGCCTTGTAATATTTTATTGGATTATTTCAATTGGTTATCAATGGGAACTATAGTGGTCATTTTTTACTTGTGTTCATATAGCTGGGCACTTTGACTAAATTTGATCCTTAAAAAGAGCACCACCCTTTAAAAAGTTTGAGAACCATTGATATAATGATCAACTGTAAATTGTAGATTAAGTTGAATATTAATTATATTTTTCAGATATCTGGATGGATTTTATTTATTTTGGATATGCACACAGCAAGGTGATACTGAGGTTTGTTTATGAATATTATTCTCAAGAAAAAAAAAACCATTTTACTGCTTAAAATCAGCTGAACTAAATACATGGAATTTATATAATTCTCATATGTGTAAAATATACCTACACGCAGCCACTATACATTCCGTTTTGATTTTTTATACTTATAATCAACTTCATTAAATTATTACCTTTTTTGGAGATAACATTAGTTATATAAACTTTAAAATATAAATACTTACATATATATATATATCATGATTTGGAATGCATATGGTGACTTATCAGGATCATATTTTGATTAATACAAATTCCATAAATTTAGTTCAGTGTTAAGACAATGTTTCTTGTTGCTGCAATCACAACTTATTTTATTACATTTTCATTAAACTCATCATGCAAACTATTATTTTAAATAGTTGGTCTGTAATCATTTCTCTTCCAAAATTTTGCACTGGAGTCACTTATGATAATTTTTAATTACCCGAGGGTAATCTGTCACATACTTTTCACTAAATCTTTGGTTTTATCCATGAAACCTAGTAATTTACTATTACAATAATATTAAACTATCTGCATTTAAACTCTACATAGTATATTCTGTTGATCGTTAATATTTGGTTCAAAATTAAATTTTTTATATCTACGTATTTAAAAAAGTTGAAAAGTTAATGTTTATTTTATAAACATAAGTTCTATATTTTTTCGTTTTTATACCTACCTAACCAATACTTTATGTAAGTTATATGAAATTATTAATATTATAATTTCATATGTAGCTAAAGGATTCTATTTTGTTTGCAGGATGACTATATTATGCCTTCAACTAACAATACACATATCCAGATGAAGAATTATAATATTTTGAAAATATTATATTTAAAAGTTCCGAAAATATGTATTATAGGAATTCTGTTCCAATACTCTACATAATATATAAGTACAAATTACAACACCAAAATGCATTTATTTCTCAACTATAAAAACTTCATTCATGCAAATGTATTCAATCATACATTATTTTATAATAACGTCTAGTTTTAATGACATATATTAATTTTAATAACAATAGAGAGTATTATCAAATACATTTAGATATAATATAACAAATTAAAACAGTAATATTAAATGTAAGAGATTTATAATGAAATATTATACGTATTTATAAAATAATATAATATAAATATATTTACATTTGCGTTTTAAAAATGTAAATTTCTATATTCTAAATGGTATTAAGTAAAATATGTTTTAAAATTAATATCCAAATTTACAAATTAATATTTTTTATACCTTTTATCTACTTTTATTGCTGATTTTTTTTGATACAATATGTGGTTAAGTGTTAAAAATTGAATAAAAACTTAATAGGTACCTTGTAATATTATGTAATAGAAATGTCTTTAATTCTAAATATTTAGTAAAATTAATTGTATTTGCAATTTGTAAGTAAATTTATTTTACAAAAATCCTGTCATATTTAATAACGAGGGTTCTACAGTATTATCTATATGCCAATAACTATGTAAATATATATATATATATATATTTTATAAGGTTTTGTGATAGGGCACACAAATATAGAGAAAATTAAATTTTTATTCTCAACCCTAGATCCCTGAAAAATGTTTTTTTTTAAATTTTAAAAATAGCCAATTTGTAAGATATATTATTCTACAAATTTGAATATATCATACATTCATATTTCATCAATAGTTTTTAGTAATGACCATTTTAATTTCAACATTTCTTATCTTATATTGAGGTTGATTTGCTATCAACGAACATGATAGTATTGTTTTTCACACCTTAATTTAGATATTAAATGTATAAATGGATATGAATATATGATATCATATGATACATTAACAGAAAAATAATTGAAAATTGTAAAAAGTGAAAAAATAAAGTTATTTTTTTTTCAGTAATAAAAATTTAATTTTTCTTTACATTTGTGTACCCTTGACAAAACCCAATTATAAAAAAAAAAATGAATATTAACAGAGTAATATGCATATGGTCATATGGATAATACTGCAGGACATCCCATATAACTTCTTTATGAAATTGTGTATGTAAATGAATTGTAAAATTTTACTAGTAGAAAAATTCAACAAGATTAACTATGTGTTTATTTTAACTCTGTAGGTTTCTAAATTTAAAATATTGATTTAATATTGTTACTTTATTTATTAGCAATATAGTATGAACATCATTTAAAATTTGTATTTTGTTAAACATTGATTAATTTGATTTATCCATATAATCGAATAAAATAAGTACCTAACTAGATAATACTTTATTTCAGAGCTTAAAACCAATTTTGTAATAAATATTAAATACCGGTTAGAACTGTTAAAACTTGATAACAATATAAAATCATAAAAATTCAAAATTGATTTCCAAAACCAGTTTCCAAGATTGAAACCGAAATTGATAAAAAAAAAATAAAAATTTTTTTTTTTCGGTTTCAAGTCCAGCTTTATTTACTATCAAAAATCAATTGCAGTATTTTATTGGATATAAGTAAGAACAGTTAATATTTAATAATGTAATTTCAAACAATAAACTAAAATTAAAATCAATATAAAACCATACTCAATATTAATAACAACTAAGATTCATATTTTACCTAATAATATCTATTTTAATAATTTACATTAGAGTAACCAACATACATATTGTACTTATAGACGGAGTAGATTTCTTTTAGCACTTACATAACTAATATTCAGGTTGAATCACTAATTGCTTCCATAAGTAACTAAAAACGTATTATTATAATCACATCCACTTACCTCAGTCCATAATCCAAATCTGAAACAAAATAAAAATAATTTTATAAATGACTAATTTTAAATGTAGGTATTCTAGTTTTTACTCTATTACTCTAGTTAAGTAGTTAAGTTATAAAGTTAATTTTTGATTTTATTTTTTTAAATGTACGTTACCCCGTAATAATGTAAAAAAAAAGTTCTTTGTTTGAAAGTTATATTGCAGAAAACCTGGTCTAGCGTACCAAGGTTTAGGTTTATACTTGAGGTACTAAATTTCTTACATCAGTATTAGTTTTAAACCCACATATTTTAAGTCTATATCACTGAGTGAATAATGCAATGCAGCAACAATCAAGCTGGCAAGTATAGTGAATGGTCTCCACACTCATACCCGTAAAACTTTAAAAGTAAATAATATGATAGGTATGTAAATTTTGATTTTACCGATGGATTAAGTGTTAAAAATTACACATATGGTAAAATATATTTTTTAAAATTTTATATAGTTACCATTTTTATTGAAAAAAAAAAAAATAAATACATGCTATGGAAAACCCCAACTTAGGTACCTATGGAAGTATTTCCATCGCGACTACTATATTGTAGTTTGGACTTTTTTTAAATTCTTAATGTACACGTAAATACTTGAAAATAGAAAAAAAAAAATAAAGGTTTCAAATTAGATTGGTTCCCGGTTAATAAGTAGGTACTCACCGTGGTCGGCGACGTTCCAATTACGGTCCGGTACAGCCGCTGCCGCCATGATTGCCGAACGATTATCGCGACGGCTCTCGCACTGCAATCGCAAACGAAAAGAAAAGAAGCGAACGGTAATAATTAGAAAAAAAAAAAAAAACGCGGAAATACGTAGGCGTTATTACTATTTTGTCACGCGCGACCGCGAAAACCCGACGGCGGCTTGGCGAATCGCAATCGCGTACCCGATAAAAATGAATCGAGGAAAGCCCGAAAGCGTAGACCAACCGATTAACGGCGGAACGTCACCGTTAACTTGTGGTAGAGGAAACGATGGGTACAGGGCCCGTCGACGGTCGAGGGCCAATCGCGCGCGGTTCATCCGCGGAACAGAGTAAACACACCGGTAATGTATGGTATGAACCGCGGCCGGTTCCGCGGTTCATGGGTGGCTTCACGCAAAAACAAAAATCGTATCGCGGGCGACCGTAAGAAATACGTTTTTTTCCATGCAGGCACGTTTGCATACGTTTTTCCGTAGTTGACATCGCGGTCTACTCGTTCGTTACTCTTTAGAGGCGGCGTGTTTTGGCGATGCGGTCCGCGGTAAACCGTTTGCTGTTATTTGCCACTTTCCTCACGGCGCCGGAACCCCGCGGGATCATTCGAAAAACGACTCCATAATAGTGTTCACACGAGGCTACTGCAGGATTCACAATCGGCTATTAACATCAAGACTCGGTTGGGATTTTCCTACCAGCTAGTTTAAAAAAAAAAAAAAACTCGAAAAATAAGCGAAATAATAGGAATACTAAAAAATATTTAATAATATGCTCGAATTGAATCAGGATTCGCCATAATTACACTTATCATAATATTTCAGGCGGCGCATTCATTCATTCATTTATTTTATTTTTATGTATACATTTTTTATTTATATATTCATTTACGAGTATTAACCATTTTAATAATTTTGGTTTTACTTTATTATTTTATTAAATTAAATTTGTCAATGTTTCACAATTGTATTCTTTTAACTTGATGACTACGCGGCAACGCACTCCGATGTATCTAAATCGACTAGGTATCTAAATTCTATGTCGATAAATCAAATTGCATTATTACTTACCTACTACGGGCACATTATTGTTAAATACACAGTATAATATACACCACTTTGTTCGACAGATTTTTCTAGCGCTGTTAATAATAAATTTTTTCGATTTTTTTTATAATCGATTTGGAGAAAAATTAAATTTTTATTTTCATCCCCTAAAAACGAAAAACGAAGTAACTTTTTATTTGTTCACTTTAGACAATTTTCAAAATAGCCATTTTGTAAAAAATATTATTCAAACAATTTTGATGTGTCACACATTCATATCCGATTAATAATTTCTTAGTTACGGCCGTTTTAATCAAGCGTTGAAAACAATTGATACTCAATAAAATAACACGTTATGCGATAAGGAATTACAATCAGCACTGTAATTCTAAACTTCTATTGAATATCAATTGTTTTCACGCCTATTTTCTAGAAATTTAAACGACCCTGATTAAAAAAACTATTAATCGGATATGAATGTATATCACATTCAAATTTTTAGAATAATATTTTTAACAAAATGGTCAATTTGAAAATATAGGTCGCCGTTTGAAAATCAAAAGTAGTTAATGGTTTTACCCCCAAAAAATAAGGGCGACTAAAAAAAAATACACATAAATATAAAATTGTAGAACAGCTTGTTTCCATAATATTCAAAAAATCAAATTCCGGAAAAAGTTAATACTTTCCGAGATACGAGTGTCTTACGACAGATCGATCACTGTGTATAAATACGATTTTCTTACGATTAAATAAATAATTTGTCTCGCGATGTTATTAATAATTTCAATGTTTGTAAATTATTAACGTTTAAAGATTTGTGCTTTGTTTGGCGAGTGAATGATTTGCGGACCGGAACGGTTGGAATTATTACCGAAAACAGAATATGTATTGCTGCGGTAAAACCGTCGGCCGGTCGTGTGTCGCCGTTGCGTCATCGCTGCGCGTCGGCCGAACGAGTTCTCCGAATTCGACCGCGGTCGCGATGTCGCGGGCCCGCACTCCAAAGACTACGCAAGTACGCGGTTACAGCGCACAGCCGCGCCGCAACACGCTCGGACAGTCGCGACAAACCGGACCAGCTCGGGAACGCACAGGCGGCCGCCGTGACGGATCGTATCGATGGACGCGAACGCACCGGGAATGTGTTTGGCCAGACTGGACGGCCTCAGCCGATCCGGACGCGACTTGTGCGGTTCTATCGCCGGGTACCACTGGCTCGGTTCTCGTCCGTCCTCGTCCGTTTCGCCGAGGTGTCGCGCGAAAGTTCGCGGCCGCGCGTGAATCTCGCGTGCGTTTCGCGGTTGTTAATATTGTTCGTCCGAATCCGTTTTACGCCCCGTCCGACCGTAACGCGTCACAGCGCGTGCAGGCTGACCCGTTCAAGAACGGCGACGGCCGCCGAACGCCGTCTCGACAACGTCCGCGGCATCGGTGAGTACCCGTACCTACAATAGTTCGCATTTCCAGTTACTGCAGTTGACGCGGCCGTTGAAAAAGCGAAATCGCGCGCCGCGGTTTTATACGTTTGTACGCGGCGCAGCATAACGTTGCGATAGTCGCCCGAGACGGATAATTAATTTCGTGTAAACACAAATAGTTTCCGAGTGTTCGTCGGGCCGCTGCGCTACGGTACACCACCACGGCGTATAGTAACGGCCGCGCAACTTGCTCGTTTGTTCCGACGCGTTTCACCGCCGCAACAATTATTGCACACCGGCTGTTGCTGTTAGCGGGACACACGCGGTGGCGTGTTTAGGATTTTCCGAAGGGGGCGGATGACAAGAATTTTACCCTACAGCCTTATTATCGTATTGTAAAATTCTCCGGTCACGGTGTTTGTTATTGAACCCCTCCGAAACGGCTTGACCGATTTGCGTGACATTTTTCCGTGTACATATGGTAGGTCGTAGAGTATTTCTCGCCCTCCTACTCTCGTCCACTGTTTTTTAATCGCGATTTTAGTATTTTCGTTTATATATATGTACATACACGAGCGTTTTGAGAATTTCATTATTTTCTCCAAGGATATTGCAACGGGTATCTTCGTGAGACACCTTGTATAGTTGGCTAAATAATTTCTTACGAATTAACCGCTTTCGACGTTTCACCAGGTTGGTGGATCCACGTACATAATGTACAAATACGCGAACAATTTGTCTGTGAAGTACATAACTGTGCAGTAAAATTATTTATACTTAGCTGAAGTGTAATGATACAAATACAATGATAATTATTTTATTAGTAATAATTTGTCAATGCTGAATAGTTTATACTATTATTTTGTATTTGTCAAGTCCAATGGGGGGGGGAGGGGTTAAGGTCTCCTTATGCCTTCCCTTGAGCATGTCACTGGGTGACTTCTGGTAGAACATTAGTTTGTCTAGTAAGTGCATTGAATAGGTAAATTTTTAAAATTCGTGGTTGGTTTTAGAAAAGGGTTTACATCGTAGAAAAAAAAAAAAAAAAAATAAAAATCTTTGTAAAATTTTCGCTCCACTCAGAATCTAAAAACCGTAGAGGGATGTGCACGTATAAGCATCCAACGTGAATTCACTCTACGATGTGAGCTTTAAGAGTGAGCATATAGTATACATATTTACGCTATTACGGTTTCTGAAATTTTCTATTTGGTTTTTTTTTTTTTGGTTATCCAATTATTTATTTGAAATTTTCGAAATTTTTTTGTTCTATGTGGATACAAATTATGTAATTTATTTTTATAAATGTTTTGCGTTTAAATTAATGTGAACATTTGTTTAAAATGTCGAACAATTGTAATTTATTTTGTATACTTACAAATAATTAATATAGTTTTCAATTTAAATTTATCAAAACATGTAACATTATCGAACTCTGCCCAGAATAGTTTTTCGATTTCAATGGTATATAAGTTGCTATAAGTTCGCACAAAAAATTACCCTATATCCTGTAATTTCTAAACTTTTCACTTACAATAGTATAGCATACACGCGCAAATTGTAGCCCAACATTTTTTTCGGTAAAGTGATCTTAAAAACGCATAATATAATATAATATTGATTATGAATACTTTTTAATAATACTATTATACACTATGTATATAACTTGATAAGACTTGATTCGGGGGGCAGAACGGCTGAGGTTTGAGGGGGCTAAGTATTTCCAGGTAAATAATTTTCATTTTCACTATAATTTTTATAAATGACATAATGAAAAACGACCCGATAGGAAAATCAAGAATATTAAAAATGATATAGTTGTTATAATTGTAATAAATAAAAGTTAAATGTCATTCATACAAATCGTGAAATTTAACTTTCAAGTGGAATTTTTTTCTGTTTGAAGCGGCTTTCTTTGTGCGCTGTTTATGTCAATCGTTTAAACCGTATTTTGACTAATTTAGTTGTTTTAAATATACGACAATAAACGCATTGAGTTCGATCTAAAGTAAAATGTAGGTAGTCAAAAGTGTTTAGTTTTCAACATTTATTAAACGGCGATTTCGATTGAGAATCGTATTTCATAGTACATACATAATGATATAATATGAATAATGATAAGAATAATAATTATGGCGATGGTAATGTCGCTGGACAATTATTGTTATCTAACGGAAATGTACTTTACGACGCATTATTTCGGTCGCTCTAACGGTTTTTGGTCGATGAAATATCGGTGTCCGGGTGACCGCCGTCGATCGCGGCGGCGTCCCGGCGGCCACAATCGCTCTCCACGTCGCGGCCGTCGTCCGGTTCGCGGAACGTGTCGGAGCACCCGTAACACTCGCCCTGCACGTCCTCCCAACACTGTCGACAGTGTACGTAAACGCACCCGGCGGTGTCGCAGCCGTACTGTTTGCCCGCCGCCGTTTCCGGTTCGCCGCAAATGAGACACTTGCGACGGCTGCACGGGAACCGCACCAGCCAGCCGAACACCCGCGGACACCTGAGCCTGAGCACCAGGTACACGTTCAAGTCCTCCTGCAACAGCGGCATACGGGACGCGGGCTCGTCGGTGAAGTTATACGATAACGAATGCAGCGGCGAAATCGCGGGTGGTTTGAATAGGTTACGCGTTCTTCAAAGACCGACTCGGCGGCTCCGAAATTATATTTATATTTATATATATGTGTGTGTGTGTATATACGGGCTAAAGTTATTTTTACAAGATCAAACAACTGTTGTAACATTTCAAACAGTAAGTCTAATTATAAATATTAATTTTATCAAAATTATTATTAATATAACAATTTTGTTAATTTTAAAGCCTTAAATCTGAACATATTGCGGGGGAGCACAAACAAATCTTGATTTGGTGGAAATCTTATTAACCAAAACAAAAGCTCTTGAAAAAAATGTATTATTTTCACTTTTGGTATAATAACTTGAAACAACGAATAAATTTAAATTCCTATTGTTTCTATTAGGTATACAGAAACCAATTTCAGTCAATAGCCCAAAACAGCCAATGAGGTTCTTTAAAATATCGTATAACATAACATCTATTAATTTACATATTGCACTCAGTGAATCTAGGCTCAAGAAGTTTTCAACTCATAGGACCCATTATCCGCCCAAAACAAGTGTTCCCTCCCAAGTCGATTTCATAAGTACAAAATGCTAACAAATACATTTAGCAAAAAAAAAATAATAATCTAGATTCAATAAATGATTTTTAAACAAAAAAATTGGACATCCCGCTCTTTAGAAATTTACCTAATACCTAGCGTTAATACATTTTGATTTATTATAGGCAATTTGAGTTACAAGGTATGAAATTCTATTAAATAAAAGGAACTAAATTAAGTATTAAATATTCGAATAGGTCACAAACTTCTTTATAGTTGCACTACAATGATCAGGTTAAAACGATAAACTCGACATTAAACAATAACATAATTAAAATTTGAAATTCTGAAATCTTGGAAAACTTTAACGATCATTTTATCAATTAAATTTCCTTCCAAGGAAGTTATTTTACTTGGCAACAACGTTATATATAATAGAGTAATTTTTGAAAAAATAAGAAAACTGATCAAATAAGTCATGGTTCAACAGAAAATCAGTTTTTGTGTCCTATATAATTAAAAATTGTAGAGAACCCTTTTTTGAAAATTTCAATTCAAATGTATACTTATGAATATTATACAAGTACAAAACACCAGTTGAAAGTATAAATTTACCGTGGCACACTGAATTAAGTAATAATATCGTGGTGTGAACATTATTTTTGGTTACCACTGAATTTATACGTAACTATCAAAATAAATTATTACCCTCATGATAACACTACAACTACTCACTTGTTCATTTCTTATCTAGGATCGGTGGCGTTACTTTTGAGATTTGGTTCATTATATTTCTATTACTGTTTAATATGTCTTCTGCAGCACGTCACTCGATAGGCAGGTTAAACTAGGTTTACATTGTGACGTGCACGTTCAATTCTGCGTTATGATTAGTTAATGTTGATTAGATTAGTTTAGTAACCTATTGATTAACTTAAATGTTTCACCACTTTACTACCGGAGTTATCATGAAGTAGGACTCAATCCTACTTTTTATATTCACGGGAACTCGTAATAATCCCGATTATTGATAAAGTTCAATACGCACACGTCACATTAGAAACCTAGCATTAAATTAGGACGGTTAGGTTAGGATAGTTACTGACCTTCAATTTGTTTTCCCGGGCTAATTTCATCACCTTTTTCTTCATGTATCTAAAGAACGCGGTCCGTTTGCGAAGCGTTTCGTTGTACAAATACAGCACCCGACGTTTCTCGCGCTTCCGGAAGTAGATGGCACAGATCAGTCGCTTCACCCTGTTCGTGTATCCGGCAAACACGGTCATCACGAACACCAACAGGAACGTGCCGTATATCTTGTAAATGTAGTACGTGTCTAATTTATGCGGACTCGGTAGACACACTAAGACCCATTAAGTAATTTGTCTTAAATATTTATAATAAAATACTATCTAAGACACTACCTTGCGGTACTCCATATATTATCGAATTTGCATTACTTGTTATGTCGTTTATTTTCACTACTTGTTTTCTGTCATTTAGGTAGTTTTTAAACTAAAGAAGACTTTTGTTATTTATTCCAAATTTAAATAAGATCTTTGATATAATAAAGTGGTTTATTGTGTCAAATGCGTTTGCTAAATCTAAGAAAATTCCTGTTAATTTTTTTCCATTTATAGTTCCTCATATAAAAAATGTGTTACGTTATAAAGGGCAAATTCAGTACCCAGACCTGGTCTAAAAACATATTTATATTAAGATAACTATTTATTTGAATATCATACTAAGTATGATATTAATCTTGATTTTATTATTTTTTCAAATATTTTTGAAAAATTTATTAGCATAGAAATCGGCTTATAGTTACTCATATTTTTACGATCACCTCCTTTAAATAATGGTTTGATAATTGATAATTTAAATTTATCCGGAAATATACTATTGTTGATACTCAAATTATATATATATACAAGTGTATTTAAAATTAACTCAGAAATACATTTTAAAATGTTCATTGTTACTCATACATACCCAGTAGCCGTATCATCTCTAAAGTTATTTATAACTGTTTGTACTTCTAGAATCTTCATATTTTTTAAAAAATCGTATCAAAAGATTCGATGTTAAAATTATCAGATACTATATTAATGGTATTATTATTGATTCCGATACAATTTTTAGCCAAATTTTTGCCTACATTTATAAAATGATTATTGAACAAATTGGCTTCTAAGAGATCATCTTTTACATTTAAAGTTTTGTCTTTCGCTTATATTAGTTTTACTTTATCCACATTTATAGTTTTAGTACCTGATACCTCATAAACCATCTCTAGGTTAACTTATAGTTAGAAAACACAGATTTAAACTTATTCTTATAAAAATAATCTTCGCAAGTGTCAATAATTGTGTAAAGTTACTTTTATATTTTTTATAGAAGGCTGCAAGGCTGCTAGTTTAATGTTATTTGGATGTTTTTACATTTTAAAGAAATTAATTGCTTGCGACGAGCTGAGTATAGCAAGTATTTTGACATCTATTCTTTCAATCTTTTATCTTTTAAATTAATACATTTTATTGATGAAGATCTATCTAAGGCTGTTTCTATAATATTTTGAAATGTGGTAAGATTATCCTGAGAAAACCAAAAAATTGACCTTCCAAAAGTACCTCCTCGGTCCGATTTTCTTTCAGAAAAGGTGCTACACTTAAAAGTGGTGGAGCAAGATTCTGGTAGAAAATGTGTACACAGGCAAAAAATATATAATATAAACATCTTTGTACAACTATACATTTCTTCGCTTCACTCAGAATCCAAAATAAAATAAAGCTTAAACGATTCCATAATAAATAGAAAAAACAGAAATCAAATTCACTTAAAATCCTCCTAGATAATTGCTGGTTCATGATAAAAAAAAAAAAATACCCTATATATGTATATATTAGGTTAGGTAAACCTTGTCATATAGAGTCCAATGAATGTACCACAGATAAATAAAACAACCAAATAGCTGAATACCGTGATAATTTCCAGATATCTAAACAAACCAATAACTATTTCGACTCAGGTAACCATTAGTAAAAAAAATATTTCCTCGAAAGAAATGTATAGGTATTTCAGCATAATTTGTTAATATAAATACTTTTTAAAATAGTTAATTGAAGAAACGGCCCACCGGGAAAATTCTCGAATTCCCGGTGGTCCAACCCGCCCCTGCTAAAGGATAATAACTGTACGAATGAAAACAAGACATTTCCTATACACATAAAACAGCTGGTATCTAATCCTCGTAAAACACTATTATACTTAGTATTTCAAGCAGAATATCTCAGAAACAATTTGTTCAACTTTCGATTACAATACGTCAACAATTTTTTTTTTTTTAAAAAAATCTTCATTTGCATCAAAATATACGTTCTCATTTAAAAAACCAAAGTTTTCATCACCATAGGATAGTCCTTAAATGTTGTGAAAAATCTAAGTATACAAAAGTATCGTCGGTCACTGTATTTAAAAATTCCAAAAACAGCTGAATTTGAATTTATGCATAATTTAACTATACAAATAGGACAAGCACACTTAAAAAATCACCCTGTATATTATATCTTCATAGTTATAAAAAAGATTATGTAAATAATAATAGTTTTAAAAAATTATCTTAATCCCCCCATCTCTCATGACAAAATTATTTGACATGCACTGACGTAAAATTTTCGTCGAGAATTAAACACAAAAACATAATTATATAATTGATTTATACAAAATATTCGTAAATAACAAATAACTAGATTAAGTTACAATTATCTATTAAAATAACTTATTACCCAAGTTATTATCCACGAGTTATTTTTAAAATTCTTTTTTTTTAAATTTGTTAAGTAAAAATGTATTAAATAAATTGACCTACAACTTAAATGTTAACTTTTAATTACTGTCCAGCTTACACGATTTTAAAAATATACACTTAGCTGTACATTTTTTCGTACAATTACCCAATAGTCGATTGTAATTTCATCGTGGTCGGCACGCAATTTGGTCAAATCAATTGGTATATGACATGTAATTCGGAGACTCATTTTTGACATTTATTTTTTTTTTTTTTATTTGCATTTTGTGTGCAGTTATTTTTTTTAAAACACGTAGCATGCTCAGATTTGAATGAATTTCGTATAAATTATTTTAACAAGAGTTTTGAAAAAATGAAAACTCGAGAATATTCGAATTCACTATATATCTGTTTAAATGTACAACTATAGTCTCGTGTTACAACAATATGATATAATAGATTGTGGTAAATTTATTGTACAATCGGGAAATATGTTCAAAAAATATACATATTCACGCGAAATAGAAAAAAGTGCTCACTCCTTCACTGTGATTTTCTAGATAAAAACATTTTTTTTAAAAATGATTTACGGATAGTTACATTTTGCAGACAACCTTATCGGTTTGTTACGATATTCTCAAAATATTAAATTCATTAGTGAATAAGGATACAAATAAACCGTATTCTATATATTTGTTAAATAACTAGTTATTTGTTAGTTAATATTCGAAAAAACACCGATGAGTTTATATCAGAAATAATGTATTTTATAAATTTCATAATGGTTTTTTAATCTAAAAATTAGTTTTTAAAAGACTTATCGTTTATTTTTACATAAACGTGTTTTTTCCATTAGTATCCAATATTATATATATGCATTTTTAATATTAAACAGTTTTTTTTTGTTTTACAAATAGTAGTAATAAAAAAAGTTCTATAAAAATGTCTTTTTCTTAAATCAGTTTGAAAAAAAACAATTTTTATTCTTTAAATATTGACAACTTAAGATCCGGAAAGTGGGCGTTGAATGCTATTAATGGAAGTTTATTTAGTTTGCTATTTTCATAAAAAAAAAATCGACTAAATTGTTGCATTTATTTGTTGAACTATAATTATGTTATTATAGAAGGGAGTGTTTGAAGTTTAAACATCCCACAATGTTGTCTTTGATAGAAAAAAAAACACGTGTTCTCGATGCGTGTCTTAGAAATAACTGTAGATAAGTATTATACCTAGTGCAGTTGATGGGATTTAATTGTAATTATTATTTTTAACGGGCGAATAGCGTGGAAAACAAATTCCGTTTACCGAAAAAGTACTACGTGGTAAAAGTGTTTAATTTCGTATTTTGGAATTTACAGAGGTAATCAGATGGCTCGATTAATAATATAAGTACATTAGTATATGCAAGTAGTTAATACAAATTCGATTATCTATCCTTTTTCTATGTTACTTTTCTAAGGGAATACATCTGTAATAAAAAATACTTTTTTACGGAAATGGAGAAATTCATCAGGCTTGGGCTATTAGTTGTATCGATGATTTAGACTAAAAAGACGTGAAGAAAAACGTGGGGGACGTGCACTTACGGCACCTCTTTCTGGAGTTTCACCTGATTATTTACTTGGATTAATAATTTTCTACATAAATGTGAAATCAACTTATTATCTAGGCATGTTTTAAAAATAATTTTCTCGTTTATCACTTTTTCGTACACTCGTATGGAGGACGTAGGTACTAGAAACCAATTTTCTAAACAGATATTTTTTTAAAAATATCTGTTAGTACTTACTTTCGTTGCTAAGGTTAACGGTAACGTTCTTTTGGAAATTAAATCTGTCCAAGACACTCCTGAGAAGGTTGGCGATCATTCCGGTGCCTTTTACTTTGATTTGCAAATCATGATGACCCGTCTGAAAGTAATCGATCTTTGCGTGTCTCCTGATCACGTCCAATGCCTCGTAGAATATCATGTCCAACAATACCAGTGACGTGGCCGCAATTATTTCGAACACCAATTTTATTACCGATTTCCACTGAAACGATAGCGGTTTTCAAATTATCAGAAATTAAAAGCAAGCAATTCCAAGACTATATATAGAACAATATAACAATCATAAGCCCACCAGATTATCGCATTCGCTTTTCATAAGTCTGTAACTTCTCAAGTCGACCATTTTGTGTTTTTCGGTATTTTTAAGCGGTAGTAACGTGTGTTTACCGGATTTTTTGCGCCGGTTATCAATCTTACAGTAATACTTGGTTATGTACTTGTTGTCGTGTTCGATGTCTGTCAGATATTTGTGCATATAATTCTGACTACTGTGAACGATAATAATATGATGCCAAAATTAATATATTTGGGTAATGTATGAATGCAATAATAACATTGTCTATACGAGATTCAATAAATAAAACGAGTATAATAATTATAATATTAAAGTGGTGTTACGAACTTTGACTTTTAATGTTAAGCCGATTATATTAATTAAGATTAATTGACCCAAACGGAATTGTTCAAATCTTTATGTCGAACTTGAATCAATCTTTTTTTTTTTGTTTTAAAAAAAAAAAAGCAGATACGGTTTTTAGGTGTGCCACTTTAGTTGTAGGTGCGAAAAAAACTCGAAAGGGTCAAATGTTTCATTATAAATAGCTCAATAATATCGAATCATGTTTAAAACATTCGATCATGTCTAGAAAAGGTCAATATAAGTACTTATTCTGTTAAAATTTCAAGCCTATACAAATATTTTTAACTGAATTACAACAACTTCGTCATCTTTTGGTTTTTTTGAATCAGTATGTAATCAAAAAACGACTTGCACCATGAGAAACAAGATGTACAATGAAACAAAAAAGGTTTCTTGTCATTTTTCTCTTAAAGCAATTTTCCTAATAATAAACGTTTTCCATATTAATGTTAAACAATGATATCGTGAAATTGTTCGTCTTTCCTACGTTTTTTCCCGATTTTTATGAAAACTAATTCGAAAATCAAAAAAACGAAATGCATCATTAAAAACAAGATTAATAATTCAACAAAAAAAGGTTTCTTGTCGTTTTTCAAATGAAGCCATATTTGTGCTATAAAACGTGGTAGGTATTTATTTAAAATAACGAAATCGTGAAAAAATCGTATTTTTTTCCCAGTTCAATGTTTGTGTTTTAAATACCGATTCGAAAATCAAATAATGACCTGTAAATTTACCAAATAGATAAAATTTAATTTTAGAAAAGGTGCTACTCTCATACATCGGAGTAAGCTTTCTAGGATAAAATTGGTCTACAGTATATAAAAAGTACCATTGTAAAAAAATAAAAAAAAAAAAAAAAGTTGTCCGATGGTTTTGGAAATTTTACCACGTTTAGAAAAGTCTAATATAAATATTATTGGTAAGTTTCAAGTCTCTACGTGTATTTATAACCGAATTACAGTAAAAAACTTCCAAAAATTAAAATTCTTTAAAAGCTCAAAAGTGACTCAAAAGTTTTAGTGATGATACCGCAAAAAAGTAAATCAAAAAGACAATAAAAAAAATTCTTCTTGTGATTTTTCCATTAAATCATTTTTTCTGGTAAAAACTTCGTCCGTGTTTTTATAAAACAAAGAAATCGTGAAATTTTACGTTTTCCTACGTTTTTTCTCATTTAAGTACTTTTATTTAATAAATGGCGTCAAAAATCAAAAAAAATGATTTGTTTAAAATACAATCTAGACAACTTAAGCTTTATGTAATGTGCTAAAATCATACAATTATTAAGCACGTTTACTAGGAAAAAACGTGTTCAAAGTCTAGAACAAAGAAGAAAAAAAAATAAACAGCATTTTAAAACCAATAGCGCTTCCTTGCTACGCTCAGAATCTAAAATTGAATTTATGTATCCAAAATTGTAATTTGATAATAAAAATTTGATATTAATATTATTATGAACGCATTGTACAAACAGATAATATAATGGCCGTAGAATCTAGCCCAAAAATAAATTCGTGTTGTTTATCAACGAAATTGATTTTTAAAGTTCGGTTCGTAGCATCGCAAATTACCTACTTTTAATAAATATAACTAATATTATCGGTTAGAAATTTTGTAAAATTATTATTGAATTATTTGTACTGCGCACACATATGACACTCACTCTAATAGGATTTTGAGGAACGAAAAGGCCAACAGACGTCTTATACACACGATCACAAATTCGGCCGCCCGTCTTTTTTCGCCAAAATCCATCACCATATCCCGGGTCGCGTCGAAAGCGTCACGATATTGATCGGGCTAGACAATATTTTAATGTAATTTACATCGGCAACAAAACAAGATCGATGAACGCGTTAATCCTGCGGGGTACGATAATCCTACTCATCTCGTATTATTACATCGGCAGATCGTATATTATTATGATATTATAATCTAACCGTGAGATATGTGTTTGTACGTGTAATAAATATATAGGCGTTAATCCCGAGTATATATATAATATTATAATATCGTATGACGGGGGTAGATGTATACTCGCCATCAAAACACGTCAAAACTTAATTCCTAAATGAGACGACGACGACGACGACGTGTGGGATTTGAATGTAACGACGACTACCGTTAAATAACGCGAAATGATATCATTTCGCAGCCATTGTGGTGTTTTAATCCCTGACCCGGTTTCCTCCGTCACACCTATAATATAGGTCTTATATTATCATATCGTGGTATGATTTTACGGTTAGGTCACCAATCGTTTTTCTACGCACGGGAACCATCCTGGGGTTTTTGAGGTCGTATATAACGTAGTCAAGTATATTATACAGAACACGTTTGGGTACGTAAATAAAATACGATATTCACGACAATATTTTTACCGATGAACGTGCAGAATATCCTTTATAATTGGTACTGTTGTATTATCTTGTCGGCGGCAAGTCAATTGACTTGGTGCAAATATATCTGCTATAAAACACGTTTGACGAAAAGCGATCCGATACAATTTGAAATATCTGATTTGCTTTACACAGTTGTATAGAAGTTACAGAATTTTAAATCATAAGCCATACGATATTACGATAATTTCATCGGATTAAATGTCGATATGTCACTGGACATTATTTCTCGGATTAAATGTCGTGGAACCATCCTGATTAACGTCCGATTTTTAATTTTTGTGATCAACAACTGATGACGTGGTTTTTACATTCACCCCACAATTAAATAGTCTTAAGTCGTGGTTTTTCATAAACTAGTTATTTTAGGTTTACACTGATAGAATATTAAATTTATTGAACTATTATTTGTAGGTTTGAACCAACAAGTCGGTATATATATAAAAACCCGTAATATTTATGATTTTTGTCTAAATTTGATATTACATTTTTTATAAAAAACAAATATTTTAAAAAAGGTATTCTAGGATATTGGGGACGGGTGCAGCCATTGCCAAGAAATTTAATGTATATCTATAAGCAACTATAAACCATTGCTTACGAAAAAACGATTCTGAGTGAAGTTCAGTTGACAGTGATGTTTTGTAAACAATATATATACCATTTTATAGTAAAATAATTAAATAGGCTCTATATATTTTCTTTAATATTATTTGTTTAATATTTTATCGATTTCCCCGGTTTTCCTAAATTTGTCCTGGTTTGCCCATGTTTTTTTTTAGTTTTCCAGATTTGCTGAGAATACTCCGGAGAAAATCGAAAAACAACCTCTATAAAATACCTCCCCAGTGAAATTTCTTTTAAAAAAAATTGCTACCATTCTAAGTCGGAGCAAGTCTTCTGGTAGAAAAGTTGTCCACAGAAAAAAATAATTGAACATCTTTGTAAAACTATAAGCTTCCTTTACTTCACTCAGAATCTAAAATACTACATTAAACTCAAATTATTCTTGTTGACCACCAAGTAGAAATTATAATGAACCTCTTGTTCAATTTTCAAGGTTTCTGTTTTGTCTAATTATTTCATCCACAGAGTACCAAATAAAAATTACGAGCAAAATAAAAATGTTTATAAATAGCTTAAAAATAGTTTAAATAGTTTGAAAATTTAATTAAATATAGAAAAGGTGCGTACAAATTTTCTGTTCAAATTTCAAATTTAAAGTCTTTATAAATCATTTAAATTGAATTACGGCAAATAAACAAAATTGGAAATAATAAAAGTATTATTTTCGCAAATTTTCTGTTTTTTCTACATTTTTCTCAAATTTTATGAGAAAAGATTGGAAAATCAAAAAATAACCTACTATATTTGAAAATCAGAGCAAGATTTCTCGTAGAAAAGTTGTTCACAAATAATAATAAAAAATGAAAAAAAAAACATTGTAAATCCATATATTTCTCGCTTCTCTCCGAATCTAAAATCACTACTTATTATGCTTAACTTTTTTTTTTTACCCTAATATAACTTCTGATAAACTTCATATATCTACGTGTTTCTATATATTCAGTGAATTTTCACGTTACATTTAAACAACTTTTGTATCTGCAGTGTGTTATATTGCGTCTAGACGGAAAACTACATTTTCATTTATTACATTATAATCTCGTAATGGATACGAGTAGGTGCGTCACGACTAGGGTTAGCATGACATATTATTAGTGCTAAGATAAATAAAATCAACTACAAACAGAAACGTCAGAAACGGGGTTTTGTCAGGTTGACATTGCACGTTGAAGGAAATTCCCGGTGAATAGACGGTAGTAAATTAAATTCGAACGTTTTAAATAAATAACAATGCACCTACCCCCCTTTATTTTAACTGTCTATTTTCATTTTTAAATATATGAAGTATATACTTAGTACTACTATTTCTACTGCTTAGTAGAAATATACTTTTATTTTAATAAAATGTGTACTTTTAACGTATCACGTTATACTTGTATTGCATAAACCTATTTACTTTAGTGGACTGCCTTTGATCAAAAGTTCAGAGTCAGAAAATGATAATACGAATCAATACGTTATTTACAATATTTTTTGTAATAAACTAATGTATTTATGCTTTTTTAACATAAAAAATGTTTTTTCTTTCTGAATTCCAAATAAATTATTTAGATAAAGTGGATAATTGTATTTTTAATTTTTATTTAGATAAACTGAAAATAAGTCCCACGAGATAAATAATTAAATCGTCTATAGATAAATTGTTTTAGACAATTCAAAGTGTAATATATTGATGTATTATAGAAATATTATTAATTCATATTAATTCAGTGTGTAAATTAATTATGAAGTTTTATTAAACACAACACATTTTTGAAACCTAGATGTGTACCATAATATTTGTACACTTTTAGCTATTAGTTTAATGATAGGCAATGAAATAGCCATTTTTTTTGTATCTAGAAAAAAGTTGCTAGTTATCTATCTTTATCTATATGGATGTGTTTATTTTTAAATATATACAAAACTGCAGCGAAAATCAATATGCTTCTCGAATGTTGCCTGATTTTGTCGTTAGGCATATGGCATATAGAAGGCGCAAAAAAAACAAAATATTATATTTCCGCATTCCGTCCGATGAGATAATACATATTATTATTATTATGTCATCAACAACGGGGCATGTGATGTAGTATTATTTTGGATGCGAATCGATTCAAGACGAATGCACCGCACCCGGTCTGTGTAGCGTTTGTCGCCGTAAGCATATTAATGGCGTATCGTCGAAAAGGTTTTTGCGTTTCATTCGTTGTGCATATTTTTTATATCGTGTTTACGATCATCAAAGATATCTATACGAACGATACATTCAGACCAGAATCGTTGTATAGGGTGGTATTCCCCTGTCGTGAATCTGCGATTATCTATACGAAGTTTTTGAGTAAATTTGCGAATTTTGTTTTATTCTTTAGGATTATAGAATCGTTAAATGATCAAATTTAGTTAAACTTGGGTTGCTACATTTTCAAATCAATATTCGGCATTGAGTTTATCGTAGGTACATGCACGAACAATAAAGGTAACATTATTAAGATATTGTAAATAAGATCGTATTCTACGAGGTACTAAACAAAGAAAAAAAAATATCAAATCAAAATTTGAACATTTTCTCGAAATCTTCGTATGTAATATAGACAATTGCTGGGTCGAGTTAAAAAAAAATCACCCTGTACATATATAATATAAATATTATGTATATCACTATAATACTGCTACGCGATTTGTATGCAGCCGATAGTATGCGTGAGACTGTTTTTTTTTCAGAACGTAAACTGTCTTGTCTATTCGGAGAGTAAATATCCATTATTATTACCGCCTTCGCATGAATTCTTTTCCGATATGAAATTCAAATTTAAAATTCAATATTCTAATACTGTAGTGTGTATACGGTATATAAGGAGACAATACGTGCGATTTTTGAAATATAATATACGCGAATATTATACATAGGAATATTTTCAAATGTTAACGAAATTTTTAGATTCCCAGAGATGCGAGGTATCATTGGTTATACTATGATTTGATTTTATCTATTGTTGAAAAATGTACGACCAGAAATTATATTTCTTTTATTGTCGAAAATAGGGTGCGGGGGTTTTGGTAGAATATTTTGTGTAGTTAGTGCAATTGAGGAAAATATTTTTTTGATTTTAATAAATTGTATTTTTCTTAAAAATTCAGAAAAACAGGAATACTCATTTACTAAAAAAATGTCATTTAATAATTTCGATTTTGTTTTTTTCTTTTGTGATTCAGTGAAAACTAATCGTAGGTACTTGATATTTTTCTCGAACATTTATATTATACCACGTTGTTGACGTGGTACAATTTTCAAAATATTCCGGTGCATTTTTAGTTATCAATAGAAAAGATATTTGAAATATTCGTTTTTTTTTGGTGGTTATCGATTTCGTAATTTATTTTTATCTGTATTTTAAGTTCAAATTTATGGTAAAACTAGTTAAAAACATAAATAATTTTAATTTATTTTGTAGTTAAATATAATTTTTAATTAATTTAGATCTATCAATAAACCACTAATACCTTAATATAACTTCGCTCAGAATTGTTTTTAGTTTGCGATGGTTAATTTGTTCTTATTGTTTTAATCGATTTTAAAGACTTCATAATATATTAAATAGATGGGTAGTGAATGAGACTTGTCCGATTTATAAATCACGATACCTCGAGTTACCAAGAACTTTGCCTTCACTGTATATTACCATTATTTTCATTTTGTTCAATTTGTAGTTGACTTTTACGTGCAGGAATTCTCGTTTCAATTCGTCTTTGGATTTTGTCAAGTATACGTATCCTTTGCCAAAACCGGAATTTACCGATTTTCCGGAATTACAAACGTCCGCACCACCAAACACTGCAATAATAATAATCAACGGGTAGTGTATTATATTTATATAAGTATAATAAAATTCTTTATTATGTTAATAAGTAGGCGCGTACTGAGTTTAACATTGCGGAAATATTCGTTGTTTGTTAATTATGTTTGGATTACTTTACATGGAGTCATGGAGTGTACATTATTATTTCTACAGTAAAAACTGGGTCAATATAACTGCCTCCTCCCAATTCCCTCGAAAAACGTATTAAAACCATCATTTAAAAAAATAATCATGTTATTCACATTTCATCGCACGATATTATTATATAATTATTTTTTTAAATTTGTTTATCAAACGAAAAAAAAATATTTATTTTTTTTTGCCAGTCTATTCATTGTAAGTACATAACAAGTAAGTAGAAATAATTTTGAATACATTTATACATATCAGTTTAATCATTATTAGCAGACGCTAATAGAAACTAATTTACATGTAGATATCCAAGACTGTTGAAATTATTCTTATTATTAAGTATATTTTGAAGCCAATGGTAATAATGCCAAGCATACAGGCTGTCCCATGAATATATACCACTTGAATGTCTTTGGAGATAATAAAGATAATCAAATTCTGTTTTTTTTTATTTTTTTTATATAATATTCGCAAGGAAGAGGACTGTGTAAAAACCGATGTTATCTAAGGAATAACCTAACTGTGTAACGCGATAACATTAGTTTTCAAACAGATTAGTTTAATTTAAAATGGCTGTTACTAAGAAACTATTCATCGAATATAAGTGTGTAATACATTAAAATTTTCAGAAAAATAATATTTACAGAATGACTATCTTAAAATTTTCTCAAAATAATAAAATAAAGGTATCTTTAAAATTGTTTTAATAAAACAAAAATATTAATTAAAGTATACATATTTGTAGTCTTCTTTCCTGTGAGTAATATATATATATATATATAAAAAAAAAAAAACAGAATTTGATTATCTTTATTCTCTCCAGAGATATTCAAGAGGTATAACTTCGTCGGACAGCCTGTATAATACATTTGTGATTTCCCGAAATAAATTTATTGCTCACATAAGTATATCTGAGATCACTAAAAAAAATATGCAAATATTTAAAGTTGTAAGTCCTGTTTATAATATGTAGTAATATTTTGCTAGTTAAATTTGAAAAATAAATATTCGGCTCTGATATACATTTAAAATTTTTAAGACTAATTTTTTGCACCGATAGTCGTTGGTATTAAAAAAATAATTTGAATACTCTACCCACAGTTTACTGCAGGTTATAAATATTACATATTAATATAAAAAGTGTCTATTAATAAAGATCTGGGTATGTTTCTTACTTTTATTTTAGATTACCATTCCCACATTGAGCATATCACCCAGTGGCGTAATCAGGAATTTCGTATGTGGGGGCGGCTAACAACCCATTGTGCCTATGTAGAATTATAGATAGTAAACAAAATTTAAAAGTGTCAAAATGTGTAATGTGTAATATGTATATTGATTTTTAATTATATATCATACAATGTAAATTTAATAGCCCCCTTAGCTCCCTGGACACGCCCTTGATGTCACCTGTAGGTCTCCAAAAATGGTTTATTAAACGAATCTCTATGGATTTCAAACTATCTTATTCTTTAAAAGACCTTTACTGCATTCTTGTTAAACCCATAATTGAATATGGCTTAATTCTTTGGTAGTTTAGCATCCATATACAATATATATCTTCTAACTCATACGAATTTGAACGTGTTCGGTGTAATTTCGCTTCTTTTTGTCTTACAGTAAACCATGAACCACATGATTATTCTCCCAACCTACGCCACTTAAAGTTTAGTAGTTTATTCGATAGAAGAGTATTAGTCATCATACATTTCCTTAACAAATATATAAATAGTTCCATTAATGCACCTAAACTTCTTACTGAGGTTAATTTTAGGATTCCGGTAGATCATCCAGGTTATCTGATTGCTACTACTTTCCTCTACACCCCACGGCCCAACTATGGCCATAACCACCCCATTTATCGTATGATGCGTAAACGAGAACCTTTTTAGCCAATAATATTATATATTACAATAATTTAATGTAATTTTAAATTATGTTCAACTTGCCTTTATGTAACTGTACCTTGGGCAATTGTTCTTAATATGTGTAAATAAATATTATTATTATTCGAAAAATATACGAGATACGATCATAATAATAACTAATCTAGAAACGTTATAATTTTATTTGATAATCGTCAAGCTTACATATTATTATGAAAACACAAACATAATTTTATACCTATAATATAATACATCTAGTTTATATAATAGAAAACTATGTTACTTTTAGAATTTTTTGTTTCATTGTTTGCAAGAAAATCGGTTTAAATATTTTATATTTACTTCTAAATAATAGGCTTAGCATAATGGAAATAAAGAAATAAACTTGTGTGTACCTAAGTAGAATTTATGTGTGTCGGGTATAACTTCGGTAACTTAAGTTGGCAAATTCAAACACTGTGTTTCTAGAACCGCAATATACACCCTCACACTCACATATAATATATTATAACATTATGTATATATATATATATATATATAAATGTAGTTTAACATTTAGAAAGTCGCCACAATTAATGTTATTTGTATTGAATTTTTTACTTACGTGGTGCGAGATTGCAGACGAATGTGACTTTCATGGGCCAACACAGGGCCCAACTGACTGCCCAGTGGACCGAGTCTTTACATTGGTCGAAACTCTGCTGAAATGCTGCCTTGCACTTATTATCTGCCCGGGTGATAATGTCTGTGAACGATAATAAAAATCGCATTATATAGTTACATATTCAAAAATCGTTTTCGCGTCCAAAAGTTTTACATATATTTTTTAAAAAATGAGTTTGACGATCGCGCAAAACAAGATTTCATTTGCATATCATATTATACGTCACGTGAATGTGGTTCAGGGTTACTTTCAGAGGAGGGGTAAAACCTTTTCAGCCCACGCTCAGCGTTTGAAATGTTAATAAATTATATTTTCGGTTTGTTTATATTATACGAGAGGTAGGGTAATTTTGTTTTAATTAGTGCGAATCCATTTTAATAGATTATTAGATAATATTAAAAGTAATGCACTCGTCATCGTACCGATTTTCGGTGTATTTAGTATTAAGCTAACTTGACCTATGTTTTGTGAATATGTTGTAGTAGAAAAAACGGCTCCTTAACTAGGTTTTATACATTCTGAGTGTAGCCAAATTTGTACAGGTTTTAAACAAATTTAGTCTGTTTTTATAATTTATTTTCTCTTTCTGTGAACAACTTTTATACTAGACATTTTCCTCCGATCCGTGTAAAATTTCTATTCCTCTGCTCGAACGTAAATTATGTATCTACGCTGTAGGTAAATAATTTCTGACTTTTGCACAATCGTGGAGGATCGAGAAAAACCTATACATCGAATTTGTTTCCTTACTTTTACATTTTCTCTGCAATTTGTCTTTGTATTTTTTCTCCACTTCATCTGGCTCCGGTTTCTTGTACATTTTTTTCATGTGCTCGTCCTTTTTGGATGGTCCCTAAATCAAAAATTACGACGATATGTATATATACTTCTATGTCACGCATACATTTCGTCAAAACTTTTAATCAATTCTCGTCGGTGAAAACTTTTAATTGTTTTAGCGATTGATGACAACATGGTTACGACGACCATTCGATTGGTACTAACTTCCAAAACGAGATATCTAGACATTAAATAATGATAACTCCCAGTAATAGTTTAGTGAACCGTTAATAGGTTGATAAGCTCGATTTAGAGTTATAACGTTTCAACGTTTTCAGAGAGAAATATTTCGAAAATTCACTAATGGGGGTGGTTACGGGCTTGATGTAAGTGATTGCATTTATTACTCAGTACATATTTAAAACACAACTATATTCGTTGTTTCATTTTAACGAACTACATTCGTATTAATCCAGTTAATGCACTACCTGCACTACCCTCTTACACACCCTGGACTTCTCTCCAGAGAATGAATTTATATATAGATAAAACAATACATTGTGGTATACCTACCATTTGATCGTCCAAATAGTCGTTTCTTTCGCGGACCGTGATGTCTTCGTTGTCAGATTCGAATTCTTGGCTAATGGGATCGATTACATCATTAATGGAATTAACGATTTCTTTTATCTCATTAGTTTCGGCCTGAGGACATAAAATACAAATCTTACATACAGATTGTTTTACTTAAACTAATAAAATAAATAGAACGCGTGACATATAATAAGCTCCATTCACAGGCTTTCAGCACAAATAGGTATACCGTATACAACAAACAAAATAAAGCTTCGGGCGTTTCGTTGATATTATATTATTATTTTCTGTAACGTTTATTGGGTAGATATTGGTAATTAAATTTATTTTTAGATATATTATATAGATACTAGTAGCACCAGCAGCAGCAGCTGCAGTGCCACCGCTAAAATGAGTTATTGACACATAATTAAATTAATTATTAAGTTGGGATTTATACATTATTATGTTTTTCGTTATTTTTAATTAAAAGACATAACAATTTTTCGTGCATCAATAAAAAATAAAACTTTTCTAATTTTTTTTCTCGGGTACCAGCTATTTAGTTGATGTTTTTTTACTTAATAAATCGCAGTCGGACGTTCTATATTTTAATGGAAATTAATATCGGTGAGTTTTTTTGTATTGATTACTTGTTTAGGTCAATTGAAATTACATTTTAGAGAAGTATTATATATTTACACAGTATACTATACATATTACATAATATACACATTTGAAATTAAAGACATATAGATTTAATTTGGAATTATTTCTTTCTTTAAGTAACGTATCTATTCAATTGTTTATTAATATAAACTCGGAAAAATATAAATAAAATGCAATGGAAACAAACTTTATTAGGTACATGTATAGTTGACTATCACAATAATGTGTAGTTTTAAGTAGGTATCTAAGGAATTACATTAAAAATATTTATATCAAGGTCCTTTTTCAAGTTTCTAGTATACATTTTTTTTTTTTTTGGAGATCTTTTATTTTTAAATTTGATTTGATCTTGTTAAATAGCATTGATTAATTTTAGCGCTATTCTATATTTTGTTTAAATATACAATTAATTATTTTATTAGTAATCTAACATTGTAAGCATGTGTGTGCACCGATTATTAGTGCATATCTTGTACTACTTATAACTACAATTACTATTTTGATACAACTATCGGTTGTTAAACGTTTGTTACGTCAAAGGTAGAATAAAAAGAAGGACCTTTCAGCATACGGACACTGCTCGTTCATAGAACATCATACTGTACACTGTATAGTGTACAATGTACCTATAGTCCCTGATGTAGTCCAATTCTATGTTATTTATATTACATTGTATTATATAAACATATAGTCGTGTTATTACTTGTATTTTATACCTAAATCCATAGCCTACTTAAATAGTTCAACATGTGTTTAACACTATAATAAATGAGACATTTTTCTGGTTTGATCACTAAAATGTAGACACATTAATAACCTATAGTATTTTATTAGACAAATATTATATTATTTAAAGAACGGAAGATGATGGTAACGTATATATTATTTCGGTTAGGTGTGATACTTAAAGGTGCGAGCAGTAATTCGCATTATATTTTACAACGACGTATTTGTTTTTAATTTAAAAAAAGATTTTTGTGGAAATATCGAAGTGCTTTGAGAGTTCTATTATACTTTATTTATATAATATTATTATGGTATTATTCAGTGTAGCCTGTCAAATCGACCAAATATTAGACATAGATGGTATTAAAGGGCGTGATATAAAACGTGAAGTGTTTTCTCATAAATTGCGAAAACTGAAAATATTACGATACAACTTTTGGCATAAACTCGATCAAATTTTTATCAACATATTATTTAGAGAGGTGAATGTAATACTCGTATAGTATAGAAAATATCGACGTGTAGCACATCAACTGATTGAAAATATTGGTCATTTAGATGCGCACCAGCTATCGGCGTTGGGAACGTTAAGCAATATTTATATTTGGACAAAAGATAAAGATAATCTAAATAAATAAAAAGATAAAAAAAAATTCATAAAATTATTGTTCTAATTAAGTAATTAAAATTAAAATAAAATTATCAAATTCAAAACATTATAGGAATTAGAAGATATTATATAGGTCTAGGACAAGTTATTTATATAACTAGTGTTCTGGTATGTTTTTTTAAAATATTAAATTCAAATTTTTTGATACGAAATGTAGATATCTAATATGACTAGGACAGATATGAATATGCATTAAAACCATAAAATGTGGATTTATAAAAATACTGAAATATACTTATAAAAAAAAAAAAAAAAATAATCATACTACTGATAAAAATATATTGAAATATCTTAAAAATGTACACATTAATCCTTAAAAATATTTTATATTATATAGAAACAATAGGTCATGAATTTAAATTGTTTTGTTTAATTATTAAAAGTATGCGAAGGTTTATAAACAAATTCCCTAATTATAAAATTTTTGTGAATTACCAAGATAGCGTAATTCAAATAAATATACTTTGTATTTTTAAAATAGTTAAGAAGATAAAGATACAAATAAGACAATAAAATAATATACTATTATTTTGATAATGATAACAATTAGTAGTGGCGTGAAGTTTTTTTTCATCGAAGTAGTTTAAGTATAATTGCAAAAACTTCAAACGAAATAAATACAGAAGAATCAGGAACTGTAACCAAAGATATTTTAGATGTTTCTATATTTAACTTTTTTCATAAACATAATTTTAAGATAAATTAGCACACATATGCCATCCCACTGATCTAAGCAGCTGCTTCATAGAATATCTATTCACGTCGCCACTGATGACAATAATTGTCGAGACAATATTAGAAAAACCAAAAATAAAATAAAATAATTATTTTACATTAAAATGAAAAATAATCATATTTAAGCGAATTAACTAAAAAAACAAAAAATATTAGTGACCTAATAATAATAATTATATCCAATTAAAAAAAAAAAAAAAAAATAGAATACCCAGGTATTAAACATTATTTTTCAGAAAATATTTGATTGTTTAAAAAGTCTTTAGCATTATACTATAATAATTTATTATTATGACAATTTGATATAATATTCTGAATTGTTCACCTTTTATTTTTTTTAATGGACATCATATGTATTATTGTAAATATTATACTATGTATATACATATATATATATATACGTATTTCTGGAATTATATTTCGCAAAATATTACGCAGTTCGGAGTAAACGCATTAATAATAATAATGATCGTAAAAAAGTTTCTTTTATGAAAAAAACTTTGGAATGGATAAAAAACGAAAATTTGAATTCTATATAATATTCATTTGGGAATAAATTATGCTAGCTGTCCCACCCGGCGTTGCCCGTGACAATTTTTTATTATTTTTTTTTTTACTCATATATACTTTTCTTTTTTCTACAAGGAAATTTTCTTTAGGTAGTATTTTAGGAAGGTCAATTTTTTGATTTCCTTAGCAGTTTTCCTAATAAAAGGGAAATAGTTTATTTTTCTGTGGACAATTTTTTTACCAGTAATTTTGCTCCGATTTACAATGATAGCATTTTTTATAAAAGAAATCTGACTGAGGAGGTACTTTAGGTAGGTCAAATTTTGATTTTGCTAGGTGTTTTTTCAATTAAGTGAAAAACCGGGAAAAAAACGGAGGAAGACGGAAAAATGTAGGAATTTAGGTATTAGCAAAAAAATATTATGGCCCTTTTTAATCCAGTGAACAACTTTTTACCAGATATTTTGCGAAATTGTTTTGGCTTTTATAAAATTGTTGTCATTTGTCATAGAGAAAATGATTAAAGCTGGAGTATGTCATGTTTGAAAATAACGATAGTTATATAGATCAATTTAAAACACATGGGGATTTCTTGAGAATATGGAGTTGTACCTGTTTTAAACGTGAGACTCCTACATACATTAAAGTTAAAAAAAAAAACTAAAATATTACAGTTATTTCTTTGGTCTCAAAGGTTGAAGTAATTTTATTTAATAATTTTCTTGTATAATGATTTTTCGTTATTTTTTTGCAATCTCATAATAGTACCGTAATTTGTTCTCATTATTATTATAATTTTTTTTTTTTTTGTGACATTTAAACCTTCAAAATTGTTTTATGAAATTAACTTCTTCTTTGTCACTCGAGATTTATATTATGGTACTATTTTTAATATTCAAATAGTATATAGATTGTAAATTTAATATAGTGTGATAATAATTAAAAGAAAATTGAAATCAACTTAATGTGATATTATTCAAAATTAAATTCATTAAATTCATGTGAAAAAAAAAACAAAAACTAAAAATAAATGTAATCAAATTCAAATAATAATTTGTTTGATTAAAATATCAAAGGTTGATTCACAAATATATTTAAAATTTAAATTGAATTGCAATAATGTTACGTTATTTTTATTGTTATAAGTTTTAAAATCGCATTACATCACAATTATTATAATAATTTGCAAAAAACGATTCTCATCTAAAGCCATTAGAATAACATTATAAGTGTGATCGTTTTTAAGTAGACATTTCGATGGATAGTTGTAAGACATCGTTGTCGGATAACATCTATCTGATATATGTATATTCATGTAACGAGAGCAATCGAGTATTATTTATTGTTATTATTCTGCATGTTTGGACAAAACTACACAAAAAAGTTTTAAGATATTTAATCAGGCTCCGTTTAAGGTCACGCTTTAAATTTAAAATATTATTTTCGAAATCAGAACGGCATAGTTATTAAGCTCCAGCACAGGACGCAAATTTACAGACCGTTTAGGAGTTCGGTAGTTGTAGTTTTTGATCGATTAGGTTTTAGGTTTACACGTTTAGGACACTAAATTAGTAATTTCCTTGGACCGACAATTAGGTAATAAGTTTTTTTATTTCCCTTATAATTTATCTAAACTCGTGGTGAATTTCATCTATCGACTATAGGTAAGTAGTAAGTTTTAGGTCTACATTTAGGACACTTCAATTCCTTGGAATATTATCAAGTTTGTGGCAAAAAGTAGATTATATTTTGTAAAACTCCTTAAAAGGTTAGGTTATAGGTAATAATGATCGGTAACCCCTGACACGAATTCTACCACTGGCATGAGAACGGGTGAAAATAATTTTTCTTTAAAATTGAATTTTGATGCCGTCTGTTTCATTTCTTCGGAAAATCAAAAATTTTATAGAATAATCGATACGGTAATATAATTTACAGGTTGGTTCGTTCATAGTCATACATTATGAGTAAATATCCAGTATACGTTTTGTAGTTTTTGAGTACTCAGGAAATAAAATTATTAAAAAAAAAAAAAAAACAAATAAAACGGCCTTTGAGTATCATTACAATTTACGAAATACGAGAGTGTAAAAATATATAATGTTTGGTTTGTATTATTTGGCTTTTCCTAAGCTTACGCGATCGTGTTTTTTTTTTTACGATTTAGGTTTTCGTTTTACGTTCTCAACACGATGAATTTTTTCTCTGTTTCTTAGACGGAATAATAAAAATATCGTAATAAATTTTACCGTCCGGAAAAAAAAAAAATAATCGTATTATCTAATATACAGTGTGGGTAGTGCGAACAACGGAAAACCCATTATTCAATAGGCATTCAGGCCAAGAGCCATCTTGAAATATATTTTTTATTTTTTGCTATTCTATTTCCTAAGAGACTATACTACGATATCGTTATACCGTACACATTTTAAAACGTTATCACATTGTACGTTTAAGACATGTTTCTTTACACTGTACTTCTATAGTATTATACTTGTTACCGAAGTTTTTTTTAAATTTTTTCGAAAACAAACATAAAAATCTATTAAATCATAATTTTTTTTACGATACGTTTTAGTCTCTGTAGAAAAATGTGCATAATATTTTCTTATTTTTTATAAGTACCTATAATATTGTGTTTAAGGGGGAAAATGGCAAATTGGTGACGTTAAGATATGATTAAATAAATTGTATTAGGTATACATATATATGAAATAATATTTAATTTTTAAAATACACGCTTTCATCAATAAGAGGAAAATAACCTAATGGATTAAAGGCAAATGTATAATAATGGGTTTTGCAATTAAATTGTTGAAAACGACAGACACAGAATCGGAGGTGACCACGGGGATGCAAACCGATACATTTGTGTTATTTTAACATTAACAGCAACGATAGTATATTTAGATACTAATGTACTATAATATGCCAAATTTGAAAAAATTATGAGTTTATTCAAAATTATTACAATTTTTACCATTGTCCAAGTTTCTTGGGTTTCAATACTATAAATACTATATTTTCTCCTGAATTTTAGTATGTGTCGTATTGGTTGTATTAGTCTTTCTAACTGGTAATACAGTAAACACACAAGTCCACATAAAACAAACGAAAAGACTTTTGATATCGGTTTTAGAGGTAAAACACTTTCTGTAAAAAATGCCGTTAAAAATAGAATTTTGAAGACAACCCGTCGTTTTACTTAAATGTATAAATATTAAGATTTGTATCGGAAGTATTAATTTCGTACATTTTATATTTTTTTATCTTAACTTGTTTAATTATTAATATGTATTTAAAAATACATCGACGTATGTATACAAATTAAAAAAAAATACATAAATTTGTCTATGGTGAACAAAATTTTGCGTGAAATAAATTACGATTTTATAGAGGCTTTTTTTTTTTTTTTTAATATTTATAATACATTAAATTTATTTTCAAAGAAAAAAATATTTTCAACATCATATTATTCGCTCGTATACATTGTAGGTAAATTGTTTGAATACCTATATATTGAGATTATTAACTATGGTAGACAAGTGAAAATAATGTAATTATTGGCGTGGAGTTTAAATCATTTTTTTCATAATATATTCAAGTACATATAGAAACAAATGAGCCCACGTGGAAGTGGGGAAGTGATCCATCAAGTCACCCTGTGCAGCACGTGATTGCCGAAGTTCAAGTTTTACGCTATATATAAGAATATATTATAAGGGATAACTTATTTTCTTCCCTCCTTCGGTGCGGTCGGGTCGATTCAATAAGTGATTTATTAGTCATTATACAGTACACGTTCCGACGAAATATGGTTATTACGGTTAACGTCCGGTTTTTTTTTTTTCTATACAGTGCCCGGATATTCGTTTATAAAGTAATAAATATGGCGCGCATAATAAACATAATAAATATAAGGCAGAATTATATTGAATTAGATCAAACCAACGCGTGTATTATATTATATATATATTTTTTTTCCTGGCAATAACAATAATAGCTTAATCATTGCGGAATATACTATATCAAAGATTAAAGTATATTATGGTTAGGGCGGATAGTAGTATAAAATAGCCGGTTCTACCCCAGGATCAGGAGCAGGAGCATGAGCAAGGACGAAGTGCTATACCTAATACATGGCCGCCCGAATCCATGGCCGCCCGAATTGCCCACCATTTCATCATAGACCATTTAGGTCACGCCTACTTTCGACGTTATTACCATACCGTTATCACGGTTATATCTGCTGTTATCACATGTTATACTTATCGTTATACCTTTATGGTTACTCTTATCAAGGTTATCTTATCACGATTATACCTACTGTTATTACAAGATATACTGAATACATATATCGGTATACCTACTGTTATCACAAGATGATGTTTCAGCGTATCTTATACATAGCAAGTATTTCGTATACCTATACGAAGTATATCTTCCCCGTCTGTGTGTTACACACACGCCGTCCATTCTCTGTTGATTATTTTAACGAAATAATATTACTCGTACGCGATTTGTTACCTATACGGAATATAACCGTCGTCAAAACCCCCGTCTCCTCTTTCCCGCATAATACGAAATATAATCGTTGGCGACAACGGACCTCTGGACTCTCTACACATGTGTATCGTTCCGAGAATCTATTACGAAAAAATGTTTATATATAGTCAGCAGCGTGCACAGTGTGTTTCTTGCATGTAAGGACCTGTATGAGAAAACGTATTGTTCTCGGTTTTCCTGTCCGATCATGCACAAATTCTTTCTGCGAACGTAAACCGATTTTTGTAGGAATGGGATCGATCCGATCGTCGGTAGTGATTTTACTACAAACCCGTGCACTCGTCTTTTCCAGTTTTCTCATCGCTTTCGTTTCGTGTTACACGGAGTAAAAGCAAAATTACCTTATCGTTTGGATACTACGTACAAAATGGACCAAAGAATTGTACAAGTTATTGGAAAGGAAGATTTGGAAATTATAAATAAAAAATATAAAAATCCCGTAGCTGTTCCGTACAAAGTGGAACTGGCAGACGTTAAATTGGACGATTTGTTAGACGAACTTCCAGAAATATTAGCAAAGCTTAGAATCGACAATCACTATCTTACGGATTCGATATTGCGCAGGATTTTGTAGGCGTATTTAACAAAACGGAAATGACTCGTTTTCTAACAGATAATCACAATTTTTGTAACCGAGGAGAGTACGACGATGGCAGCAATATAATTGTAGATGATAACAAAACAGTTGGTATAGACTGTTTAACATGGCTAAATTCGAATGCCAGAGTTAAAATGTATAACAAATTTGTGTACCAAATTACCAGTCCCGGAGTCAACAAACAGATCGGAAACCATATTATCGACTTTATCAACTGTCCAGATGCACGTCTAAAGGAAACATTTTCTTCTAATCCAGCGAGAGAGCATGGCATAACAAGATAGGAGGCGAAAATATATAACTATACTATTGGGGATTATTATAAGACAAGGGACGTATTTAAACCACTGGAAGATTGTTTAAGTTTATTGGAAAATGGTAAATGTATTTCCAAAATGCATCGTTTTATTCAGTGTAGATTGCTAAAATGTGGACAAAATTGACAGACAGACAGACAGACAAGATTTTTGGTAGAAAAGTTTGCATAGCAAATCAAGGGGTATTTTGCGATTAAAATAGTTCGAGCGAGCGATGGCTTGGGTTTCTAGATACACCCAAAATGCATTTATTTAGATAAAAGGGGGAAAAATGCAAATAATTTTCCTTGAAACGCGGGTTCAAGAACTTGTGAACCCTAGGATGAAAACAGCTACGACAATTATACTTTACAGATGAAATATTTAGTTATTTAACATAGCATATAATATCCGCATAATATCAGAACTTAAAAAATCTATAATTTCGAAACGTTTCGCCAGTCCACTCAATTCTGACTTTATCATCGTTCTTAAATCGGTAATATATATTTATTCAAAAAAATAGAAAAAAATATTAATTGAAAAATTAGATTTGTTCCACATAATATTTTACTCAATGATTTTCGTCAAAATTTAATATTAAAATTTCTTTATAAAAAAAAAACTACATTAAACTCAAATTTTCTTTTTTTTACCACAAAGTCAGATTCTTAATGAACCTTCGGTTAAATTTTCAAGCATTTTTTTTATATCTAACAATTTTACCCCAGAGTAGGTACAGTACCTATCGAATAAAAATTACGTATGAAACTCGCAAAATTAAAATGTTTATAAATATCTAAAATATGGCTTATATTTTTTGAAAATTTGACCACGTCTAGAAAAGGCAAATATAAGTTTTCTGTTTAAATTTTAAGTGTCTATGAATATTCTTAACTAAATAAAATCAAATAACAAAATTAAAAAATAATAAAAGCATTATTTTCGTAAATTTTTTCTTATGTTTTATCTTGGTCTTTCCTAGCTATTACGAAAATCGCTTGGAAAATGAAAAACTGACATACTAAAAGTACCATCTGGACAACATTTTATTTCAGAAATGGTGACGCGTGTATATATCTGAGTAAGATTTCTGGTAGAATTTTTGTACACGATATATAAAAAAAAAAATTAAACATCTTAGTAAAACCAATACATTCTTCGCTACACTTAAAACTTAAAATAGATAAATAGATAGTTGGCTGAATAAAATTTCACTAAACATTTTATTAGAATGCTAGTGAATTAATAAATTTCAATTGATTCATTAAATTTGTATTGGACCCTTAGCTAAAACTAAGCAATTAATTAAAAATTAGGGGTCCAAATTTGACTTATTAGATATTTAAACATTGATTTATCAATCACAGACCTTGCACTAAAAGTTTTATGTTTTTAACAAACAATTACATTAAACATTCGATGTTTGTGAATTTTCATGCTCGGTAATTTTAGATTATTTACAAATAAAATTACAATTATAAATATGCAATAATTTTTTTTTTTTTTTTTGGTGAAAGGTCAATTAATCAAACACTAATTTTAATAAGTTATAAACTATAATAATATGAACAGTTTTTGTCAACATAACAGGTCTTTAAACAAATTGTTGGTATACAGGTATTAGTAGTAGTACAATAAATCCTATCATTTAACACATTTAATGAAAGGTTATACAGTATTAGACATTCATGTTTCAAAACATTTCACCACAGATTTTCTTCTGAAATTATAAACTGTTTGCGTGGTTGAAAGTTTTCGCATATTTTATTATTATTTTCAATATTTTTGCGTTATAAAAATAACGGGATTTAAGTGAAAAAGTCAAGTTATTTGAATGGTTGTATTGCTATTACGTTCGCTAATTTACAACAAAATAATTGATTATCACCCACCTTTGACGTTTTGCCGGTAATTATTATTTTTACAGTCGTGTAAATCATACTTTTAGTTTAAATAGCGCCTCCTGGAACGGTTTGAACATGAGTTCGTATCGGATTTTGGTTAAGTTGTACACCAGCGCCCCTGAGCAGGTGAACACTCTGAGCACTTCGGAACCGTTTCGCATCATGTTATTTAAAGGTCCAGCCATTATGTACGCGAACACCATGGCCACCAGTACCCGTTGACCGGTCTTGTCGAAAAACGTGGGCATCGACAGGAGTCCCAAACACCTGATCTGGAAACACCGGAATTAAACGGATGATGCGTTTGATTTTAATTTTGTTTTATCACGTCTGGCTTGGAAAAAATGGAACTTGAGGCCATGTGCAAACATTTTAATGCGGTCTCGGTATTATTTTTATTTTTGTATAGGTTTTACGGAAGAAATTTCTAAAATAATTAAGGTGCAATAAAGTGGTATAGAGAACTGCAACAAACTAATTTGAATATTAAGAATTAAAAAAAAGAATTAATCTTTAAAATAAAAACTAACTAGATAATTAGTTTTCAAATATAAATAATTAACTATATTAAAATAGATACCTACATATGTTTAGGAAAATGATAATTTATCTAAATAGTTAAAAGTTACTTTAAAAAAAAAAAAAATTATACCCTTCATTTTACCCATAAACTTATTTGTAGTCTAATAGGCATACTTCTGTGATACATTATACGTGTGTGTAAGACCCATGTGGATATCTCATAGGCCACATGCCTTTCTGATATTTATGTAAAAATAGGAATTTTTTTTAGGTATGTATTTAAATATTTTTCTTTATGCAAAAAATTCGTAAATATCTTAAATTTTAATGAAATCAAGTTAAAAGTCCCATAAAAAGTAACTTGATAACTTAATTTTTAACTTTTTTTATAATAGAGTTATTGTCCGACTTTATGGCAATTATAGAAATAATTTTACGTTTCTTGTCTTTTATTTCAATATAGAAATTGGACCAAAAAAAGAAAAAAAAATTCAGTTATATAATGATGGTACTATATTATGCTTTGGAGACTTATTATAATGTGCTTATTTTTTTAGATGTTTCGGCGTGGAAGTTTTTTTACGACCAGAAAATTTTATTTATAGAACATCAAGCGTATTACAATACATTTACAACGGTTTTACTTTTTTTTTTTTCTGTGTACGGAGAATGGTCGACACCATTGTTTACAGCTAGGTTTTTTTTTCTTCTGAACATTCGACTCGTATAATTATGAACGAAGCCTCCGGGAATGAATATTATTATTTACTTTAATACTATGAAGGGAGAGGAGGGAGGGAGAAGCGAAATGAAACGAATATTATAATATGGAAAATGTGGTACACTATTGAGGTGGTTTCAGTATTTTTTTTTTCGGATGCCTTGGCGTATTAGACGGATATAGTTTACGCTTAGCTATATATACTGCAGGCTTGGTGAGTTTTTTCGTTAAGTACGTGTCGAATGCACTGAAATTCGGGATGAAAATTCGATTAATTTACGTAAATAGAAAATTTCCATTTATAATATTGTGGCGGATGTATGATTAGCGAGTATATAAGTATTTTAGGAATTTGCGAGGAATCAATTATTTATCTCCATTCGGCGCATCCGTATGTTATTTAATATTATAGACGGACTATACGAAAATATCAATTATATTGATTGCGCTAATTCGCCTGCATTATAATACTATATTGGTAGGTATAAATGAACAAAGTTCGAATTTCCCGAGAAATGCGTATATATAACGACGGGATGGTTATAAGGGAGGCGCCTTGCGACTGTCTGGATCGTTATATAAGATAGACTATTAGATATTCTCTGTTTTCCACTCGTCCCACTCTATCTACCTACATTTATATCGATGGAAATAAATTATACATCGAGTAAAATAATTACAATCATGCGACGACACTACTGCATTAATCGCATAATAATATCCGCTACCGTACAAATTGTCGTCTAAGAAAACGATGGAGAATTTTTCAAAGGGAATCTTAAAAATGACTCTTTACCTATAAAACGAAAACTAACCTACCAGTACTATGTACACTTATTAAGACTTACTTGACTTGATTTGAAGGGACTCGAATGAGTGTTGGGAGTGTTAATGTTAAACCTCTCAGCCCTATACTTATATTTGCACATCTGCACAAATAAATATCTATCAATGCCTTCTTCAGTATTGTTCCATCAGCATCCACCACCATACACGGCGGGCCCATTATATACGTTTCCCTCTCATAAAATTTAACCTTTTCTTTTGTATAGGTTGTATAGTTTGTATAGTTTGGCCTTAATTTAATGTGCTTTTATATTTATCTATATATTTATAGCATATTAACTAATGTGTTATTCTCCCTACTTTAGTACCGTGAAAAATAAAATACCTAGTCAACGAAACTTAAAACAGTTTTCAAATACCTATTTTATTATTATTTAATATTAAGGCTTCAATTTCAAAGACTATTAGCCTAGAACAACATTTAAAACTATAAGTAAAATATTTCATTACTAGAGATTATATAAGTTATAAAAGTTTATTTTATCTAAGTGTATTTATTTGAAAAATTAAAAAATTTGACAGTATTGTATTGGCTTCTTGGTGATGTTAGATTGCTGATAATATGGTGTAAAGTTGAGTATTTGGAAGAGTTAATGATTATGTGAGTAATTTTAATAAGCGGAGTCTTAAATAATATGTCGCACAACGGATTGGGTTCCTTGGTTATCAAATAGGAATGAGTAAGATAGGAAGTACCTATTATATTGCTGTTATTCAACCAATACAACTCTATTGACAATACAATTTTTCAATTTGAATTTATGTGAGAAATTGATTGTAATTGCATCAAAATTCGATAAAAAAACTTACATACAATTTACTTTTATGGAAACAATGCTATCTTTATATAATTGTTGACAAAAATTTAGTTATTTTTTTGGCTTTTTACATTTGGTGAGACAGTTGGTGAAGTTAATTTAGTTTTAAACACAACGATCAGTCAATTTTTAAATTGTCTTCTCGATTACTATAATATAGTATATGTAGGTACTCGTATTAATTATTCATATTGATTTACCTGTTGTGAAATTGCGTGCCCGACGCTCAAAAACAAACTGATAACAATGCCCATCAAACGAGTCGACTGATCGCTCAATTCCAAATCGACAATAATAAAATGGTAAAGAACTAAAAAAAGTATAAAGGAACAATGCAAACAATAAGTTGAACAAGTGAATACTGTATAATATTAATGTATATGGAGTCATATAGAAGCTCGATACTATATACTCACTTAGGCTCAGAAAAATTCCGTAGAAGAATCCCAAAATCAACTTGGACTTTCTGAACTTTTTACTCCTGCGGTCGGCTATTTCGGAAATATAAAACATACAAGTGAGCTCATTAGTTTGTAAAAAAAAATGATCGCAGTTGAATAAATATTTACTACTTTGATTGTAGTTATTCGATTAAGTGTGAATTATATTTTACAAAAACTGGGCGGGGACTGTCTGGTGATTATGGTGGACAAGTTTGGATAGTTTAGCTGTTAGTTAATTATAGAATTAAGTATAAAAGGGGTAATTTTGAACGTTTCCATACTTCGAAATTTAACACGTTGTGCGAGACAAAAATAAAAATAAAAAATCATTTTAAAACACCACTGAAATACTTAGATAGATGAGTTTACTAGTTTCTTTTTCCAGACATTTGCGTGATAATATAGATATTTATTATTATTAAATATGGAAAACGTTATGATTTATAGGTACATAGCGTTTTTTTTTTTTTGTAAAATAATAGGTCGGTTTTAGCTGTACATGCGAATGTAATGTTCGTTGATATTATTCAAAACGACCGTTTATGTGCAGTCGTGCACATATACGAGAAGTAGCTACCAACGTAATTCGTTTTTGTATTTGACCTTTCTCCTCATAATATTTCTAACTTAATTATGGTTACGGTAAAAGAAAAAGAAAAACCATTCAATCTGCGATACCTTAACCCCAGTAGCGCAAACATGGGGGCTTGTGTATTATAATCATCCTTCCCGAAGTTTAACATTTTTTTTTCTTCATGAATTTTACGTACCTACTACCTATATAGTTTCGTAATATGTATTAAAATTTTCTCATAACTTTGAGGTATGCCACACGACATATTTACCGTAATTCACTATTCCGAAAACTGTCCGGAAACTTGTTTGAAATTCATAACCCCTCACCTCCCCCCCGTTGAAAATAAATCCCAATGTCTAAACCCACACTATACGCGCAGTTTTTCGTTTCATAATTTTACGCAATTCCTTCATTTCTTAATATTTCACTACTGCTCCGGCAGCGCCGGGGTCGTGTCAAAATGATTGACGGCTTAGACGATTAAATCAAAATTTTCTCTAGTAAGTGACACGCGGCACTCATCGCTCGTGTATACGCGTCCGATGTAATCATGTTTACAAGATTTAAAAAAAAATATGTTTGTATAGGAATAATACCGTAGAAATATTATAATAATGTACGGTGCAGTGCAGTCCCGGTTATTGGATTTAATAATACACCGAATGCTAAACACAAATGCACAACGCACACTTGCCCACGTTCAAATAATATTATTATTGTACATGATATTATTAATATTATATAAGTACTGTCATCGTGTTTGAACGTAAAGGAACGAAAATTTCCGAATGTTATAAAATATTTTATTGGCTATATTATTTATGCGTTATTATAAAACGATAGTATTTGGTTTTCACGTGGGTGGTTGACCACAAACGATCGGGAGTATATACCTTTTTTTTTTTTATAATATTTCTTCTATTTTCGGAGTTTCTTCACCTGTCATATTACAATATTTTCGAAAATATTACACGTGTATTATTAGCATATATTCGGTGTTAGACTATATAATATTATTGCATTTTCATACGCGCAGTTTCTCTCATCGAAGCTATTGGTGCGACTATAATATTACGTCGTGACGTCAACGAATTTTTTTTATTTAAGGGGGTGTCATGCAATTTTTCGCGATTTAAATATACAATAGTATTTGACGTACCTATAATATATATGTACATTGTGTATACCATAATGTGTCACGATCGGAAGGAAATTATTTCTGTTCGAGAACAAAACTCGAAGAATTTAAAACAACGAAATAACGAAAACGAGAAGTTAATATTTGTCCATTTTATCTATACGTTTTTTACGGTTTTCCGAATTATCATAAAAACTACTTGAAAAATCAAAAAAATGATTTCAATACAATAACTAGATCCATAGTTCTTCAACTTTCTTGTTGTTATTTTTATCCAAGCAAGATTTTTAGTAGAAAAGTTTTTTACTGACAGAAAAAAAGACGGAAATTCTTCTTACCACTGGTTGGCAACTATTGTAGGTGAGAAAATTGTATGCAATGATTAATCATTGCTAATGAAAAACGATTTGGAACGAAATTTGTCTACACGTGGTTTGAAAGGCCGTTATACGATTTTTGTCTAGATGTCATTTTAAATACTTATAAAAAAAAAAATGTCTACATAAAATTCAATTTTTATTTTGTTGATACCAAAGCACGATTTATTATGAACTTCTTGTTGAGTCTTCTAGCATTTTTGTTTTGTCTAACAATTTTATTCATAATGTTTCGGTACCAAATAATAATTACATAAAAAACTCGCAAAATTAAAATGTCTATAAATAACTCAACAATTATAATAATAAATTTGTATAAGAAAACTACTTGAAAATTCATATGAATATCATGAATATCATGAATTGCAACAATCATAGAGGCATCTCGTTACTAGATACATCATAAAAAGTTCTATCAAATGTCCTCCTTAATAAACTCAAGCTATATGGAGATGTAATAGTCGGGGAGTACCAGGGAGGCTTCAGAAAGGGAAAATCAACGGTGAACCAAATAAATATTGTCAAAAAAATAATGGAAAAATGTTATGAATACAACTATTCATACTATTTGTAGACTATAAACAGGCATATGACTCTATTAATCACGAAAGTCTATGGAAAGCCATGGAAAAACTTGCGGTACCAGCAAAAACCACAAGAATGATAAGAGCATATGTTTAAAACTCTAAATGTATGGTCAAATTTAACAGCCAACTGTCGAAGACATTCATGATTGACACAGGACTGAAACAGGGAGATGCACTTTCACCAATGCTCTTCAACATTCTGTTGGAGAAAGTGGTTAGAAATGATTTAAATACCGGTATAGGAGTCAACCTACAAGAATCTAAGACCATCAAATTAACAGCATATGTTGATGACATAGTAGTATTGTCTCAATCTGAGAGCGACCTTCTGTGTATGGTAGAAGCTCTCATGAATACTGTCACGGAAAAATAATAGACATAATAATTTGATAGTAAGTGACATGAAGTTAGAGTTGGTCGAAAACTTCAAATATTTAGGGGTAGAATTGAACGTGTCGGGCAATAACCACAAGGAAATACAAAACAGAATAAACTTAGCTAACAAGTGCTTCTTCGGATTAAAGACAATATTAAAATCTAAATTAGTTTTGATCAGATTAAAATTAACTTTATACAAAGTAATGATACACCCAAAAGCGCTAAAATGCTTATAAAACCTGGGCCACAACAAAAACGGACGAGCAGAACCTAGCAAGGTTTGAGAGAAAGATGTTACGGGAAATTTTTGGTCCCAGGAGATATCAAAATACGGAGAATATGAGCGACAAAAGAACGAAGAAGTTATAACTATGTTCGAGGGATTCAGACATAATAGCTATTGTGAAAAGTAAAAGGATAAGCTGGGCAGGGTATGTATGGTGAGGTCGAGAACAGACGTCAGGTCACCTACTGAAAGCCGAAGAGCAAAAGACCGCTCGGTCGTCCAAGACAAAGATGGATAGACAGGGTTCATAAAGACCTGGATATGCTGGGAATCCTTAACGGTGAAGAGCTAGCCACGGATAGAGACAGGTGGAGGGAAGTGACGAAGGACCTAAATGGCCTATATTAAGCTAAAGAAAGAAAGAAAGAAAAAAAAAAAAGATACTATAGTACACTATCAACTAATACGGTAACCGTGCATTTTATAATATCATCATGATTATCTGGGGGCTGATCATCAGATCTGTCCCGTTAAATACGCTACTGGTGTAAACCGTCTAAAAGTCGGCGAAAAGGACCGTTGAACGTTTCCGTTCGTCAGAGTAACATAGGTATTCCCGTTTTAGCGACGACATTATATAATAATAATTACGCTTAAAATGTGAAATATCGGAATTGAATTTCACCCGGAATTTCAAATTTTCGTTTTATCGAGGGTTTGCATTACGAAAAAATTGTATTGTAATCCGAGTTGCGCTCGTACCTACATGTAAGTAGGTATACTTGCCCAATAAGTCGTCGAGAAATTCGCGAAAATATCCTCTTAACAGCCGTCCCGATCGCCGTTGGTTATTACCGGTGATTTTCTGGTATTTCATGATAGAATCAGGTATAATATTAGATAATATTTTAACTATATTAAATATTAACGACTTTATCTGTTTGTCGGCCAGTGGAAAAATGAAAAAAAAAACGACCGGACTTTGCCGCCGTGGCAACCGAAAGCCCGATCGTCACACACTATCGCGTATATCTATTAATTATACGTATTTTAGTATTATACTACTATGATAGATAACAAATACAACGATTGGACAGCTTTTTAATGAATAACTATGTAGAGATCCATAGTTTTCAAATAATATGTTCTCATTTTTTTGCAATCGTATCGGGGATGGGCGACAGATCTTATTTTGTGGGAAGCGGGGCACTTCCTGGGCCATAATTTTTCCTATGGGGCACTGAATGAATTTGATGCGTTATAACACCTGTATAAATTTTTTTTTTCAGTAATGACAAAAAATGAGCATAGATTAATTTTTATTGATACACGGCGAACATGATAATTCGTCTAATTGATTGCATAGGTACCTATAAAATGCACAGTTTCATCTAATCTCGTCTTATTTCGCTAATCTCTCTCATGGAAAACCGCCTTCCCCCCTCCTCTCCGGCCGTCCATTATTAAGCCTTGTAGATATTATATGAGCGCGATATTTTTCTTCGTACAATATTTCGCGATGGCCGCCGGACTGGCAACACTGACCGACCGACACCGGGCGGCCGGTGCCGGTCGGCGGCGGCGTAACCGAAGACTCATAAGCACACGTCGACGTCGTTCCCACAGCAACCGCCGGCAGAACGCCACTCAAAGTTCAGCTCTCCGGTGTGCGTGTGCGCGCCGTCTGCCTGGCCCGTAGATCGCCACACACGTTTTCGCCATTCGCGTGACCGACCGACAACACGGCGCACACGACACCGGCTCGCCGACACTACGACGTCGTTATT